AGCTGGGGGGGAGGGTGTCACCCTCATGTTTCATTTTTAAAAGAAAAGGGAGGGGCTGGGAAGGTGGCTCAGTGGTAGAGCGCTTGCCTTGCATGCCTGAGGCCCTGGGTTCGATTCCTCAGCACCACATAAGAAAAAAGCCGGAAGTGGCGCTGTGGCTCAAGTGGTAGAGCGCTAGCCTTGAGCTGAAGAGCTGAGGGACAGCGCCCAGGCCCAGAGTTCAGGCCTCACGACCGGACCCAAAAAAAAAAAAGAAAAGGGAATAGAAAAGGTTGGAAGGAGAGAGGGAGAAAGAAGGAAGAAGATGAAAAAAGAAAAGACGAGAAATAGAAGATCGGGGAAAGAAAGGGAGATTGTTCCTCAGCTGTGCGGCTGAGCAAATCCCTCCCTGCCCGGCCCCGCCCGGCCTGGGCCCCGGCACCGGAGCTGGCAGCAGGTGCCCGCGCTGTCCTCAGACCGCGCCCGGGACAGAACACTGCCTGGCTGCGCCACCTCCCAGGCCCAGCCTCGGGGCACACAGCCTGCCAGGAGCTGAGGTTCTTTCTCCTTCCCCTCCCCAGAGGTCCCCCCGGGACCCGGGGAGGGGTCCCCCACCCAGCCCATCCTCCATGGCCCCTGGATGGTGGGCGTCACGGGAAGGGGGGTGAGCAGATGGGGGCTCACCTGGGCAGTGCTGGACAGTGGAGGCTGGAACCTGGAGGAGCCCCCAAGAGCAGCAGTTTAGGGAGCAGAGCCAGCGGCCTGGTGACCGGGGACGCATCTCTGCCCCCGCTGGAGACCCCTCATGGGGCAGAGCAGAGCCCAGGCCCCTGCCCTGCCCAGCCTCCCCCATGGACAGTAGTGCAGGCTTGGTGTCCCCCAGGGACGGGCAGACGTGGTGAGGGCCGGGACGGCACCGTTGGTGGCCTGTCTGTGTCACGGGAGATCAGCCGCGCTGACACGCCAATGCCCTCACACTCCAGCAGCGCATGGCAGCACGGTGGCTTCCAGATTCCATGAAACCATGCGCATGTGCACCCAACAGCCTGCTCGTGAATGTAATACTCCGAGTGAATTTCCCCTGTGATGTTTTTTCCTCTTTATCAGTTGTGGGTCTTGAACTCTGGGCCTTGGCGCTGTCCCTCAGCTCTTCAGCTCCAGGCGAGCGCTCTACCACGTGAGCCACAGCGCCACTTCTGGTTTTCTAGTGGTTTATTGGAGATAAGAGTCTCACGGACTTTCCTTCCCTGGGCTGGCTTTGAACCGCGATCCTCAGATCTCAGCCTCCTGAGTAGCTAGGATTCCAGGCGTGAGCCACCAGCGCCCCAGCTTCTAGTGATTTTTTTTTTTTCACATGTGAGAGGCTTAGCTCCTGAGCTCCTGGGCATGCGTGCCTGTGTGCATTGGTACTGGGGCTTGAACTTGGGGCCTCACACGCTTGATTGGCTTTTTCCATTCAAGACTGGCGCTCTTCCCCAGAAGCCGCCACAGAGTGTGCTGGCTCCTTAGGAGCGTCTCCTGCATGTTCCTACCTGGGCTGGCTTTGAGCCATGGTCTTCAGATCTCGGCCTCCTGAGTAACTGGAATTACAGGCGTGAGCCAGGGCGCCTGGCTGGCTAGGTGGAGAAGCCTAGCACCTCCTCACCAGCACCCCAAAAGCAGATTCTCTAATTCTCCATGCGTGCAGGGCGGGGCGGGGGAGGGCACGGCACCCCAGATCTCACGTCTAGCGAGCAGGAAGCTGGAGTTGGCACCTACCTCCACCCCCAGGGTGTTCTGGAATCTTCAGGGGCCCTGGAGTGACTTGGCACCCCTCTTCCTTGTCCTCCACCCTCTCTTCTTCCCCGGACCCCAGTTCTTTTCCAGTTCGCCCCCTGCGCTCTGCGGGGTGAGCGGGAGCCTGGCCTCTGGGGGGGGGTGTTGAGCATGAGCTGCACACAGGGGTGTGGGGGTCACCTTGGGGGGGGATGAGCTGGGTGAGAGACAGGGGTAAGGACCTGGCGCCTGCGGTCTGCCTGGAGCCCAAGCATGGCAAAGGCGGGGGGGCCGCTCCCCGCCAGGGAAGGGCTGGCCGCCACCTCGGGACCTGCGCTCCATCTACAGCTCCACTCCCACCCTAGGTGTCCTGTTCTGTGGCTCGCGCCCCCCATGACACCCAAACCCAGAGGAGAGGCTGCAGACGCGGGACTGAGGAAGGTCTATTGTTGGGGGGGGCGGCTTGCGCCTGGGACAGGGTACCCAGAGGTGAGCGTGGCGGAGGCCCTGGACCTGTCGCTGCGCACGGCAGGGTCCAGGCGTCTCGGGGGACCCGGGCCCTGTGGCCCCCTCCCCAGGGTTCCAAACCTCGCTGGCCAGGCGGGGCGGAGCGGGGTGCTGCACCCCCTGTAGGGCCACGGTCAAGGTCAGTCCCCGGCCCTGTTTGTATGGGCTCCCGACCAAGTCAGCAAACACAGCATGCCCGGAGGCTCCCGGGGGGGGGGGGGGGCTCAGGGGACTCCCCCAGGAAGAGCCCCCTGCCCGGCTCCTTCCTGGCCCCCGCTGGCCTCGGCTCCTTCCTTCTGGATAGGAGCCTAGAAGCCCGGGAGCATATAAGGGGAGGCGCGGGCGCCGGCTCCCACGACCGACTCCGACGCAGGTGAGGTGCGGGGCTCCCGTGGGTGGCCGGGTGGGTGGGGCCGGCCGGGGCCTCTCTGAAGGCCCAGCGGCCTCCTCCTCTCTCCAGAGCCCTGAACGCACCGCTCCGTCAGAGACCATGCTGCTCCTGCTGGCTCTCTCCCTCCTGGGCGGCGCCGCCGGCTTCCTAAGCAGTGAGTCTGCCTTGCCCTTCCCCCCCTGCCCCCCCATCCCGGGTCCCAGACCAAGTGTGGACACAGGGCCATGGCGTCTGGCTTGGTGGCAGAGCCACCAGGCCCACGCACCTGGACTCTTCCCCATTGTCCTCCACACAGACTACTACGGCCGGATGTGCGCCACCCACTTCTGCATCTACTCCCACAATGGAGACGACCTCACGGGGCTGCGGGTGTACGAACAGTCCGACCACATGATCGGGTGGGTATGTCCGGAATCTCGGCCCCGCCGCTGCGGCCCAGCGGCCCCGGGGCTCCCGGCACTCACGACAGCACCGCCTCCCGGCCAGCTCCTCCTCCCCGCGCTCCCATCTGGCTGCCAATGGTGCTCTGGGGTCAGTTCATCTTTGGGGTCCCAGAGATTCCAGCCTCTGCGCCCCCCAACTCCTCTGTGGCTGTCAGCCTCACTCCTTGTCACCTTGGACGGATGACCAGAGGGTTGCCAGTGCCTTTCTGCCTTTCAATCCGAACACAACTCAACCCACAAGGGCCTTAGTCCCGGTGCTGACAGGAAAAAAAAAAATCAAGGGCAACTCTGCCAGGTTAGAGTCAAAGAGGCAAAGCTGACGAGGGTCGGAGTGGACTGGTCAAATATTAGTGGCTATAAAATCCAAGACCTGATGTGTGTGTGTGTGTGTGTGTGTGTGTGTGTGTGCGTGCACGTGCGTGCACACATGCACTGGTACTAGGGCTTGAAGTCAGGGCCTGAAGCTCTTTCTTGGCTTTTTTTCTCCCAAAAGGCTGGTGCTCTACCAGTTGAGCCATGCACCCAGCTGTGGCTTTTTGCTGGTTCTTTGGAGATAAGAGTCTCTGGGATTTGTCTGCCTGGCCAGGCTGGGTTCAAACTTGGATCTTCAGAATCTCAGGCAGCTAGGATGATAAGCGCCAGCCGCCAGCAGTCAGCTTCTAGGTGGATCTCTACCTTGCATTTTGGGGTGTCAGGGACATGGGAAAGAGAGGGCACAGAGGCACCACAGCAGAGGAGCTGGCTTGAATGGCTCTCAGGAGGCTGAGAGCTGATGATGGCAGTTCCCAGCCAGCCCAGGCCGGAAAAGTCTGACTCATCTCCCATTAACCACAAAACGGAGCTGTGGCTCAAGCATTGGAGCACCAGCTGTGCACCGAGGGCTGTGGGAAGCGCGCAGGCCGGAGCGAGCATGGTGTGCCCTGGGAAGCCGGGCTGGAGGCCCGGAGAGGCCAGCGCCCCGGGGCTCAGTATACGGCTCTCTTCCAGGATTCAGGCGAAGTTCGGAGAGTGCTGGAGTCCCCTATACGGCAGAACTGGAAGAGGGATGGTCAATGAGCTCGTTTTACGTCCCGGGGAACGGATCACCTCAGTCATGGGCTCCCACCTGGGCAATATTCGCAGCATCTTGGTGGACACCCAGGAACGCCAGCACCTGTTCGGGACGATGAAGGGCCAGGAGTTCCTGGTGAACCCCAACAACCGAGGTGATGTGCTGAAGGGCATCTGTGGGCTCCGTGACTCCGTCTTCATCAGGTCCCTGGCCTTTAATTGGGGTGAGTTCAAGGAAAACTCCACCACCACGAATTGTTAAGAGTCCACGGCCAGCCAGAGCCCTCCCAAGCCCCGGGCTGAGCTGTCTGGGTGGGGGGTACGCTCGTAGTGGTATTGGGGTAACGGAACTGGGACTTGGAATCTGATTCCACCAATAAATAAAGTTTCTGCAAGAACGCGGCGTCCAGATGTGGTCCTTGTGTCCCAGCAGCCACAGGATGGGGGGGACGGGAAGGGGGGGACAGAGCCTGAGGGGCGGGAAGGAGAGGCGGGCGGAGGTGACCCCGGGAGGCGACGGTGCCCAGGGTTTGGCGCCTGTCTGAAAACCAGGCCAGTCCCACAGCCTCCGAGGGGGTCACGAGCCAAGGCTGCCCGTCTCCCTGGCCCCCGCCAGACACCAGCCCCGCACCCTGGCCGTTCAGCTGTCCACTTAGCAAACACGTGCCAAGAACTTCCCCATACCCCCCAAGTCTGCGTGTTCTAGAACATTCTTCAGGGCCTGTGTTTGCTTTCCAAAGAGAGGACCTCCCCTTCTCCTGGGGGAGGATCCCCTTCTTCTGGGGGGAAGACCCCCTTCTCCTGGGGCAGGACCCCCTCTCCCAGAGACAAGGACCAGGCGGGTGCACTGGGTGCAGAGCTTTATTGGGCGCGGGTCACCGGGCCGCCCAGCCCGGCCAGCCGAGCGCCCCTGACTCCGGGGAGGGCGTGGCTGGCCCCCGGGTGGGCGTGGCTTGTCCCCGGGTGGGCGTGGCTGGCCCCCGGGTGGGCGTGGCTGGCCCCCGGGTGGGCGTGGCTGGCCCCTGGGCGGGCGTGGCTTGTCCCCTGGTGGGCGTGGCGGGCCCCTCCGGAGCCGACCCCCACTTGAAGCCGATGCCGGACAGGCAGAGGAGGCGGTGCTGGCCGTTGACGGTCAGGAGCCGCGCGTCCCGGGCCGCGGGCTGGGCGCGGAACGGGCGGCCGAGCGGGCGGCCGAAGGCGGCCTCGCGCCCCGCGCTCGTGACCCAGCGCAGCCGCCAGACGCAGGCGAGCGCGCGCCCGTCCGCCGCGATCACGCGCTCGCCCGGCCGCAGCGTCAGCTCCCGCGCGCGCCCGCCTGGCGCTCCGTAGTGCGCGCTCCAGGCCGAGCCGAACCGCAGCTGGATGCTGGGAGGGCGGGGAGGGGAGGGGAGCGGAGGGCGGAGGGGAAGGCGTGATGGGCGGGGCGTGCGGAGGGGCGGGGCGTGCGGAGGGGCGGGGCGTGCGGAGGGGCGGGGCGGGGCGTGCGGAGGGGCGGGGCGTACGGAGGGGCGGGGCGGGGCGTGATGGGCGGGGCGTGAGGATAGGGGGGCGGAGAGGGGAGGGATGGAGAGGGGTGGGACGGGGAGAGAAGGGGCCGGTCAGCCCGCACTGCCCACCTACCTGGCCCTTCCCTCTCTTGCCTCAACCCCGCCCCCCTTCCCAAAGCATGAGCATCGATCTGTGTGTCTGTGTGTCTGTCTCCAGGTCTCTCTGTGTCTGTCTGTAAGCCTGTCTGTATGTCTGTGTGTGTGTCTGTCTTAGGTCTCTCTGTAGGTCTGTCTGTGTGTCTGTAGGTCTGTCTGTAGGTTTGTGTGTCTGTGTGTCTATGTGTCTGTGTGTCTGTAGGTCTGTGTGTGTCAGTCTGTAGGTCTCTCTGTGTCTGTCTATCTGTAGGACTGTCGGTCAGTCTGTCTGTCATTGTCTCTCTGGGACGGAGGCAGTGTGCAGCCTGGCCCAGATCAGTGGGTCCTCTGGCCCTGGCTTCTTTCGGACCCACGTGGCGAGGCCCCCAGCGCGGCTTGGGTCATGGGTGATGTCTCTGTGGTTTCCCGGCAGGCTACGCCCAGCCTAGTGCCCCAGTCGGGCTCCCCCCACCCCCACCTCCTCCTGAGGCCATTTCTTTACGGGGTCTGCCCAGCTCTCACTCCCATCTGGGAGGCTTCCGGGCACGCAGGGTGAGCAGCGGTGGCAGCCACGCTGAGGCCTGAGGTCCTGGAGCCGAAGACTGCCCTGGGGTGGTCCGGACTGCCGGAGTCCGGCCGTCCCTGCCCTGGCCTGCTAAGACACCCCACGCGGGCTGCCAGATGCCACGCAGGACCTTAGTTCAATTTGAACTTCAGATAAGGAATGATTTTTTATATGAGTGTTACATTAAAAATTAATACAGCTCCAGGCTGGCGCTCTACCTCTTAAGCCACAGCCCTGCTTCTGGCTTTTTGCTGGTTACTTGGAGATAAGAGTCTCACGGACTTTCCTGCCTGGGTTGGCTTTGAACTGCGATCCTCAGATCTCAACCTCCTGAGTCTCTGGGATGACAGATGTGAGTCACAGGCGCCTGGCTACATTTCAGTGTTGTAAGGAGTAAATATGCTCCAAACCCTGCACGCACAGGACACACTCAGATTGAGCGACCACCCCTTGTCGATCTGGGACGCAGAGATGTGGGGTGTCCGGTACTTGTATTTGCTAAATTTAGCACCCACAGTTGGAGCCGCTGTGGATGCTGCGGGCGTGGGCAGGAACTCCCACACTTTAAATCCACACGCAGCCCGGGGGTGATCCATTTCCCCTGCACCCCACACATGGTTTTGGTCACTACCGAGGGACGCTAAGGCCACCAGAGCCACGTCGGGAGGGGACATCAGAGCTTCAGCGGTCCTCTCTGACCAGGGTCCCCTTTCCCGGGGCCTCTCCACCCACCCGCACCGCCCGCCCGCACTGCCGCCCGGGCTGGCATTTCAGCCTGCAGAGGCAGCTTTCAGTCCAGGCGGGGAGCGTTGGATAATCGAGGTCAGGAAGACAGCGTGGCTTTTAAGGGAGCAGCCGCGAGGCCCGGCACATCATGGGCATCGAGGGCTAGGGCAGAGCCTCGTTCACCCCTGGATGGAGCCCCACTCACCCCTTGATGAAGCCCAGGATGCCCACAAAGACGCGGATGGCCCGGATCTCCCCCTGTTCCTCGCCCTGGATGTAGAAGTAGGTGCCGCCTCCCAGGCCCTGCATCTCTGGGAGAAAGCAGCGGACGGTGAGGCAGCGGGAGAGAGCTGGCGCCACGCTGCGGCTTCACACGTGGGCCCAGCTTCCTGGCGGGATGGTGGGGGCCGGGGAGGCCCGGGCGGAGTGGGGCTCACCCTGGGCCTGGCAGGCGGGACTGGCGAGGAGGCCCAGGGTCAGCAGAAACAGCATGGTGGCCAGGCCCGTCACAGCCCCGCAGTCAGGAGCCTCAGGCCGAGGCCAGACTTCAAGGACGTTCTCCTGGGGAGGACACCTCAGAGGTGAGGAACCTGGAAGGGAGAGCCAAGGGTCTTTCAGGAACCTTCCTTTCCCACACAGGCTGTGTGTGTGTGTGTGTGTGTGCGTGTGTGTGTCCGTACTATTGCTTGAACTCAAGGCCTGGTCACTGTTCCTTAGCACCTTCCCTCCAAACTAGATCTCTCTCACTTTTGCCACAGCGCCACTTCTGGCTTTTTTGGTGATCTTATTGGCAATCAGCGTCTTCCAGTCTTTTTGTTGTTGGTGGTGGTTGTGGGGCTTGAACTCTGGGCCTGGGCGCTGTCCCTCAGCTCTTCAGCCCAAGGCGAATGCTCTACTACTTGAGCCACAGCGCCACCTCCGGTTTTCTGGCGGTTTATTGGAGATAAGAGTCTCATGGACTTTCCTGCCCCGGGCTGTCTTTGAACCGCGATCCTCAGATCTCAGCCTCCTGAGTAGCTGGGATTCCACGCGTGAGCCACCTGCGCTGCACTGGCGAAGCCTTTGTGCGCTGACAGGAGAGCCGGTGGCTTTGCTCCCGTGTCGGCGTGGGGAAGGGGAAGTGATCTAACAAGTCTGATCATGGAGCCCCACAGTGTCCTATCCCGGGACCCCCAAAATTGTGGCTGCTCCAGGGAGAGTCCTGAATGGGAAGGGCCCCCTGCTCCCTGACTTAGCTCCTGGCAGTCACCCCACATCCCCCCTTGCCTCTCCTAGATGACAGCCCACCCCTTACCTGCACTGTGTGGCCTGGGCCCTCAGCTGCCCGTTTATATTGGGGTGCCGGGAAGAACCCCCACTACTGTGGCTCCACCCCCAGCAGGGGTACGTGCCGGAGCACAGAACTCCCCATCCTGGGACACTGTTTGCGTTCCCGTCCACAGCCCGGGCACAAACGAGCCCCTCAGGCCAGGCCATGCTTGGCCGGGAGCCGCCACAGGCTGCCCAGGAGCTGGCCGAGGAGGGAGGGGTCACACTTGGTGACATCAAGCAGCCCCGGCCAAGCCAGGGGCCCCGGCCAAGGGGCCGGTGTTGGCTCTGAGTCCAGGCCTAGGCGCGCGGGAGGCAGGAGCGCACATCCCACCCCCGAGGGCCAGGGCCGAGGGCCGGCCTTGGAGACCGGGCAGGGCACCCCCTCATTGGGACAAAGGTGCTGGAAGTCACTTCCAACACCGTCCTCCAAAGGACTCGCCTGCCCACGCCTCCCTGCAGGGACTGCTCACCCCAGCACCCAGGACGCAGGAACCGAGCGCAAACACGGCCAGGACGCTTGCCAAGTTCCCGGGAGCTTCAAGACAGCCTTGAACCTGGCTTCACCCTGGGGCTCGTTTTGTAGCCAAAGACAAGGAAATGCCGAGGGAGACCGAGATTGACTCCAGCTCCACCTGTATTGGTTTTGGTTTGGGAGTCTGATACTGGGGCTTGAACTCGGGGCCTGGGCACTGCCCCTGATCTCTAGGCTCAAGGCTAGCGCTCTACCATCTGAGCCACAGCTCCACTTCCAGATTTTTTTGGGCACTTAATTGAAGAGTCTCTGGAGCTGAGCACCGGTGGCTCATGCCTGTAATCCTAGCTACCAGAAGGCTGAGATCCGAGGATCGCAGTTCAAAGCCAGCCTGGGAGGAAAAGTCCCCAAGAGACTCATCTCCAATTAACCACTGAAAAGAGGGAAGAGTCACTGTGGCTCAAGTAGTAGAGCGCTAGCCTTGAGCACCAAGAGGCTCAAGGACAGCACCCAGGCCCTGAGTTCAAGCCCCACCACCACCAACAGACATGTCTGTGAGATTTGTCTGTCTGGGCTGGCTTCCACTGGCGATCCTCAGATCAGGCAGCTGCTCAGCTTCCTGAGTAGCTAAGATTATAGGCGAGAGCCACTGGCACCTGTGTCCAGGTGTCTGACTTCGGAGCAGCATCTATGGCTCCTGTACCATCCAACTGCTCCTCAGCACCCTCCCTCAGGCATCCAGCACCCCCACACCCTCACCCCGGGGGTCCCCTGACAGCATGCACCCTCTTCCTCTCCCTAGCTCAGGGGCAGCCCTGCCTAGCCCCAGGCCAGCCTGCCCAGGGCCTGGGGAGAGGTGTTCAGTGCTGGGCAGCCCCCCCCCCCCGCCCCACACCTGGCACAGACTCCTGACGGATGCTGCCATGGGAGTGGGGGTGGGGTGAGGCGGAAGAGGAGCTGCGTAGCAGAGCCCTCAGCAAACAGCAAACACCAGGAAAAGGACACGGGAACACCGCACAAAGGGCTGGCGGCCCGGCTACCAGCCTGAGGCGGAAAACCTCATTGCGTTCAGGGCCCTTCCTTCTGCCCAGCCAGGGCAGCTTCCCGGGAGGGGCGGGGGGGGGGCAGGCCTTCTCCCTCCAGCCCCAGCAGGCAGAAGCCACCTGATCTCTGCTGGCCCCGAGGGTCCTGTCTCGGCAGGGAAGCCTCTGCCCAGCCATTCCCGGGCCTGGTCTCCACCAAGAGCTGAAGACCTGCTCTCGGGAGCCGCTAGGCCCAGGGCTGCCAGTTATACCCCATGGCTGCCTTCAAACCTCCATCCTCAGATCTCAGCCTCCTGAGTAGCTAGTGCTTTAGGCTTAACTAGAGAAGACGTGGGGGCGGACGCGCCAGTCTGTGGCACTGAAGCGTCCTGGGCCGGATGGAGTAAGGAGTCAATGTTTGGGTTTTGGTTTTGCTTTTGCTTTTACTTTAGCAATGAGCCATTGAAGTGCCTGTTACATCAGGGTCAGGTAACTGGCTGTGTATGGAGACATTTTGGGGGTCCCACTGGGGGAGGTCCTTGGTCTCCAGAAGACCCCTGGCCTGGGAGGTGGGGTGGGCAAGCAGGCAGGTGCGGAGCTCCAAGCAGAAGTTGGGGGGCTCAGGGCTGGGAAGGTGGCTCAGTGGTAGAGCGCTTGCCTTGCATGCCTGAGGCCCTGGATTCGATTCCTCAGCACCACATAAGCAAAAAGAAAAAAGCCGGAAGTGGTGCTATGGCTCAAGTGGTAGAGCGCTAGCCTTGACCTGAAGAGCTCAGAGACAGTGCCCAGGCCCAGAGTTCAGGACCCATGACTGGACCCCCAAAAAAAAGAAGTTGGGGGGCTCTGAGCCTCTCGGCCTGCCCAGCACCCTGCACGCCCTGCCCCTTCCAGGGCTCTGGTGGGGTGGAGGACGGGCCAGGGACGCAGGACGCTGCGCTCACCCCAACTCGATTAAAAGCACACGGGCATCATGGGGGCTTTGTTGTTGTTTGAGGTTCCCCCCGCCCCTGGTCTCACAGTCCCCTACTGAGAAAGCAGCATCTGACCTTATCTGCCTAACTCCACAGAAAGAAACACCCAGAAACCCAGGGCACAGCAGACTCCTGTGCCCCGGTGACCTCCACGGGGGACGTCGGCCAGGCGACAATGGCAAAGCTGTCACGGGAGAGGGTGAGCCGCCAGCGGCCCGCGAGGGACAACTCTGCGGCCAGGGGCAAGGCCGCGCCTGTGTCTCCGCCGTTGCCCGGTAGCTAGGCCTGAATTCTTTTCCACGTTGGAGGTGAGAATTGTGGGCCCCGAGAATCAAGGCTCCCGCTTTCATGGACCCCTTCAGACAAGGGCAGGTGTTAGGGCAGGGTTTCTTTGGGCCCCAAACCTCAGATTCAGGGATCAGCTTGCCTCCACGGCTTCTCTGTTCTTGGACCCCAATCTCTCTGGGCTGATGCGTGTGACACACACTCTGAGAGATTCCCAAAGACTTTTCCTCCCTGTGGTGGGGATTGAACCTAAGATCTCCTGTTTGCACTGTTCCCTTGAGCCACACTCCCAGCCCTGAAAAGGGAAAAAACAGCTGCAAAACGAGGCCCTGGTGTGGCCCAGGGCCCAGGGCCCCGATTCCAACATTGGCGCATTATTTAGTGCCAGTCTTGGGGCTTGAACTCAGAGCCTAGACACTGGCCCAGAGCTTCTTTTGCTCAAGGCTAGCGCTCTACCACTAAACCACCTTCCCAGCCCTTTTTTGGTTCCTAATTGGAGAATCTCATGGACTTTCTTGTGAGGGCTGGCTGGCTTCGAACTGTGATCCTCAGAACTTAGCTTCCTGAGTAGCCAGGACTACAGGCGTGAGCCACCAGCGCCCAGCTCCATGCTTCTAGCATTGTGTACAAGCAGATCATGTTTTCTGTTGTTAATGAGAGATAGGGATTTTTATTCTGTGTGCAGCCCTGTTTATAGAAATGTCCCTCCGTGCTCACCCGTCCCTCAGCTCCACGGGCGTCCAGTGCCCGCGGTGACTGAGCGAGGGGCACGGGCACGCAGCCCCGGGGGTCAGCAGACCGCCCTGCGATGCAGTCTCAGTGCCAAGATCAAAGGATGTGCGCAGCAGCCCTGGGCCGGCCCAGCAGCTGCCCCGTGCGGCCATACCCCGTCTCCCAGCGCCCCAGCACCAGCCCCAACAACCCTCATTCAGATGTGTGATTTCTGTCTCAGCAGAGCCAAAACCCGAGGCTGAGCTGGGAATGTGAGAGGAGGAGGGAGAGAGGTTCGGACAACAGTGAGAAATTCTGTGCTGCGTGGAGAAATGGGTTTCTACTGGTTGTTTTGGGGTATTTTTGGATGTTTATGCTTGAAATCTGTAGTTTGAATCTTTTTCTTGGAATAAGACGTGTCACTGGGTGGGTGGATGGATGGAGAGATGTGTAGATGGATGATGGATGTGTGGATAGATGGACAGATGAATGGGCGGTTGGATGGATGGGTGGATGGACGGACAGATGGACGTGTGGATGGGTGGGTGGGTGGACAGGTGGATGAACAGAGGAAAGAGTAGGTGGAGGAACACACTAGCATTCATCACACACCTGTGGGGACCGGGCGTGGCGTAACACATTTGCACAATTGTTGCTGGTTTAATTGCCATCAGCCTCGGGCGGCTGTTCTTTTCCAGTGTTTCCAGATGAGGGACGGAGGGCTGGAGGTGGAGTCACTCTCCTGAGTCATTCAGATTTCCACCAAGTCCCACGGCCTTCCCGCTGCCTCGGGCTCCGGTGCCCCTCCCCCGCTTGGCTTTTCTTGCTGTGGAAACCAAGGCCCGGCCCGGGCGCGCCGTGTGACCGTGTGACTCGTGGCCCGCTCTGCGTGCCGAGTGGAGGCGCCCGGCTGGGCCCTGCGCCGCCGGCCGGGGGGAGTCAGGGGCCCGGCGCCCCCTTTGCCTCCCGCCTCTGCCGGTCCTCTCTTCCTGGCCCCATCACCCCTCCACCCCGGTGACAGAAGCCAGCCCGTCTCTCTTCCGGAACATTCGGGTCACCTGTGACCACTTCCTCATCCGTGTTCCGGAGCTCGTCTACGTGCTGGCTGCGGATGGCCTCCTCTTACACAACCTTGCACGCGGCCCGCCCGGCCCGGAACAAACCCGTCACAGTCCAGGGCCTGCAGGGCCGGGTGCCCCAGAGTGCGGCCAGCGGGCGCGGGCGGGGATTGGCTGGACGGGCACCGCTGCTCCGGCTTCCACGCCCTTGATTGGCTCCTGCTGCAGTAGTGAGCTGGGGACGGGTCTTCGTAGGGAGACGGTGTGAGTTCAAGTCCCCCCCCTACCCCGGGTGCCATGTGTACCCCTGTGGGGATCCAGGGTGGGGAAGAGGAGACCAGGAGGCCGGCAAAGGCCGGGTGCTGGCCACGGCTTCGGCCCCCTCCTGTCATCTGAAGGGGGGACAGAGGCGGGGAGGGTGGGTGGGGGAGCCCCCAGGGGGCATCGGTGCCTGCAGTTGTTGGAAAATGGGGTTGGGGGTCTGCCGGGGGCCCGTGGGCCCTGGAACACGCGGTGGCTGGCGTTGGTGCTGGATAGGAGGCTGGGGGTCGAGGCCGGGGAGGAAGACCAGCCGCAGCGTGGCGGCAGAAGCGCAGGGGACGCGAGGAGGAGGCCTGGTGGCTGGAGTCTGCGCGTCCTCTTAGTGTAACAGAGCAGTGGAGAGACGGGCTGGCGGTAGCAAGACAACACTTGGAAGTTACTAGCCAGAGGAAGTCATCAGACAAGGTGGACAAACCGGCAAGCTAGAACCTTCCACAGGCACTCAGAAGGTTGGGGCAGGCCCGTGGGGTGCTGGGAGCCCAGGGGGGAGGGGAGGGCTCGGGGGAGGGAGGGGCCGGGATGGAGGGGAGAGAGGACACAGACCACCCACCGTAAAGGAGAGCCCGCTGGCAAAGCCGTCCTCCTGCGGGAGGCTGGGGGCAGGTGAGATCCTGGCCCGGCCGCACTGCACAGACCCCACGCACAGCCCCAGGGCGGGGACGGCAGGGGGGTGCAGGGGGCGGAGGCTCAGCCCCGGGGGACTCTGTCCTCCCCTGCCCCAAATGAGCAAATACTAGCTGGACAACCACGGCTCCCCCATCATCCTAGCCACTCAGGAGGCTGAGATCTGAGGATCCACAGTTCAAAGCCAGCCCCTGCAAGAAAATCCGTGAGACTCTTCTCTACAGTTAACCACCAAAAAGTCAGCCACGGAGCTGTGGCCTGGAGAGGAGAGTGCCAGCCTTGAGAAAAGGAACACAAAAAAAAAAGCAAAGAAAGGGAAAAGCTCAGGAACAGCGCCTCCCCTATGGCCAATCCCTAGGACCGACTCAGAAACCAGCAACAGGAGCAAATAAAGAAACGCTCGTTGCCATCACCATGATCCGCTCGCGATGCTGTGAATGTTGGGGTCCCGCGGGATTCCTCACGCTGGACTCTCATACTCGAGGTCCTAAGAGGCGGCCAGCTCAAGCGGGCGCCGTGGACGCCCTGCCAGCAGGGGTGCCAGGGGAGGGCGGCTGGGAGGAGGGGAGGGGATGGCTGCCCCAGCTTCCCCAGTGCTGTTTCTGGGCCCCTCGCTGGGCTCCCAGCGCCCTGGGCCCCATGGCTCATAACTGCAACTTCTCAGCCTCCACGCGGCGCCGGCCCGGCTCCCATCAGTGCAGGTGTGCACCGGGACCCGAGCAGAGCACACACCTAGGAAGCTTCCAGAACAAGGCTGCAGGGGCGGGTTGGACCCCGCTGCGCCAGGGGACCCCTCCTGGACAGCACCAGCACCCCGGCCCCATACATGCAGGCCGGGGCACTGGAGGAAGTGCTGGCCGCTCTGGGGGAGGGGCCTCGGCTTCCCACGCCACGGCCCAGCCTGCTTCTCAGGCCTGGGGGCCCCTAAGGCTGAGGTCTCCATCCTGGGGCCCTACCCCTCTACCTGAGATCATTCTGGGCATGGATTCTTCCCCCCACCCCCCCTCAGTCCTGGGGCTTGAACTCAGGGCCTGGGCGCTGTCCCTGAGCCTCTCTGTGTTCAAGGCTAGCACTCTACCACTGGAGCCATAGCACAACTCTGGCTTTTTCTGTGTATGTGGTACTGAGGAATCGAACCCGGGGCTTCATGCATGCTAGGCAAGCACCCTGCCACTGAGCCACCTTCCCAGCCCTCTGGACATGGATTCTCAGGGGCTTCTGCAAAGATCCCTCCTCTGGGAGGGGGGAGAGGAAGGAGGGACCTGGTAAGGAGACTGAGCGATCAAAAACAGAAAATCAATCTGGGACAAGAAAAAACCAGGCACCACAGGAGGGAGACTAGGGGAGGAAGAGAGAGGGGCAGGCCCCGGTGGGAGGAGGCGAGGGCTGGGGGGTTGTTGGGGTGAGAGGCGCAGGTGCTGGAGGAAGCCGCGGTGGAGTGGGGAAGAGGGAGGGAGGGAGGCCAGGAAATGAGGTTTGGAAGAGGAAGGTCAGGGACAGTCACCGGCAGAAAGGGCACTGGGTCACAAGGCCAAGGGCCCGGCACCGCCGCCACCGGTGTGGCCGCCCTGACTCAGGCTCTCCAGCTGCTTCCGCAGCAGCTCGTTTGTTTTTAAAGAAACATTCATTGTTTTCTGAAAATAATCCTAAGGTAATCAAAACAATGTGACTGGGGCCAGGCTGTGACTCCGGGCAGAAGCTCGCTCAGCATGCAAGGCCCCGAGTTCCATCCCGGCTCTGAAGAAATAAAGAGGCCGGGCGGGGCGGCTCACTTCGGCCATCCCCGGGAGAACCACGGCTTGAAGCGCGTGTGGACAAAGCACTCGTGGGACTCCTTCTCCACAAAACAAGCCCGGCGTGCTGGGCCACATTTGCGACCCAGCTCCATCACAGCCCCGCGGTGAGGCCCGCGGCCCTCTATAACTAACCAGAGCAAGCAGGAGCTGGCCGGGCTCCAGCAGGATCTGTCTAGCAAAGGCAAAGTCCTGAACTCAGACCCCAGTATGGGCTGGGAGCTGGCGTCTCGCCCCTGAACTCTGAGCTACTCAGGAGGATGCCATCTGAGGATCTCATTTTGAAGCCAGCCTGGGCATTAATGGCCATGAGATCCTTATCTCCAAAGAACCACCCGAAAGCCGGGAGTGGTCGAGTACCAGCCTTGAGTGGAGAAGCTAAGAGACAGCACCCAGGTTCTGGGTTCAAGACCTAGTTCAGGAACCGGAAACAATAACAACAGAAAAGCAACATCAAAAGTAAATGCGTACATGCATTCATTACATAATGATATATATGAAATACATACGAATCGCATATTGAAATAGACGTAAATTATATATGTGATATACTGTATACGTTTATATATTATATATGTGAAATGCGTGTGAATTCTGTATTATGTATGTATACACGCGGACCGCGAGCCACCCCCAGTCACCCAGGGATTACCCGGGGCCGGGGCGGGGCGCTGAGGCCCCCAGTCACCCAGGGATTACCCGGGGCCGGGGCGGGGCGCTGAGGCCCGGGGGAGGGCATAGCCGGTCCCTGGGCGGGCAGGAAGTCGCACCAGGCTTGACGGAGGCATGGCTGAGGACGGAGGGTGAGGTGAGGGAAGACTGGACCGGCCCTCTGCGGAACTGTTTTGTTCCTTCGTGGTGGGGAGGAACGTGTAAGTCAGGCTGAGTCACTGCATGAATCAGCGCCTGGCAGGGAGGGCACAGGCTCAGATCAGGGAGGGGCTCTGATGGTCCAGACTTGGACCTCTCCATCCAAGCCCCCCTCGCCCCGAGCACTGCCACCAGGAGCGGGTGCCCAGGCCTGGAGAGGGGCACCACCCTTTTCTGCTGGGGCTTCCCGCAGGCATGCCTGCCTCGGTGCCCGAGCCTGGCCTCCAGAGCCTGGCCTCCAGAGCCTGACCTCCAGAGCCTGACCTCCAGAGCCTGGCCTCCAGAGCCTGAACTCCAGAGCCTGGCCTCCAGAGCCTGACCTCCAGAGCTGGACCTCCAGAGCCTGACCTCCAGAGCCTGCCCTCTAGAGCTGGACCTCCAGAGCCTGATCTCTAGAGCCTGGCCTCCAGAGCCTGATCTCCAGTGCCGGGCCTCCAGAGCAGTTTCCAGAGCCCGGTCTCCAGAGCTGGGCCTCTAGAGCTGGACCTCTACAGCTGGACCTCCAGAGCCGGGCCTCCAGAGCTGGATCTCTAGTGCCGGGCCTCCAGGTGGTCACAGCCCCGGCCTCCTCTCCCCTCGGGGACGGAGGGCACCAGGACAAAGGCCTGGTCTGGACGCCTGCAGCCAGGCCACCATGCAACCTCACACGGCCCCCACGGACGCCCCCCCACAGGAAGCACGGGGTCTGGAGCGCATAATTTATTGAAATTGGGAGAATAAATATGGGGCAGGGTCACAAAGCGCTGTAAAAATCAGAGCAACCTATTTACATGGCGGGGACAGCAGCGGCCGGCCAGGGGCGTGGCCAGATCGGGGCGTGGCCAGATCGGGGCGTGGCCGACTCGAAGGGTGTGGCCGGGTCGCTGGGCGGTGGCTCGGTGGGCGTGGCTCTCCCGGTGGGCGTGGCCTCCGCCAGCGCAGCCCGCGCGCGCCCCCCAGAGGCCAACGGCTTACTCACCAGGGAGGAGGCGGCCGCGGTCCCGGGCTCCCGCGCCCCTCCCCGGCCCCCGGGGCCCCGTGGTCCCGCCGCCCCGCGGACGCCCGCGGAGCTGCACCCCCTGCACGACCCTCTGCACCCAGGAGCGGTGCGCCAGGAGGTTGGTGTAGACGCCGGGTCGGTTCCGCTCTGCGCAGCCCTCGCCCCAGCTGATGATGCCCCCGAGCAGCCAGGACCCCTCGACCTGGCACATGAGGGGGCCCCCGGAGTCGCCCTGCGGCCAAGGGAGGAGGTTAGGGCGGGGGGGGGGGGGGTGAGCACAGCGGAGGACGGGGGGGGGGGGGGAGGGAGGACTGGGGAGGGGAGGACTGGGGAGGGGGGACTGGGGAGGGGAGGAAGGGAGGACTGGGGAGGGGAGGACTGGGGAGGGGAGGACTGGGGAGGGGAGGACTGGGGGGAAGACTGCGGAGGGGAGGACTGGGGAGGGGAGGACTGGGGGGACTGGGTGAGGACTGGGGGGAGGACTGTGGAGGGGGGAGGACTGTGGAGGGGGAGACTGGGGAGGGGAGGACTGGGGAGGGGGGGCTTGGGGGGAGGACGGGGCAGCTCAGGACCCCGCACTCCTACAGGACAGGCAGCAGCTGGCCCTCCCCCGCCTGCGGGCGCAGGGATGTGGGAGGAGTAGCTGCTCCAGGGCCCGGCCGGCGCTGGCCAACCCAGGGGCTGACCGCGGGAGCCTCGTGCCATGCCTCGGGACGCCCGGCCTCGGGGGCAAGGGGTTCCCACAGCAGGCCAGCTCCTAACCATGTTGGCAGCCAGGCCAAGGGTGGCTCCTGCCTGCGATCCTAGCCACTCAGGAGGCTGAGACCTGGGAACCGAGGTTCAAAGCCAGCCTGGGCAGGAAGGTATGAGACTCTTGTTGCCAATGAACCAGCAGAGAAGCTGGAGGCTCAAGAAATGGACTGCTAACCTTGAGCAAAAAAACGTTAGGGAACAACACTCAGGGGCCTGAGTTCAAGCCCCAGGGTTGGCACGCACACCCCCCAAAAAAGAATGAGTTGGCGCCTCTGAGCTCTAAGTTGCTTGATGCCCAACGGATAGGCGAACAAGGACCTGGTGTCTGTCACCGGCGACAGGGGAGGGGGAGGGGGTGGCCGGGCAGGGCTGATGCGGGCACTCACCAGGCAGGCATCCCGCTGGCCCTCCAGGTAGCCCGCACACAGCATGTCCTCGGTGATGGCTTCCTGCCCGGCTCCCCGCCAGTACAGGAGGCTGCAGATCCCAGAGTCGATGATGGGCACCCTCAGCTTCTGCAGGGTCTGAGGGTGGGGCAGGGGCACTGGGGAGGGAGGAGGCGGTCAGGCCCCAGCCGTTGCCACAGAAGCAAGCGTTGCTCACAGACCTACGAAGCTCCCACCCCCAGGTGCTTTCATTAAACCCGAATTCCAGGTCTCCATCTCTGGACCCGCTGAATCTGAATCTGAAGGTGCAGCCTGAGATTCGCCATCGTTAATAAGTCCCGGGCTGGGAAGGGCGGTGTGCACTTGGAAACCCAGCGTTTGGAAGGTGGAGGCAGGAGCATTGCAAGTTCAAAGCCAGCGTGGGCTACACAGCGTGAGACGCAGCAGACTCTGTAACTAGTGAGCTGATTTTACAAACAATCTCCTTGGGCTGGGAAGGTGGCTCAGTGGTAGAGCACTCACCTTGTCAAGCATGAGGCCCTGGGTTCGATTCCTCAGCACCATATAAATGGAAAAAGCCGGAAGTGGCGCTGTAGCTCAAGTGGTAGAGCGCTAGCCTTGAGCTGAAGAGCTGAGGGACAGTGCCCAGGCCCAGAGTTCAGGCCCCACAACCATCCAAAATAAAATAATTTTTTTTTTTTTGGGAGGGGGTCCGGTTGTGGGCCTGAACTCTGGGCCTGGGCGCTGTCCCTCAGCTCTTCAGCTCAAGGCTAGCGCTCTACCACTTGAGCCACAGCGCCACTTCCGGCTTTTTTCTTTTTGCTTATGTGGTGCTGAGGAATCGAACCCAGGGCCTCAGGCATGCAAGGCAAGCGCTCTACCACTGAGCCAACTTCCCAGCCCTAAAATAATTTTTTTAAAATCTCCTTTAGGCCCCAAGGGGCTAAGCTGTCAGCCTTTCATTTCCTGTTTCTGACACTACTTTATCCAGCAAAGGATCACGCAGTGTCTTCGATTAATGTCCCATTATGCAACAAATGACACCAGGACCTGGGGGCACCCCCACACCCACAAACTGGTCTGTAGACTCCCCAAGGGGGCTGCAACCTGAGTCCCCACACAACTAAGCAGTTCTAGACCAGGTTAGAGCCCCATTTTCCTTTATCTATATCCAGTCTCCCTCTCCCCCTACTCTGTCTTCCAATCTTCATCATTCCTCTGTTGTAGACTGTTTCTGCCTTTCTTTTGCCCAGCCCAGGTTTGCTCTGCCCATCTTTACCTGCCAATCTGTCTCTTTCTTTTGCTTCTCTCTCTCTCTCTCTTTTTTTTTTTTTGTCGGTGGAGCTTGAACTCTGGGCCTGGGCGCTGCCCCTCAGCTCTTCAGCTCAAGGCGAGCGCTCTACCACTTGAGCCACAGCGCCACTTCCAGTTTTCTGGTGGTTTATTGGAGATCAGACTCTCACGGGCTTGCCTGCCTGGGCTGGCTTTGAACCTTAATACTCAGATCTCAGCCCCCTGAGTAGCTGGGATGACAGGCGTGAGCTACCGGCGCCTGGCTCTTCCGTCTTTTGAACCAGTTTGTGTTTCTAGAACCAAATGTTAATCCGATGCCTGCAATTGTGTCTCGCTGCCTCCAGGGGGTGCTGAGAATCTGCTGATTTCCCTTCCTCCAGGCCCCAGCTTGGCCCACCCAGCCCTCCATGCTTGTCCAGCGGCTGTGGTTACCCCAAACACAGCGGGGCACCTCTGACCTAGAGCGTGCCTCGCTGCCCACCTGGGCTTCTGTGACCCCCCATCTTTGGACCCTGGCCTCTGCCCTCTGGCCTCTGCCCTGCTGGTGGCGGGTGTGTCTGAGGGGCTGGGGCGGCCCTGGCGGTGGGGTCCGCACCTCCGTCACGGATGCTCCCCCAGCCCGCGATCCAGCACTGGGTGTGCGGCGGGAGGCGGACGGAAGCGTCTGGAAGGCAGATGGGCAGGACCCGCTCGGAGAACTGGACGGGGGGATGGAGGCGCAGCAGGGCGATGTCGGCGCCCGCGGCCTCCTTCCAGGAGTAGCGCGGGTGGGGGCAGCACCCAGGCGACGCCCGCCCGCTGCGCGCGGGGCCCGGGGCTCCCCAGCTTCCAGGCCCCCAGCAGCACGGAGAACAGGGAGAGCTGCTCCAGGTAACTGGAAGAGGAGGGGGGGGGTAAGGAAGGGAGGGTGCCGCGAGGGGCGGGGAACACGGGACAATCTCGGCCCGGGGACTCCACGGAGGGGCGGCAGGGTCTGAGGGACGCCTGCGAGCTGAGGGCGGGGACCTCGGCCTCGCTGGGCTGCGCCCCACGTACCCCTTGAAGCAGTGGGCGGCAGTGACCACCCAGCGCCTGGTGAGCAGCGAGCCCGCGCAGTGGTGGGTGCCGTTCTTGCGGATGCTCACCACCCACGGCCACTCGGCGTCGCCGCTGTCCTGGCCGCCCACCACCCTGTCCAGCCGCCGCGGCCGTCCGCACTCCGGGGGCGCTGCGGGGGGGGGGGGCCGGTCAGGCCGCCGGGGCGGCGACGCCCGCCCCTGTGACCCCCCATGACCCCCGGCCCCCGCCCTGCCCGGCACACACGCGCCCTGCCCGGCACACACGCGCCCTGCCCGGCACACACGCGCCCTGCCCGGCACACACGCGCTCCGCTGGCTGCCCCCCCCCCGTCCCTCCCTCCCCCCCCCCCCCTCCAGGGCCCACCGTCTCTGCCCTCTGGTCTTTCCCGCGCCCGCCCGCCCCACTCACCCGAGATGGCGGCTGCACCGAGGGTGGCTGAGGACGAGAGAGGCAGAGTGAGGCGCCCCGTCCCCCCAGCCCCCCCTCCCCCTGACCCCCCTAGCCCCCCAACCCCCCGGCTCCCCAGCCTGCCAACCCCCCCTCCCCCAGTCCCCCCGGCTCCCCCAGCCCCCCCAGCCCCCCCTGCTCCCCCCAGCCCCCCGGAACCCCCCCCAGCCCCCCCCCCCGGCCTCCCAGCCCCCCAATCCCCCACCCCCAGCCCCCCCCCCCCGCTCCCCCAGCCCCCCAACCCCCAACCCCCCGGACCCCCCCAGCTCCCCGGCTCCCCCAACCCCCCCAACCCTCCAGCACCCCCTCCATTCCCCCCAGCCCCCCCCCACTTCCTCAACCCCCCCAGCCCCCCGGCCTCCCCAGCCCCCCCAACCCCAGCCCCCCCTGGCTCCCCCAGCCCCCAACCCCCTGGCTCCCCCAGCCCCCAACCCCCTGGACCCCCCAGCCCCCCGGCTCCCCCCAACCCTCCAGCACCCCCTCCATTCCCCCCAGCCCCCCCCACTTCCTCAACCCCCCCAGCTCCCCCAGCCCCCCGGCCCCCCGGAACCCCCCCAGCCCCCCGGCCTCCCCAGCCCCCCCCAACCCCAGCCCCCCCTGGCTCCCCCAGCCCCAACCCCCTGGACCCCCCAGCCCCCCGGCTCCCCCCAACCCTCCAGCACCCCCTCCACTCCCCCCAGCCCCCCCCACTTCCTCAACCCCCCAGCTCCCCCAGCCCCCCAGCCCTCCAACCCCCCCCCCCCGGACCCCCAGCCCCCCCAGCCCAGCCCGGAGTCCCATTGGGGCAGACAAGCCAAGGCCTGGGGCACCGGGACAGCCGCCACCCCCAGGGCCTCCGCCCCGCCCGTGGCACACCCTGGGATCCCCAACACCGGTCCCAGACGCCGGCCTCCCCGGCCCCGGCCCCGGCTCCGTGTCCACGGGCAGCGGAGGTCAGGGCCTCCGCCTGGGCTCCATGCCGGCGCCGCCCGCAACCCAGGCCCGGCCGAGGCGCTGGCCGCGCGGAGGATGGGGAGAGACCCCAGTGTGCCCCCGAGGAAACTGAGGCAAGGGGTCGTTAGCATGCCAGAGAGAAATCACAGGCGTGCACGCACACGCACAGCGCACGCACGGCACACGCACAGCACACGTACACGCACAGCACACGCACACGCACACGCACGGCACACGCACACGCACGGCACACGCACACGCACGGCACACGCACGGCACACGCACGGCACACGCACGGCACACGCACAGCAGGCCCGGGTTCCAGGCAGGGGGGGGCTCACCTGGGGGAACCAGCAGCAGCAGCAGCAGCAGCAGCAGCCGCCGCCGCGCGGCCAGCGGCCCCCGACGGCCCCCGCCCAGGCCCGGGCGCGCTCCGGAACCCGCCATGCGCGCGAGTGGAGCCGGGGCGGCGCGGCGGGGGCTGAGGTCGGCGGCCGGGCTTTATGCTGGGGGTGGAATGCGGCAGGACCGGTCCCGGCTCGGGCCGGGGGCGGCCGGGGCTGGCGCAGGGCGCAGGCCGCCATGCTAGCTGTGCGTCCACGCGGGGCCGCACCCACGCGGGCCTCGCTCTCGGCCGTGGGGGGCAGGGCTGGCCCTGCGCAGTGTTGGGGTCCCTGAGGCCTGGGGAGGTGGCGGGGGCCAGGGCTCGGTACTGGCCCCAGCCTTCGGGGCTTCGGTGCTGTGACTCGGTCCCGAGCTCCTGCCATGCTGGGGCCCCGGTTCCCCGTTACCCCCCTTCCCGGGACACTGTGACTCAGTGCCGGGCCGCAGCGCTGTCCCTGGGCCGGGGCGCAGGGGGCCCGGCCTGACCGTGCCGGGCTGGGGGTTCTCCATGCAGGGGTCCTGGGGTCGCCCCCGACACCCAGCGCCAGCCTCCGGCCGGAAGCCCCGCCCCACCCGCTCAGCCGGGGGCGGGACCGGCCGAGCCCAGGAAGCGTGCGCGTCCCCTGCGTGGGAGGCGGGCGCGGGGACGGGGCGACCGGCCGCGCAGCGGGGGCCTGGGACCCGCGGACCGGGTGCGTGGCGATCGCTGAGCGGATGGATGGATGGATGAGTGAAGGATGAGTGTGTGAGCGTGGGAGGGGGCGGGCCGCAGCTCTGCGCTCTTCATCCCCCCCCTTCAGCATTTTCTGCCTTTCTTCAGTCCTGGCTCAGGGTGCTGGGGACCCACGGGACAGGCCTGCACCCCACGCGGAGCCGCCCAGCTGACACCAGCAGACGTCCTGAGCGGCCGCCAGACTGGTGGCTCAAGCCCATAATCCACGCTACTCAGGAGGCTGAGATCTGAGGATCCTGGTTCAAAGCCAGCCGGAGGAAGGAAAGGTCTGTGAGACTCGTAGCTCCCATGAATCACCCAAAACACGGAAGTGGAGCTGCGGCTCAGGTGGTTGAGCGCCAGCATGGAGCACAAAAGCTCAAGGACAAAAGTTCAAGCTTTCCTCCCCCCCCACACCCATGCTGGAAAAAATAACGAAGACTTCCTGGCACAGATGCTGGGGGGCCCTGGCTCCCGTTCCCGGGGTGTAAACACTTCTGAGAACGAGGCGGAAACTGGGGTATGACTCAACATCCACTCAGCGAAAAGTATTTGCGGAGTGCACAGCGGGCATCCTGGCCTGGCTTCACCTTTGGGGGGGGGGGAGGGCGGGCCGCTCACAGCTGTTGGGGCTTGATGCCAAAGCCCAGCACCTGACTCACCTGCCGTGGAGGTCCCCCGCAGGCTGGGGTGCAGGGGACTGGGGTTGGAAGTGTTACCCCGCAGCCCAGGCTGTGCTCACTCTTGATTCTCCTGCCCCGGCCGACCGAGTGCTGGCACTACAGGCATGCCGTACCACACCCAGCTGGGACGCACTTTGCACCATCAATCAAAGGCTACAAGCTTCTCCTAGTCCTGTGGAAGGCAATGCTGAGCCCTGGGGTGGAGAAACAAGGCCTGGGGTGGCCTCCTGGAGGCCGTGGACACCGAGCTGGGACTGGACACCTTCCCCAGAGTGCCCACCTACGGTTTATTTACAAACTTGCGGAAAAGTTGGCTGCTGCTGACCGTGGTGGTGCATGCCTGTAATCCCTGCACCGTGTGAGGCCAACCTGAGCTGCACAGCAAGACTCCGGCTCAGAATAATAATAATAATGACCTTAATAAGTTAGCTTTACGCAGATTTGTGTGACATAAAGCACATTTGTCACACTGGTGGTGCTGTTCTCATAAGTAGCACCCCAGTTAGAGAGACCCTGTCTCAAAAACAAAATCCAGCCCAGTGCTGTTGGTTCATACCTCTCATCCTAGCTACTCAGGAGGCTGAGATCTGAGGATCACAGTTCAAAGTCAGCCCAGGCAGGAAAGTCCGTGAGACTCTTAGGTCCAATGAACCACCAGAAAACCAGACTTGGTGCTGTGGGTCAAGTGGTAGAGAGCTGAAGGATGGCACCCAGGCCAGGGCTCAAATGCTAGAGTGCTTACAAGTCCAAGGCCCTGAGCTCAAATCCCAGTATCACAGACAGAAGTAGGTGCTGACCTGCCAACCACCCCCAAGGGAGCAGGCTGTAGATGACCACTCAGGTCAGAGGTCACTCCATGTCTGAGATGTGTGGGTGAGCAAGGGGCTGAGGTTCAGGGCTCCGCTCTCCTGGGGGTGCAGCATTTGGGAGCCCTTCTCGAGCCCCCAGAGTGGCCTGGCCACCAGGGTCACCAGGTCACACCTGCCCTGGAGAGGAAGCTAATGAGGCCCTGCCTGCGGCTCACTTCTCCAGCCAGGAGGCGGAGCTCCGGTGCCGGTGGGTCCCCCCGCCTGTCCCCACCCCCACCCCCACCCCATCTGGACACCAGGGACCCGGATTTCTACCCTGCATCTCCATGGAAACTGGGTCCCCCAAATCCCAGCACCCTTGGACCTGCTGGGTAAGAAAAATGCCTCCCCTCTCTCTCTCTCTCTCTCTCTCTCTCTCACACACACACACACACACACACACACGTGCACACACCCACGTGCACCACGCACAAACCTCAGGCCTGGGAGTCATCGTGACTCATCCTCTTCCTCCCACCCATGCCCAGCCAGCTCACACTCAGGGCACCAAGGCCTAGAACGTTCCAGAAGGTACAGAAACTTCCCTCTCTGTGCACAGATGGGGGGGGAGGGCTGGTGGGCCAGAGGCTGTGAGGGACCCCCGCTGTCCCTCCCCTGCCCCTCCCCCCGGTCCCGCGGCCTCAGCGCTGGGACGCACCCCGGCAGGCGCCGCGGCTCACGCCTGCCCGGAGCTGCTCAGGAGGGTGAGCGCCGAGGAAGCCGCCCAAAGCCAACAGAGCCCGGGAGCCTGACCTCGCTGTGGCTGCGGATCTGTAGACGCAGTTAGAAGCCGAGCGGGTCCGTCCGTCCCTCCGCACGGAGGCTTCCAGCCAGACGCGGTGCGCGGGCCGGGCCCGTGATTCCATCCACGCAGAACCGCGGCTGCTGCGGCCCCACGCCCCTCCAGCCCAGCCTGCACTCTCTCTGGCCTCATTCGCCAATGAATGAAAATCACTGACGCGCACTTGTTCTATATTTACGTGCAGGGCATCTTTTCTTTTTTTTTTTCTGAAAATTACACTTTTCGCAGCAGCTGCACATGCTCGGCGGCCCGCGCCATGCGCTTGCAAGTTTGTCCAATCATGTGACGAACTAGCTGAGTACAAACTCTCCATTTTGCTTAGTGAGACAAACTATGGATCACCTATTATTTGTCAGTCTGGGGCTTGAACTCAGGGCCTGGGCGCTGTCCCTCAGCTCTTTTGCTTGAAGCTAGCGCTCTACCAGTTGAGCCACAGCGCCACTTCGGGTTTTCTGGTGGTTCACTGGAGATAAGAGCCCCACGGCCTTTTCTGCCCAGGCTGGCTTTGAACTGTGATCCTCAGATCTCAGCCTCCTGAGTAGCTAAGATGACAGGCGTGAGCCACTGGCCCTGATACTGCTACATTAAGCCGCTCTTACAGTGTAACACATTCTGACATTCCATTCAGTACTCCATTTATGACCTGATCAATGTGTGTTGTAAGGAAATGGAGAAGCCAACACCTAAGAAGGCAAATTCTGAGTGTTTGTCAGAGAGCTGGGGGACTGCTAGTGGACCCCTGCTCACAGGCCAGCGGCCCCGAGGTCACCAGCACAAAGCTGATGCAGGTCAAAACGGCACAACGTGTGAGGAATCAAACCCGACGACAGTGTTATCCCCGGGCAAAGCAAACCAGATGAGGAAACTTCAAACTAATAGAAAAGCAAACCATCTAGGGAATCACAGGAAATCGAGGGCCAGTTATCCAGAGGAGGCACAGATCCTGTGTTCTTACGTCACGTGCATATAAAATTCCATCGTGTAACTAATTACAATTTACTCAAGCCCGCGACCCTGAAACGGATGTTCACTGTCTTCGCTGTCGTGCATAATGTGTCAATAAAATAACCCTGTTAAGAATCTCTGAAAGGACTTCATTACTTCCTCAGGGGAGATTCTAACAGCAAGGAGAGCGTGAGGAAGTTCGGCTCGGGAAAGGCTGTTTTCTTTCCTCTGCAGTACTGGGGTTTGGTTCAGGGGCTGTGTCTTCTGCGCAGGGACGGAGTCATGCCCCCAGCTCCTTGTTTTTAGGAGGCTTTGCTATTTTTCAGATATTGTCTCACATTTTTTGCCCAGGTCAGCATTGGACCCAAGGTAACCCAACCTCTATCTCCTGTGGAGCTGGGACCGCAGGCTTGAACTGCCACACTCAGCTTGTTTGCTGAAATGGGGTCTGAGTACCTTTTGCCCAGTGTGGCCTAGAAATATGATCCTCAATAGACGCTGGGATTATAGAGGTAAACCACCTGTTTTTTTCCCTTGTCTGTTTGTTGGGTTTGTCTGGAGACAGGATCTTACTATGTAATCCATGATGTCCCTGAAGTTACGTACTAATTAGTCTGATTTTTTTTTTTTTTTGCCAGTCCTGGGGCTTGAACTCAGGGCCTGGGTGCTGTCTCTGAGCTGCTTTTTCAAGGCTAGCACTCTACCACTTGAGCCACAGCGCCACTCCTGGCTGCTTCTGTGTATGTGGTGCTGAGGAATCGAACCCAGGGCCTCATGCATGCAAGGCAAGCGCTCTACCACTGAGCCACCTTCCCAGCCTGACTCTGAACTTTTCCTTTCCTTTCTTGATCACAGGAAAATAGAGGTCAAATATTTCCCCTTACACACCTGTGGGATTTGAAAATTGCTTGTTACCCTTGAGGCAAGAAGTAATTCTTCGTTGGAAACCACTTGGCCCGGCAGGGCTCCGTGTCTGCCCCCAGCATCCGATCCACGCAGCTGCTCTCCGTGCCCGCTTCCACCCAGAGCCCCGGCCACCTCACTAGCCCACGAGGACCATGCAGCTGGCCCCGGCTCACCTGGCCGGCAGGTAGGACCGCCAAGACTCAGACAAGATGCGCTGTATCTGACCCTGCCAAGCCCGGCGCGTCCCCGTATGGTGTCTGCTTCCTCTCTGGGGAAAATGCCTGGCCCTTGATGGTGGGCTTTGAGCTGCCGTTGATGGTGGGGACTGGAAGACCTGGAAGTCCTCCTTGTGAGCCGCACTGTGGTAAGGCTGTGGTACTGCTGTGGGAGCCATGGACTCCAGCATGCCAAGACTCTGGCCTTACTGTGCCGAGTACCGCCCTGCTCCCTGCAGTACCAACCTCCATTTGCCACTGGAGGAAACCAGCACCGGAGGCCCCTGGGTACAGACACCTGAGAAGCCATAGCCTAGTGCAGTGCACACTGGGTGAAGCAGAGTTGTTGGGACTTTACCATTTCAGGAACTCCCTGTCCCGGAAGCCAGAAATCCACCTACAACCACCCCACCAGACTTCTCCACGGCTCACACCAAACACAGCTCCCGCACCTCCTCACCACCCCTACACCAAACTAGTAGTGACCAGCGATCCTGCCTGGTGGACGTGTTTTCCCAGATGGCCCTGGTTCGGGGCTAGCCAGGATACCGCCTTGCAGGTCCCTGGCTGTGACTCACCCCGCGTCTGTCGCCCCCTGCTGGCTGAGTCAAGCACAGCAGCTGGGGAGGGGGTGTGTGGCTGCTCTCTGGTGCCCCCTGCTGACCTGATCAAGAGCCACCAAAACCATCAGAGAAGCCCTAAGTGGTCTCGTGGCTCACGCCTGTCATCCTAGTTACTCAGGGGGCTGAGATCTGAGGACCGTGCTTCAAAGTGAGCCTGGACAAAAAGCTGGAAGTGGGGGGCTGGGAAGATGGCTCAGTGGTAGAGCGGATGCCTTGCATGCCTGAGGCCCTGGGTTCGATTCCTCAGTACCACATGAGCCAAAAGAAAAAAAGCCGGAAGTGGCACTGTGGCTCAAGTGGTAGAGCGCTCGCCTTGAGCTGAAGAGCTGAGGGACAGCGCCCAGGCCCAGAGTTCAGGCCCCACAGCCGGACCAAAAAAAAAAAAAAAAAGCTGGAAGTGGTGCTGTGGCTCAAGTGGTAAAGCACTAGCCGTGAGCAGAAAAGCACAGGGACAGCACCCAGGCCCTGAGTTCAAACCTCAGGACTGGCACACATACAGCAAATATTAGCTGGGTGCCAGGCGCCGGTGGCTCACGCCTGTAATCCTAGTCACTCAGGAGGCTGAGATCTGAGGATCGAGGTTCAAAGCCAGGTTGAAAAATCTGTGAGACTCCGATCTCCAGTTAACCATCAGAAAAAGCTGGAAGTGGCTCTGTGGCTCAAGTGGTAGATTGGCAGCAGTGAACACAAAGCTAAAGGACTGCATCAAGGCCCTGAATACCGGTGCGCACAAACACACACACACACACACACACACACACACACCACAATAAACGAACTTGGGTACCTCATACCCATAATCCTAGCATGCAGGAGGACGGTGGGTTCAAAGCCAGCCTGGGCTGTATAATAAGACCCTGTCTCACAAACAAAAAACAAATCCGCCAAGGACACACGGACTAACAGAAGGGCTGGTCCCATGGGTCCCAGGCCCCCAGCTGACCCACTCATTTCTCCACAGCCCTGACTAGCAGCATTCTTCCCCGCTGTGCTAATAAGCCCATACTACACCTACTAGACAGTTCTGTCTCTGTGCTGTGGCTCTGATTTGCATTTAATTACCACGGCTGCACGTTCACTTCCCAGCAAGTGCATTAGCCAAATTAGTTTCCTTTTTGGCAATTTGTCTATATCCTGCACCCATTCATCTTTAGGATTCAGTGGAAGTTGTGTATTTTGGGATAGTTTTGGGGGTGGGTGCTGGTATTGGGGTTTGAACTCAGGACCCAGGTGCTTTCCCTTAGTTACTTTGTTCAAGGCTGGTACCCTAGTGCTTGAGCCACAGCTCCACTTCTGGCTTTTGGTAAGTGGAGACAGAGCCTCGGGGGCTGGTTTTGAGCCTTGAACCTCAGATCTCCTCGGCCTCCAGTACCTAGGGTTACTGGTGTAATGCCGGGCTTGCATTTGCTAATTTTGAGATAGGGTCTCTCTTTGTGCTCAGGCCGGACTGAACCATGATCCTATTTGTGTTTTTCCCTTTGTTGCTGGGATATCCCGTGTGCCACCATGTCCACATGATCGAGATGGAATCTTTCAGCTTTTATGCCTGGGCTGGCCCCGGGGGCCTGGGAGGCCACAGCCTGGAGCATGTCCAGGATCTGGAACACTGCGGCTCTCACACCACGGGGAAACTGAGGCAGGCCCAGCTGGCCCTGTGGGTGGGAGCGGCCCCGCGTGACATCAGCGCAGTGCCCCAAATAACTTCCTGGCTCCGGGACGGGGACGGTTCAGCCACCGGTCCCCATGGCCTTCCTGGACCCGCAGACCCCGCCCACAGCCTTGCCGCCTCAGGGGGGCCCGGGGCGGGGTCCTGGAGGAGGGGGGACCCACACGCACCCCGCTGTGGTGTACAGCCCCACCCAAGGGCCTTGCAGCCAGGCACACAGCAGGTGTCCCATAAGAACTGAATGAATGAATGAATGAATGGAGTGGGTCAGGGAGGACTCCAGGAAGGCCTCTCGGCCTGAGCAGCTCGTCCCTGGGCAGCTCCTGGCAAGGGGCTGGGGACCCAGAGTCCCCCCACACCCCGCAGCCCCTCCTCAGCCCCGCAGGCCCAGGTGCGGGTGGGGGCTCGGGGGTTCAGGGCTGGGTGGCAGGGCAGCGGAGGAGCGGCGCCTCCTTCCTGCCGGAGGAGCCGGGCGGGCTGGGCTGACAGGTTGGGTGGCATAGCAAGGCGGGCTCACCTCCAGCATAAAACCCCACTTCATGGAGCCCGCACCTGGCTAGCAGCTCCCCGCCGCCTGCCCCCGCCCCGCACCCCTCACCGGCCCACGACCTCAAACGCTCCCCACCGCCTCCCCCACCCCGCCACCTGCCCCCCCCCACCTGCACCCCTTACCGGCCCGTGACCTCGAACTCTCCCCAGCGCCTGCCCCCACCCCCTCACTGGGCCGGGGACATGAGGCGGCCATCGCCACCCACACTGCTGCTGCTGCTGCTGCTGCTGCCGCCGCCGCTGGCTGGTGAGTCCGGGGCCTGGGGTTCCTCCACCTCCAAGGGTCCCCTCTGCCCTTCCTGGGGATCCAACCATACATAGCCCCCCGACTCCCTGCACCTGCCTGGAGCAGCAGAACATGCCCCACCCAATGGCGAAGACCCCCCTCCAACTGTCCAGAAGGTTCTAGAAGTTTCACGGGGGGGGGGGGGTGGAAGTGAGGAGAGCAACGTGGAGTCTGTGGGCCCTGTGCTCAGAGGTCGCCCCTGGCTAAATGTCCCCTGGAACTGTTCCCAGAAAGGACAGGGATTCCATGGGCTGCTAAGCTCTTGGGGTCACCCCGCCTCCTGCTGGGTTAGGGACACCTCCCCCCAACCCCCCGGGGGCTGCTCCCCGACCCTGAGAGCCGCCAGTGGCTGTGGGGGGCAGCGGGGCAGCGGCGGGCGCTGGGTCGGCGGGGTCAGCAGGTTCCTGCAGGTTCCCGCGGGGCAGGAGCCGCTTCACATTCCTGGGCGGCCGGCCGCGCTTCCCGTCCCCAGGCCACCTCCAGCCCTGGCGCTGCCGACCGCAGGCCGGGCAGGGCTCCAGGCCCGGGAGGGGGGGCAGAGAGCACTGGGGCGCCCCTCAGGGAGATGTCCCCAACCCCTCGCAGCCTCCTGGTGCTTGGAAGGGCGCCGCGGTTCCCCAGGGGTGTAATGCCAGGGCGCCCCAGTGGGGGAGCCAGCGAGGTCAAGGCTTGTGTAGTGAGCAGAGGGGGGATCCCTGTGACTGCCCCCCCACCTCAGCTGGGGTAACAGCACCCCACCAGGCAGGCCCTGGCTCTTCACACCTGGGTGTCAGGGGGTGGGCCGCAGCAGGCAGGGCCTCCGACGGCCACTCCCGCAAGCCCCGCAAGCTCAGCCCCAGCCAGAGGCAGCCGAGCACCCACAGAGGCTGCCGGTCTTTATGGGATGTGGGGGGGGGGCTGAGATTACAGGGGTGCAGCGCTACACTCAACAGCTCTCCCTTTCTCATTTCCAGGGGCTCAGGAGGCCAAGTCCCCGAGAGGTGAGTGGCCTTTGCTGAGATGCAGGCCAGGGCCGAGTGCGTGGCCCACGGGAGAAGACTAGAAAGTGCCTGGGGGAAGCAGAGCCAGGAAACGTGGTGGCTTCGTGGAGCTGGAGCCTAGGAAAAGTGGAAGGGGGTGGAGCACTGTCCTGGCAGGACAGGGCCCCGCGGGAGCGCCGGCCGGCATCAGGGGCCACGGGGGCCGGGGTGAGGGTCGGGTCGGGGTGGGGAGCCCAGCGCACCCCGGTGAGGCCTCCCACGCTCCCCAGCCTGCGGACGCCCCAGGATGCGGAGCCGGATGGTGGGCGGGCGGGACGCCCTGGAGCGGGAGTGGCCGTGGCAAGCGAGCATCCAGCGCGACGGCAGCCACTTCTGCGGCGGCAGCCTGCTCTCGCGGCGGTGGGTGCTCACCGCCGCCCACTGCTTCTCCAAGTGAGTCCGCCCCGCCCCGCCCCTTCAGCACCCCGGACAGCGGCCGCGCTCCTGGCCAGGGCGCCCTTTCCACCCCAGCCCAGCCGCTGCCCCAGCCCTGCAGTCCCCCAACCCCGAGGCACAGCGCAGCGGGCTCAGCACCGGGGTGTCCCCTACCCCAGCACTGAAGCCAGCCCTGAGCAAGGGGCCGGCCCCCACAAAGACTCCTGGGGTCCCCACACACCACACCTCCTGCCCCACCACAGAGCTGAAATTCTAAAAAGGACACAGGGGCCGGGAAAGGGGTTCCGTGGTGGAGCGCTCGCCTAGCATGCATGAGGGCCTGGGTTCGATTCCTCAGCACCACACACACAGAAAAAGCCAGGAGTGGCGCTGTGGCTCAAGTGGCAGAGTGTGAGCCCTGAGCAAAAGGAGCTCAGGGACAGCGCCCAGGCCCTGAGTTCAAGCCCCGAGACTTACAAAAACCTTGCACTTTACAGCTAGGGTGGGCGGCCCGTGCAAGGTGCGGCCGGCGGAGCCTCCTGCACCCCGCAGGAGGTCGGTGTCTCCCCAGCTCCTCCCCCCCGCATCCCTTCCCGGCTGGGCTCGAGGTGGCCGGGCAGCGGTGCGAGGCGGTGTGGTGGGCTGGGGGACCCCCCGGCAGCAGGATGGGGTGCCCACACTGCGTTCTGCTCTCCCTGCCAGCACCTCGGACACAGCCCCATACAGAGTCCTGCTCGGGGCCCGCCAGCTGCTGCGGCCAGGGCCCCACGCCGTGTACGCCCGCGTGCGGCGCGTGGAGAGCAACCCGCTGTACCGTGGCATGGCCTCCAGCGCCGACGTGGCCCTGGTGGAGCTGGAGGCGCCCGTGACCTTCTCCGACCACATCCTCCCCGTGTGCCTGCCCGACCCGTCCGTCAGCTTCGCGCCGGGCATGAGCTGCTGGGTCACCGGCTGGGGCAGCCCCAGCGAGCAGGGTGAGGACACGCCGGCAGGCCCGGGGCACAGCCCGGCCCGGCGGCCGCCAGAGGCAAAGGCAGAACTGAGTTCCAGGCCGGCATGGGGAGCAAAGCCCTGTCTCGAAAACAAAACGGGGAGACAGGTGGGGTGGGTGGTCTAGCTCAAGTTGGGGTTGCGCCAGGGGAGCATGGGGCCCTGGGCTCCGCCGCCTGCTGCTGATACATAAATGAGGAAATAAGGCAGGCCCGGGCGGCGAGGACCATCTCTTCCCATGGTTATGGACACAAGCCGTCTTCCTCTCATTCAGACCGGCTGGGGAGGGGGGGAAGGGGCGGCTGCCCAGATGGAAGAGCTGCAGAGATGGGGGGACAGACGGAGCAGGCTGAGGCGGGGCGGAGAGGGGGCTCCGGCTGAGCAGCCCCCCCGACCCCCCAGACCACCTGCCCAGCCCTCGGACCCTGCAAAAGCTCTCGGTGCCCCTCATCGACACGCCCAAGTGCAACCTGCTCTACGGCACAGACGCGGAGCCCGACTGGCAGCCCAAGGCCATCCAGGACGACATGCTATGCGCCGGCTTTGCCGAGGGCAAGAAGGATGCCTGCAAGGTAGGCCAGGCGCCCAGCGTCGGCCGGGCCTGCGCGGGACCCCTTGCAGGAGGCTAGGGGAGCTGCACTTCCACCAACACCGCCAGGGCACGCAGGCGGGCCAGGCGGGCAGCTTAGAGCACCCTGGGTGGAGATGGCCCCGACCCGGGTGTGTCCAGCGCGGGCTGACGGGTTCTGCTGCCCCTGCAGGGCGACTCCGGGGGCCCCCTGGTGTGCCACGTGGACCAGTCGTGGGTGCAGGCCGGGGTGATCAGCTGGGGCGAGGGCTGTGCCCGTCCCAACCGGCCGGGCGTCTACATCCGGGTGACCTCCCACCACCGCTGGATCCGGCGCATCATCCCCGAGCTGCAGTTCCAGGGCCGGGCAGGCGGCCGGCGGCGCGACCCTCAGGTTGAGCGGTCCCCCGGGGACGCGCCCGCGCTGCTCCCCATCTTCTGAGCCTGGAGCCCCTTCCGCAGTGTACATTTGTAAATAGTCCTTCGCGCTCCCTTCAAACACCCAGTTGTTTTTATTTCCATTCACCTCCAATAAAAAGTGCCGGCTAGGGCTGGGAAGGTGGCTCAGTGGTAGAGCACTTGCCTTGCATGCTCGAGGCCCTGGGTTCGATTCCTCAGCACCACATAAGAAAAAAAAGCCGGAAGTGGCGCTGTGTGGCTCAAGTGGTAGAGCGCTAGCCTTGAGCTAAAGAGCTGAGGGACAGCGCCCAGACCCAGAGTTCAGGCCCCACGACAGCGCCCAGACCCAGAGTTCAGGCCCCACGACCGGACCCAAAAAAAAAAAAGTGCCGGCTGCTCAGCGGGGATCACTGGGGAGCTGGCCGAGGGAGGGGGATTTCCCAGCCCGGAGAGGTGGGACACACAGGCGGGAACATCACTAGCCCCAGGGGCTGAGGGCTCCCCACAACCATCCCCCTGTCAGAGCCCGGGGAGGATGCCCAGAGCCATGCGGAGGCCAGCCTCCTCCCCGGCCAACTCCAGGCACCACTCAGCCTTTTCCAGCCAAGTCAGCATAACTTGGGGTGCAGGGCACTGTGCCCCCTCCCTCCAGGGCAACCCGTGGGCTAGGAATCTGAAACAATCGATGGAGAGGGGGGAGCCAGGGACACCTGTGCCCACATGTGCCCCCGGGGAGGCCCGCCCTCGAGGGCTCCGCCGTCCTCTGGCTATTCGGCCATGGCTGTGACGCCGGGTCTTCCCCAGATCAGGGTGGGTGCCGGCCCAGGAGGGGCCCCAGCTTCTTCCTGGCTGGTGGCTGGGCTTCCTAGGGAAGCTGCTCACCACAGGCAGGCAGCTATGGCAGACAGGAAAAGCTCCCCGGAGATCAGGGTGGAGAAGAGAAGTGGGTAGAAGTGGATGTGTGGTTCAAATGGTACAACAGGAAAAAAGGAAAGGAGGGAGGGAGGGAGGGAGGGAGGAAGGAAGGGAAGATGGATTTACTTTGTGCAGTTAACAGGAAACGCAGCTGGGTGCTGGTGGCTCACGCCTGTCATCCTAGCTACTCAGTAGGCTGAGATCTGAGGATCATGGTTCAAAGCCAGCCCAGGCAGGAAAGACTGTAAGACTTTATCTTCAATAAACTACCAGAAAACCAGAAGTAGCACTGTGGCTCAAGTGGTAGAGTGTTGGCCTATGAGCTCAGGGACAGTGCCTGGGCTCAGAGTTTAAACTCCATGACTGCAAAAAAGAAAAAAAAAGAAAAAGAAAAAAAAGCCAACCCTCTTCCTCCCCCCCAGCCTTCCCCCTCCCCTGGAAATTCCCTGTGTTTCCGGCTCCCCACTGTGCCAGACAGGCCAGCAGGCAGCTGAGGGAGCGCGGGGGGGAGCCGGGTGCAGAGCAGGGTGGTGTCCTCCCTGCGGCTCACGGGGAAGTCCACCAAAGTGCTGCTGCCGGTGATGCCAGAATAGCGACGTGCACACACACGCACATTGTAAGGGCTGGCGGAAGCCCCAGAAAGTCCCATGAGGGAAACAGTGGGTGGAGGACCCTCTGCACCCAAGAGCCCATGAGGGTGAGTCCCAGGCCCAGGAGCCTGCCTGGAAGCCGCCGCCTAATACTCAGATGCACGAGGACATGGTGGAGAGAAAAGCAAGAGCGACACCCCAGAAAGCCACATCGACACCTGTGGGCCGCCTGGGAAGCTGGCTCTGCAGAAAGGTGCTGGAGGCGGTGAGGAGGGACCTTTACTCCCCACTGGCATCGGGGCAGGGCCTGGGCCATGTGGCACCCTGCAAGGCGCCAGCAGTGGGAAACCCAACCCCAGACCTGCACGGTCCCGGCCCTGGCCCCGGCCCCAGCCTCTCTCCTGCCGCACCTGTGCACTGGATGCCCTGACGCCGCCCCCAGGCCCTGTCCCTGGCGCCCCTCCGGGCCGGCGGCAGGCAGGTGCCCGGGGCCCGGCCCGTCTGCCTCCTGCAGACGGGACAGGTGTCCGGGACACCCGCTGCACTGAGGCCTCTCCCAAAGGTCCCTGGGAGGCGTCCAGGTGGAAGGGGTGAGCGTGGTTTAACCTTAACCGTGCTACTGAAATCCACTGCAACTGTGGAGGGGAAAGGGGGAAGGGCCAAGCGGAACAATGCGGACGGGGCGAATGTAATCAAAGGACATCATATACACGCACAGCTTGCACAACTACTTTATGACAAAAAAATTTAAAAAATGACAGTTCCTGGACTCATTCATAAATACACAATTTTATTTGCTATTTTCAGGGGAAACTTAGGCATTGAACAGTAAGCTGATAAAATACGGATACCTAAAAAAGTATAAAAGTATAAATATCCCCTTTGAACAAATTTTAGTGAATTAAGTCTTAATATCTTTAAATTAAAAAAAAAAATCCCACAAGCCTATCTAGGATGTCAAGGTCATAAATCAAACAATGCTAAGCACACAGCAGCTCCCCAAAGGGCACCCCCACGGCCGGCAGGGGCCCTGGGGCGCCCCAGCTCCTGCTGGTGGCTGACGCCCCCCACCCCGGTACAACGTTTTCATAAACTTTTTAAGCCAAACATTTAACGACATACAAGAGACCTTACGGAAGGGGGGGGTACACCCGAGGTGCTGGAGAACACGGTTAATCAGGTTACTGGCAAAGGAGAAGAGGAAGAGGGCCCCTGGCGAGGAGCTTCTGGAGGCATTGGAACGGACAGGGTCCCGGCAGCCCCCTCCCGGGACCGGAGGCGAGGCGCAGAGCTCCCGGGGCCCGGGCGGAGCCCACAGGGGTGGGCTGTGGAGCCCAGCTGCTCCACGTCGTGACGGTGGGCAGCCCCGACGGGCGCCGTGTCACCGCTGAGTGCCCAAGGCCCAGAAATAGAGAGAGAACTGCATAGTTGTAGGAGGAGGTGAGGGCCGGTGGAAGAGACGCGATGCACTGTAAACATCCTCAAGTTTCGACGTGACCCCGAGAGCAGGCCCCGGAGCCGGTGGACAGGCCTCCCGCCCCAGCATCCACCCCGGCGCCACGAAGGCACTGGTGGGCGCCAGCCCCCCTCCAAGCCCGCGGGCAGGACAGACAGGGTGCCGCGGCCACCTCTGTGAAGTGAGCTAACAGAGACCCGAAACGCAGCACGTTCAGGCCTTTCTAGAGTATAAACACGGGTGGCCTGTCCACACTGGAAAAAAGGGGATGCAAAGTTCTCTCGCCTGGAAAATACACATCAGAAGCCTTGATACACCGCAGCCCCCGAGGCCAGAGGCAGAGGCCTGGCCCTGTGGGGGGAGTCGTGATCACGCCTGGAGGCTGGGGAGCTCCCTGACCCAAGATCAAGGGCTGGGCGCTCGGCATGAGCCCCGAGCCGGTGTGCCCACAGCAGGCACGGCGGCGCCCCTCCCCGGCCGAGGCCCAGGCTGTGTTTGTAGCACCAAGAACCCTGTCCTTCAAACAGTTTCGGGCCTGCACCAGCGGGCCGGGGCTCCCCGCCTCAGTCCCACGTGGCACTCAGAAAGAACAGCGTGAGCCCCAGAGATGGCCCACACCGGCCCCGGCCTCCTCCCCGCGGGGAAGCCGGGGCTCCGACAGCTGGGCCATCTCTCACCACCCACCTGCGAGGCAAAAAGGATCCGCACCCAGATCTCAAGAGAAATGATCAAAAGCAGGCTTCTCCTCACAGCCACGCCTCCCGACGTGGCGGCTCACGCTCTGTGGGAAAAGGAAATCGTCTCCTCGGCTGTCAGCACCGCCTCACATCCTGGAGCCCCGTTCTTGCAAAATCTGAAACAGGCCAAATGCACAGTGTGAGGACTCGGGGCGCGGGCAAGGAGGCACCTGATTGGAGGGCGGAGCCCGCGCCCCGGGCCCACACCCCTAGTTTCCACTGGAGCTCCCCCCCACCCCACGGCCCCCACGGCCCCCGCGGCAGGCTGCCAAGTGCCGCTGCTTCAGCCCCAGCAAGCCCGGGCCGCTGAAGACAGAAAAGGGAGAAGACGCGGACGCAGGAGCACTTCGCGGCTGGGGATGATGAGTAAGCTGGCGGGTGGCCCCGGCTGTGAGCCCCACGGATGTGGGGGGCCCCCAGGTGCCAGCTGCTCCTACCCATCCAACACCCCGGGCCCTGCCCACCCCAGGTGCCGAGGGGACAACACAGCCCACTTCGTGCGATCCTGGGCGTGAGTGGCTGAAGGCCGGCCCCAGCAGGTGGCACCTGTGCCCCGTGCCCCGGGAACAGCCGGACACGCCAGAGGGGGGTGAAGACAGCCTCGTCCACTCCACCGGAGGCCCAGAAGGACACAGCTCCATCCTGGCGGGACAGAGCCAGGGTGGCTTCCTGCGTACCCCACTGTCCTCCCGTAAGCCAGGCCCTACAGCGGGCGTGACCTCCATGGCTCTGAAAGAAGCTGCCCCCCACTCCCCGCCCCACGCGATGCTGGCCAGCCTCCAGTTGGCCCAGCAGCTGGGGATCCCAGAGGCCGGAGCCAGGCACCCGTCACTGCCCACGCCTCGGGCAGGGGACAGCGCGCCCGCAGCCCAGGAGGCCATGGAGCCCAGACCACAAGCCCACATCAGGATCCACGCTTGCGCCCAGGCTGAGCCTGATGCTGGGACTCTGTATAACATTAATAAGCAGCTGAGCACCAGCGCCTCACATGTGATCCCAGCTACTCAGAAGGCTGAGATCTGAGGATCATGGCTCAAAGCCGGCTTGGGCAGCAAAGTCTGTGAGACTCTTATTTCCAATTATCCACCCAAAAAACCCCCAGAAGTGGTGGCACTGTGGCCCAAGTGGTAGAGCGCTCACCTTGAGCAAAAGAGCTCAGGGACAGTGTCCGAGCCATGAGCGTGCGTTCAAGCCCCATGAGAGATAAAAAAAAATAAAAGTAGCACTTTGTATACCAGTATTATTTACATTTCCTTCTTTATGGGGAGAGTGTTTGAGACAGGGTGGTATATGTAGCCCAGGCTGGCCTTGAACCTGTGATCCTTCTGCCTCCCCAGTGTGGAGGGACAGGTGAGGGCCACCTGGCTGTCTACCGTGGCCTGGTGATGAATTCTCCCGCAGGGACAATGTCCCCTGGCTCCACACAGCGCGTGATAAACACTGCGGGTCCAGAGACAAATCCCATACTCACAGTGACCTCAAGGTACAACTGGTGGAGGGAAAGGCCTCTCGGCGGGAGGGCTGGGCAGGAGGGGACTGGCCCGGGCTGTGGCTGGGTGTGGCGGGGGCAGTGGAGAAGGCACCCAGCCTGTGTGGCCAGCCTGAGAGGCAGGGACCCCGTGGGGTGCCGCCGCCCGCCCTCCCCGGGGCCGCCGCCTCCGGGTCCCCACACACAGACAGACGCCAGGAGGGACGCACACGTGGGACCAGGCCCTGGACGTGGCCAAGGTGGCCCAGGGAGGCGAGCGCACGCGGGAGCCTGAGGCGGCCCCGCTGGAGGGGTGGCAGGTCGCCTGCCAGAGGCCGGCCGCAGCCCGCACTCACTGCCTGGCCCGCGGCTACTCTCGGGTCACCGGGGCCTATGGTCTGACCCCAGCCCTCCTGCCCCAGTGCTGTCCAGGGAAGGCCACTCCGGCAGGCCCCCCTCCCCGCAGGCAGCTCTAGTCACATCTAGGAGGCTCTGTCAGCTACAGGCAGGAGCGAGGGACAGCGGGTCACAGGTCAAGGAGACGGAGGTCGTGGGAGGAGCTCAGGGCCACGGAGCTCACCGTGACACACAACTTAACCTGCGTCACTGCTCTGGCGCCCGTGTCCTCGTCGCCACTCTGGTGTGGCGGGCAGCGAGCCGAAGGGAGAAGAAGACAGGGCCGTCAGCCACGCTCCGAGCGCCGGGTGCCCGACGCGCAGGGCACACGCGGACAGGCTTCAGTGTGAAAAGGTGGCCGTGACCACAGCCCACGGGACACAGCTCTGAGAGGCTTTCTGCCCTAACAAGCGCAGCCCTGGGCAGGGAGGGCAGGGCAGGGCGCGGCGAGCGGCGGAGGACCCGTCCAGCAAGCACGAGGCCCTGAGTTTAAATCCCAGTGTGACCAAATGAAGGAACGAATGAGAACACCCTCTAACCCCGAACTCCTCCCTTCTTTGGTGGGTAACTGGCAGGAACGGAATCTGCAGCCCGTCCCGGCGGGCTGCAGCAGCCGCTCCACCCAGAAGCTTCTGCAGCTGTCCTACTTCAGAGCCAGGTATTTTTGGAAAGGGAAATGGGGCCACATTTTCAACAGCAAAGGGACTGAGGGTCACGTGGGGGCCCTTGGGCAGTTGAAGGGCCACAGAGGGAGACGGGCCCGTTCACTTTCAGCGTGAAAACCATGAATTCAGAAATAGAAGGCTTCTAAAAATAAAGCCATTTGTAAGAGTCCCTCCACTGCTGGCTGCTCGAGGCGCGAGCCCACAGGAACCTCACCCCGGCTGGCACCGCAGCTGCAGCCTGGCTTCCCCCCAGGCGCCCGAGCCCCAGCACAGGAGTGTGGCGTGTGCGTGCACGTGTGTGTGCGTGTGTCACGCACAGGCTCAGTGGTGAGGGCCTCTCGGTGCCCAAGCCCTGGCCTGAGGACCAGGAAAGGCTCCGGGGATGGCTACTGGACACTGCCAGGGCCACTGGACAAGGGCTGGGTCGCCAGAGTCCCTGGTCCCAAGTCCTAGGTTAAACGCCCCGGTCTGGCCTCCACTCAACCCGCGCAACACCCTGGGCCTCCCGAGGGCCAGCAAGCCCCGCCAGCTGCCCAGTGGATGCAGCTCAGAGGTCTGAGGTGGTCCAGTCGGCCTGGAGCCAGGCCCAAGGATGCGTCGGGGAGGAAGGCCGGCGAGGTCAGGCCCCTCTGCGCTCAGCCCAGCGCCCCTCCCCCTCTGCGACACCCAGGACCCCTGTCCCTGGGGTAGGCGGCAGGAGGTCCTTTCCCGCACGCTCCGGCTGAGGCCGGCGGCACGCGGCTCACCGCGGCCGTCCTGAGGCTGAGCCGGCCAGCGGGCTGGAGGACGCCCGCAGCAGCGGCCTGCGCGGAGGACACGGACGGCCGAGGCACGGGAGCCCCGGAACCAGCCGCCAGGAGCTTCAGGGGCCCGCGAGCCACAGAGGCAGGAGGAAGGGAAGGCCTTTCAAGAGCCAAGCGGCGCGTGCACGATGTCGAGGGCTGGGGCACGGGACCCTCCCCCCAGGGGACCCCCACACCCGTGGGCCCTCCCTCCCAGCCGTGGGACCCTCCCCTCACCTTGGCCTTCTCACTGGGCTCACTGGTGGTGCCGTACGGGGTGTTGTGCAGCTCCTTAGAAACCACGCAGAGGAACTCGGCCTGGTCCTCGTTTCCATAGTTGTAGGAGGAGCCGATGCTGACCAGCTGGGGGAGACGCGGCCTGTGACGCGCAGCCCTGGCACCAGAGGCGCACGCGGCGCAGCCCGCAGAGGGAGGCGCGTGGAGAGCACCCCCCCCGCAGGAGCTCCTGCACCTGCCTGCACCTAACTTAACTGCTCGACGTGCCAGGACAGGCCCTCCCGGGGGGCCGGAGGGCTCGAGGCTGGGCTCGGCCCAGGGGACACTGACTGCCCCACCCAGGGAGAAGCCACAGTGTCACCTGCGGACTCACACCTGCACCAGCCGCTCCCGGCTCCCGCAGCTGGGGAGTGGCGGGAGCAGCCAGGACGGCCAGGGAAGGACCGCAGTCTGTATGACCACCAGCTGCTGGCCACGGCGGCACAGCGTGCCAACCCAGCTAGTCTCGCTCGGGAGACCTGCTCCTGGAGGAGGGGGGGGGGCGCCCCGTGACCTGTCCGGGTCACCCACAACAGGACAGAGCTTAGAGGACTTAGAAGAGCGCTTCCCCATCAAGCCAGAAGTCTCAAGACACTAGTGCCAACAAGAACGACCCAGCTCCAAGAGCCAGGATGGCAACAGGGCCCCAGAGAGCCCGGCCGGCAGTGCCACGAGCACCCACACAGCCAGGTGGGCATCAGCGATGCTGAACAGCCTGGCCAGACCCCAGGAGGGCCCAGCCCGCAGGCACCTGCAATCCCATATAACCTCTTCAAGCTGCTGAGAAAACTAGAAAGAAACCCAAATCCCTCACCCCGGGAGGACGCGGTCTCTCAACAGCCACCCCCCCACCCCCAAAACTCCCTACAGCAACTGTGCTGAGGGCCCTGGAACCCAGTCTCTAGGGGCCTCCTCCCGCAGCTAGGGCTGAGCCCCGATGCCCGGCCCTGGAGCTGGGGGTGGGGGGGGCGCTGAGCGCAGGCCCGGACGGGCGCGGGCCTCTCACCTGCTCGAACTTCCAGCCGTCGGACATGGTGGAGACCATCTGCGTGAGCTCCTCCTCCTGGCACTGCAGCACGCGGTACACGTGCTTCACCGGCATCTGCGCGGGTGGACAAGCACACATGAGAGAAAGCCACACCCGCACCCCACCCTAAGCAGTGCTGCGGGTGCCACACAGGGGCGGGCTCCCCGAGACCCCCATGGCTCGGTGCTCTGAGCTGCTGGGCGCCATGGTTTCCCTCCAGATAGGCATCTCCTTCTCAATCCCAACGCACAACAGGCCGCGCCCCTGACCCCCTCGAGCACATTCGGACATCTGTGTCTGCTCCAGGCCAGGCCACGTCAGACTTGCGAGTCTGTCTGGCGGAGGACCTCCCAGGAAAGCCTGGCCGGCAGGGGTGAGGCGCTGCCCCACGCCAGAAGAGCTTTCCACACACAGCCGCCAGACCCGCGGCCGCCCCACAGCGCCCCCTGACACCTCCTGTCCTGAGCTGGGCAGGCCAGGCCCAGGCCCTGCACGGCGCGGGCCTCCTGGCAGCACAGCCGGCACCACCGTGAGGTGAGGCAGAGGGAAGAGGAAGAAGACTGCAAAGCCCAGAGACAGGGAGTGTCCCGGGCTGCCCCACTCCACTAGCAAGGGCTGTGCACAACCCAGGCACGATCCTCCCCTGGCCTGGCCCCTAAGTGCCAGGCCACAGGCGAGCCTCCACCCAGGACACAGAGGGAGGGAGGAGCGGGGCGCCGCGGGCCCAGCGTGGTGTGGCTCGGGGCTCATTTCCCAGCATCCTCCTGGAGGAGAGCCTGCTGGGGGCGCCCCCCCCCCCCCCCGCTCTCAGGGGTGGGATGGCTCCGTGGCAAGCACAACGCTAACACCACGGTGCCTCCTTCCAGAAGGTGCTAGCCCAGCGCAGGTGCCACATGGTCACGTGGGAAGGCCCCAAGGGCGGGAGATGCTCTCCTCCCAGCCTCCCCGCAGCCCTGCTGGCCACGGGCTCTCTGCAGGTGTAGGAGAGGCGTCCTCCCACCCTCTCACAGGGCCTTCCTGCCTGCATGGCATCCCCTAAACCTCTGCACAAATGTCTGGGGGTGGGGAGGGGACGATCTCCTAGGTCAGGGGGAGGAGCTGTAGAGCGTGGCTGGAGGCCACCAGGATGGGGCTGGGGGGGGTCGGTGTGGGTGGGGCTGGGGGGGTCGGTGTGGGTGGGGCTGGGGGGGGTCGGTGTGGGTGGGGCTGGGGGGGGGTCGGTGTGGGTGGGGCTGGGGGGGGTCGGTGTGGGTGGGGCTGGGGGGGGTCGGTGTGGGTGGGGCTGGAGGTGGGGATGGAGGTGGGGTGTGGGAGTGGGTGTGGGGTGGGGATGGAGGGGGGGGTCGGTGTGGGGGTCGGTGTGGGTGGGGCTGGGTGGGGGTCGGTGTGGGTGGAGGTGGGGCTGGAGGTGGGGGTAGGTGTGGGTGGGGCTGGAGGTGGGGAGTGGGTGTGGGTGTGGGTGGGGCTGGAGGTGGGGGTCGGTGTGGGTGTGGGTGGGGATGGAGGTGGGGTGTGGGTGGAGGTGGGGTGTGGGAGTGGGTGTGGGGTGGGGATGGAGGGGGGGGTCGGTGTGGGGGTCGGTGTGGGTGGGGTCGGAGGTGGGGATGGAGGTGGGGTGTGGGGTGGGGATGGAGGGTGTGTGTGGGTGTGGGAGTGGGTGGGGGTGGGGATGGAGGTGGGGATGGAGGGGGGGTGTGGGAGTGGGTGGGGGTGTGGGAGTGGGTGTGGGTGTGGATGGAGGTGGGGTGTGGGTGTGGGAGTGGGTGTGGGTGGGGATGGAGGTGGGGTGTGGGTGTGGGAGTGGGTGTGGATGGAGGTGGGGTGTGGGTGTGGGAGTGGGTGTGGGTGTGGATGGAGGTGGGGTGTGGGTGTGGGAGTGGGTGTGGATGGAGGTGGGGTGTGGGTGTGGGAGTGGGTGTGGGTGGGGATGGAGGTGGGGTGTGGGTGTGGGAGTGGGTGGGGGTGGGGATGGAGGTGGGGTGTGGGTGTGGGAGTGGGTGTGGGTGGGGATGGAGGTGGGGTGTGGGTGTGGGTGTGGGTGGGGATGGAGGTGGGGTGTGGGTGTGGGAGTGGGTGGGGATGGAGGTGGGGTGTGGGAGTGGGGTGGGGATGGAGGGGGGGGTCGGTGTGGGGGTCTGTGTGGGTGGGGGTGGGGATGGAGGTGGCGATGGAGGTGGGGATGGAGGGGGGTGTGGGAGTGGGTGGGGGTGGGGATGGAGGGGGGATGGAGGGGGGTGTGGGAGTGGGTGGGGGTGGGGATGGAGGGGGGGATGGAGGGGGGTGTGGGAGTGGGTGGGGGTGGGGATGGAGGGGGGGATGGAGGGGGGTGTGGGAGTGGGTGGGGGTGGGGATGGAGGGGGGGATGGAGGGGGGTGTGGGGGTGGGGATGGAGGGGGGGATGGAGGGGGGGATGGAGGGGGGTGTGGGAGTAGGTGGGGGTGGGGATGGAGGGGGGGATGGAGGAGGGGTGTGGGAGTGGGTGGGGATGGAGGTGGGGAGGTGTGGGTGGGGATGGAGGGGCGATGGAGGGGGGAGTCGGGTGGGAGGGGGTGTGGGTGTGGATGGAGGAGGGGATGTGGGTGGGGATGGAAGGGGTGTGGGAGAGGTGTGGGTGTGGATGGAGGAGGGGATGTAGGTGGGAGTGGGGATGGAGGTAGGGATGGAGGGGGGTTCGGTATGGGAGTGGGTGTGGGGGGGATGGAGGAGGGGATGGAGGAAGGGTCGGTGTGGGAGGGGATGGGACAGCTGTGGTCAAAAGCCTCCCAGGGATGGAGGGTGAGCAGTGTTTACGGGGAGAAGGCACCAACGCTTTGGTCATCTGACTTACCTGTGATGTTTTGCTGTCTCGTTCTCTAATTTTGTCCTTTACAAGTTTTATTAGTGAGGTGATATTGTAAAATTCCGCTTCCTCCAACACTCCTGAAACAGAGGAACAACTGATCTTCACTTCACCTGCTCCGGCCTGCCAGCTCTGGCGGGGGGGGGGGGGGGGGGGGGGGGGGAGGGATGTGGAGCACAGGGCACCCTCATGCCCAGTAAGGTGTGGCACCACAACTGCTCCGAGCTGGGACTCGGGGACGTAACTGGGATTTCCCTCCAGCCGGAGGCCACCTGTCACCCTGGGCCACCAGCCCTTCCCCTGAGACCCGCAGCTCAGGAAGGTGCTGGCTAGTCCGTTTAGCACACCAGGACTGCCCCCAAGATCAAGTGTCTGGGCAAAAAACCACCACTTGCCTTCTTCTGCAAGGTCCTTGTTGATAACCAGCTTCCCGTGCCTCAGGTAGTTCAGCACAGGCCCGAAGTAGGTGGGGTCTCTGTCGATGAGATAGGCACCGGTTTCATCCTGCGAAGAATGAAGGCCGCGCTGTCAGTCCTGCAGTAGTTCTAGTCAGAGCAAGGCCAGGCCAGACCCACAGCTCAACTGCACAATACGTGGGCCCCCACGAGGGCCAGGCGGGCCCGTGCCAGCCTGCGCCCTGCCCCTGACACCAGGGCAGCAGTGCCAAGACCTCCACAGAGGGGTGGCCGCTTCCCGCCCTCAGCAAGGGGGCAGCCAGGCCCCCGGCCAGTGGCTGGGGAAGGCGATTTCACATATCCACGGTGGGTGCGGCTCCCTTGGGCCTCTGCAGGCGCTGGCCACGGCGGGTGGACAGGCCTGCGTGGGAGCTGCAGGGCCCGAAGGCCCGCCAGGCCTGGAGCCAGCCACGAAGCAGGATGTCCTGCCAGGGCCTTGCTTCCTCACAGCCCTCCCAGACCCAGGGCAGCGGCCCCGCTGAGTGCGGGGTTTCCTCCACCGCCCGCAGCTGCACACCCATAGAAACCTGCCTGTCCCGGGCCGGAGGGACAGGCTGGGGGGTCGGGCGGCCCATTCTCTCTCCTGGTGGTTTCTCGTGACTTCACCCTCATCCTCCTGGAGGCTTCCAGAAAAACGAGACCCAGGGAGCCCAGGGCGTTTGCAGTCACCTAACCGCGGCCACGGCGGGAGGGCGGCGAGAGTGAGAGCCCACGAACCCAGGAGCCACGCATGCGCCACGCGAGCCTGCGGCTGCTCGGCTCCGCAGGCCACTCAGCACCCCAGCCGCCGAGGAGGCGTGGCGGGGGCGGCAGGAACACCTCTCCAACCCCAGCCCCTCACACTGCCACTCGGTCCAGGACAGCACTTCACCATCCCCGGCAGCTTGACGCGCATCTTAAAACCCACGCGAATTTCCCGCTGGAATTCCTGTACTTCTATTACTATTACTTTTTTGTTTTTGTTTTGTCGGTCGTGGGGCTTGAACTCGGCCTGGCACTGTCCCCGAGCTCTTCTGCTCAAGGCGAGTGCTCTACCACTTGAGCCACAGCACCATTTCCAGTTTTCTGGTGGATCATTGATGATAAGAATCTCAGAGATATTCCTAGCCTGGCTGGCTTTGAATCACAATCCTCAGATCTCAGCCTCCTGAGTGGCTGGGATTACAGGCGTGAGCCACCAGCACCTGGCTACTGTTTTAAGAGACAGGGGCTTCACTACGGCCTCCAAACTTATGATCCTCCTTGGCTGCTGAGTGCTACGATTACAGGCGTGCACTACCACAGCTGGCCATCCTGTTCTTCTCTGACTATGAACGTGTCTTCCCACGCTGGGCACCGGCGGCTGTAGCCCCAGCTACTGAGGAGGGCTGAGATCTGAGGATCAAGGTTTAAAGCCAGCCCAGGCACACAAGTCCAAGAGACTGCTATCGCTAACTAACCAACAAAAAGCCAGACGCAGAGTCTACCTGTGGTAGAACACTAGCCTTGACAAAAAAGCCAAGTAAGCATGCTTGGCCCTGCTTAGTCCAGTCCAGCATGAGCACGCACACAGTTTCCCAAGAATCTCACAGGAAGCCACAAGCACGGGTCGCTCAGGCAGGAGCACCTCTGGAAACCATGCTCGGGACCAGACCCTCAGATCTGGGTGGAGGGCTGTCCGTCGCTGGCCGCTGCCTGAGGGAGCAGCGCCAGCGGGGGGGGGGGGGGGGGGGGGGGGGGGGGGGCAGGGCGCTCCAGACACACCGCTGCCCCGCTGGTGTCGTGGTTGGCAGGACCGGAGCCCCAGCAGGGCAAAGGCCCATGTGGCGCTGCGCAGGCAGGGCAGGCAAGGACACTTCGTCGGTGGATCACTGAGGGCGCTCTCGTCTGCTTCCTCTGGGTGGAGGTGAGCTCCAGGCACAGGGCTGGGGAGGGGCAAGACCTCCCCACCCCCCCCCCCGCCCACCCCCTTCTGCAGGATCTGTTGGTGGGAGATGGCAGCCTCTACAGAAAGGGCCAGGGTCTTAAGCTCAGGGCCTCCATTCCTCTACCCTCCATTCCACGGGCTGGGCTGCCAGTGGGCGCACAGGCTGTCAGGAGACGGTGATGATGGGTCTAGCCATCATCTCCGCAGGACTGCCGGCACCGCGCGCTCCTCCTGGAAGCCCTCGACCCTTGGGTGCCACACGCCTGACACCTAAGGCACTAAGGGGAAGTGGTTGGGAGGCAGGCCAAGGCTGGACACCGCGGATGGCCGTGCGTGGCGGATGGCCGTGCATAGCCGTTCTTCCTCTTTTCTGACCATCTCTAATTTTTTTTGTTGTTGTTTTTTTGGGTCCGCTCCTGGGGCCTGAACTCTGGGCCTGGGCGCTGTCCCTCAGCTCTTCAGCTCAAGGCTAGCACTCTACCACTTGAGCCACAGCGCCACTTCCAACTTTTTTCTTTTTGCTTATGTGGTGCTGAGGAATCAAACTCAGGGCCTCAGGCATGCAAGGCAAGCGCTCTACCACTGAGCCACCTTCCCAGCCCCATCCCTATAACAGGCACGGGCTACCTGAACATGGTGGGGAGGTTTGCCTTGTGTTTTATAGAAGAGCTAGAATTAGGACTGCTCGCTCAGCTGAGTGGGAGCCCAAGGGGCGGGCCGCGAGTTCAAGTTCTGAGAGTAGCTCAGGAGAGGAGCGACAGCGTCCGGGAGGGTGGGCTGTGGGGAGCGTGTTGTAGAGCAAATGCAGCGAGCACTCTAGCAACCCCCCCCCATCTAACCCACACCAATACCCCCACCAGCCTGGGAGACACACTTGGCTTTCTTCCTCTGAAATCACAAGTCACGTTTCAAGTGACTCCACGTTCACATGCAAACCCTCGCCTGTACCCTTCTGACTTGTCCCCCACAAGCCTCAACCCCAGAGAGGCCTTTGACACCACCGGTGACCGATGAGGACCGCCAGCGACCAATCTGCACCCTGCGCCTGCCACCTCCACACCAGCACCCCTGCGGTGGCCCCAACTCCTAACAGCTTGCGAGGGTCCGGGAGACCCTCCCGCTCAACTTGCTTCTGCCACACGGTCCTGCGCTGCCTGTGAGCACCGGGGAACAGCAGCTTCGGGTGAGGCAGGGAGGGGCGAGCGGCCGGCTCCCCTGGGAGGAGCCCCTCACATCTCAGGCCTTGGCCTCCCAGCTCCAGAGGGCAGCAGCCCCGCCACACCGCTGGAACCGAGAATGGAGGACGCTGACATTCCCGAGTGCGAGTCACGGGAAGCTCGAAGCAGATGTGATGGGGGCTCGCCCTCCCCCCACGAGGCTCTCGTGGCTTCTTGTGGAACAAGCCTGCTCCTGATTCCCGGGTGGGCAGGTGCACGGCCGCGGTGCGGGCTCTGTGCTCTGGGCTGGGGTCGCCCACCCTGGTGGTTTCCTAACTTAGGACAGTCCACAGCAGACACGCGCTGCCACCGCTTTGAGTGTGTGGATCTGTCACGCCACCAGTGGCAGCAGGCGGGAGGTAGCAACGGGGACTGCGGCGATGAGCAGGGACCGGGCTGCACAAACCAAGCCTGGTGGGTCTGTGGGACTGGGGTGCGGCCGCCCCAGCCCGAGTCTCCCCACTCTGTGCAGAACACTGCGCCCCGGACAGCCCGGCCAAACATTCACCCCTCAGCTGTGGGGCCCGAAGCGGTCCCCTCCGCAGTCCCCAGCAGCTTCAAGATGGCCTCTGCGGGACAGACAAGGCAGAGAGTTCTTGATTTCCTGCTGGGACCCAAGGGCACCCCTGGCTCCTTTTCCTCCCCACCGTGGCCTGCCCAGTCCCCAGTGGCACCTGCGCCTCCCTCAGTCCGCACAGGCCCGACCTGCAAAACCAGGCCGCGGAGCGCAGAGGTGCCACAGCCGCCAAGGACCTGAGAGCCATGGCCGCGGGGGAAGCCGGGCGGGGCGGGCTCGCTGCCCTCTGGGGCTGGAGCCCAGGGTCGGCGAGTGCACACAGAGCACAGGGCCGGGCAGCATACTGGAACCCTGGCGCTGTGCTTCACAGGCTCGCTGCTGCCCAGGCAGCCCGGCCCCGGCCCCTCGGCAAGGCTCCTGACCGGCACCCATGAGCCTCGGGGCCGCCCAGCCCCACTCTGGAAGGTTCACAGCAATGACTATGCACAAGACAAACATTAAGAAATCTCTGTGGGGAGAAAGCATCTGGATGCGTTCTTTTAAGAAATGAAGTACAGGGGCTGGGAAGGTGGCTCAGTGGTAGAGCGTTTACCTTGCATGCATGAGGCCCTGAGTTTGATTCCTCAGCACCACATAAGCAAAAAAAAAAAAAAAAGCTGGAAGTGGTGATGTGGCTCAAGTGGTAGAGCGCTAGCCTTGAGCTGAAGAGCTGAGGGACAGCGCCCAGGCCCAAATGAAGTACAGGCTGGGTGCCGGTGGCTCACGCCTGTCATCCTAGCTACTCAGGAGTCTGAGACCTGAGGATCGCGGTTCAAAGCCAGCCCGGGGATGGAAACTCTGTGAGACTCTTATCTCCAATTAACCACCAGAAAACCAGAAGCGGTGCTGTGTCTCCAGTGGTAGAGCTCTAGCCTTGAGCTGAAGAGCTGAGGGACAGCGCCCAGGCCCAGAGTTCAGGCCCCACGACCAACCAAAAAATAAATAAATGAAATTGAAGCACAAGAATAAAGCAATGACCACTACGTGCGTCCATCACTACACCACCCCAGTGCCAGGTGGCAGCTCCTGCCACCTCCCATGACTGAGCAAGTGAGCCTCTGGTCAGCGAGGAAGTCACCGTAACGCCAGTCACAGTCACCACCACCACACACAGTCAAAGCCAGGCTCCTTCCCAACTTCAAAGGCTGTGGCGGGGGCCTGGTGTGCAGAGGGACCACCGCAGGAGCGGAGCGCACGCTGAGCTCTGGAAGGGAGTCGGGGTGACACCTGGCCTGGCGTAAGGACACCAGAGAGGGGGCAGCGCGCTGCCCCGCCTCCGCCTCCACCTCCGCCTCTGTGCTCACTGGGCAGCAGCTTCATGGGCCCCGCCCTTTTGGAGACAGAGCGGCCACACCCATCCGGAGGCTGAGGCACATCTGTGGGTTCCGGGAACACTCCGTGGAAAACCTGGCAAGTGCTGTCAGACTCCTGGGCTAACCTGAGACCAGGCACTGCCTACTGGAAAGAGGGCCAGCCTTGCAGCAGATGGCCATGGGGCCTAGGCCTGGGAGGAAGGGTCCAACTTCCCATGAAAGGACAGGTCCATCCTTCCCAACACTGGCCTGCTCACAGCCAACGGGCTATGTGCCTTGCATCAGGTGATCACAGACTCAGAGAGGTCAAGCACCTGTGGTAGAGGAGGTGGGAGATGCAGCCCAGGCTCCACAGCTAGGACCACAAGCATCAAAACGAAACCTGCTTCATGCCTCCTCCATGTCCAGCACACAGGCCATTTGCAGGACTCTGCCAGGCCACTGCTTCTCTGACTTAAGTTCTGCAGAGCATAATCGACCATTTCCACTCTAAGCAATCCCTACTTCTCCTGCCAAGCCAGTAGCCGATCCAAAGATGGCACTCCCGCCCTTCCCTAACCCTTCCTACCCTTCTAACCCTAAAACTCACCAGGACCAAGTGCCCTCGGAGTGGGCACCGGAAAGGACTGCAGGGCCTGATCACAGGGCACACCATGACCACCCCCCAAGATCCACCAGGTGCCACCCTGTCTGCCCCTTCAAGCTGGGACAGCGGCCCTGTGCCAGTGGCAAAAGCTCATGTCCTACTTTGAGTTTTCTGGAGGCCTGGCAAAGGAACCCATGTCAGTCAGGATAGCTTCCAACTCCAGCGTCTAGGTGTCCCTGGCCTCCTGAAGTGTCTCCACGCTAAGTCAGGGGCCAGTGAAGGGACACACAAGCTGTGTTTACGGCAATGCCTCCGGAATACAACAGCTGGGAATACAGACAGACACAGCCAAAGGGGAGCAAACCCTCCCCACAGGCAGCTCGGGAAGGAGTATGAGTTTGGCCTGCCCCAGGGACAACATGGGGAAGAAAAAAGACAGGACAGCAGACGGCCAACACCAGCACAGTCCCGCTGGACTGTGTCTATACAGAGAACTTCACACCAGCGGTGACAGGAGACCAGAGGGCGAGGGTCTGGGGACACAAGCATGGCCAGAAGTGGGTCCCAATTTAGGCTCTAAGAACTGGGGGGGATGGAGGGGTGCAGTAGATGGAAGTCTTCATGCCAGCCCCTGCAGAACCCCAGAAGGTTTTGATTTGAAGGGTCCTCACCCAACTCCCATCCCACCACGGCACCTGGCAAGCGCAGGAGCTCCACAATCACTACTGGTGGGCCCGATGCCAAATGCCCAACACTAGGCCCCGTCCCTGGAAGGGGTCTTGTAGCAGGTTCCCGCTGAAGTCCAACTCTAGGAACAGCTATCAGCTATTCTTTCCTCAATCTCTAATGAGGTCAGTTTGGAGATCCTCACAAGTGAATCAACATCCTGTTTGTCTTCAATATGTAATTAATGGCCTCCCACTGCTAATACCCCTATCCTCCACCCTCCGCCCTCAGATTCCTTACCCTAGGAGGTATCTCCTTGGACATTCTTTCATCAGAAGCTTGGGAGGGGGCCGAGAAGACCCTCCTGTTATACATTTTCTCACGTGAAATATCAGTTTAGTGACATGACTAGTGAGAAACACTCTTTCTGGCAACTTATCTGTGACTAGAACTAACCCTTATCTATTGCTACCAACTGTATGAGAGACTGTATCTGCTAGATTACCTGTATGTTCTGAATTTCACTTTGACATTTCTGAAACAGAATACGATTTTTAAAAACCAACTACAACAAAGATACATTCTGATAGATAAGATTGCACACACATACACAAGGATCACAACTGCAGTAAAGCCTAATTCTTAAAAGTAGCTGTAAAAATAAAATGATGGGATGAATCAACTTGACTAGTCTACAGTCATTGGGCTCTGAATCTACTGTTTCAGTGCTGCACAGGCTGCCACTGCCTCAAAAGAACCCAATGGACAGAACAATTCAAAATCGAGTTAAGCAAAGCGGGGGATATTGCTGGAGTAGAAAGTCAAGTAAAGGATCAGAAAAAGATTAAGAACAACAGTAAACACTACAAGAGAGAAACCACAGCTGACAAAAGCCTATTTCTATCCTGGAGATGGCAGTCATTTTCCAGAGGTCAAGTCTCTAAGTAAGAGTAGGGAGCTTGATCAAATGAGAACTGGGAACAGCTGGAGAAGGGGAGGGGGTGGGGGAGACAAAGGGAGAGGAGGGAGGAGAGTTCAGAGAGCGTGCGTTCAAGGCCCTAATTTCTGCCCACTATGGGTGTTTTTGTGGCGACCCGAGTTCTCATGTCCTGACACCGAGAACTGTCTCCGTCAGGATTTTCTAAGTGGAGAGAGCTCCTCGTCTTTTTGGAAAGCCTCCTGCAAATATGGCAAGCTGGCAAGGAACACTGCCAAGCGCAGTCGTATAGGTTCTACTGGGAAATCCAGTCAAGTTTAGTGGCTCGTGACTGCCACACCGGAGAAGTCCACGCACCCTCCCCGAGCCTGCATCCCGCGGCTCCCGCGTTCACCTTCCTGACCACGCTCTCCTCGGCGTACGCAGCAAGTTAGGTTCGTTACTATCTGCACAACAACGCGCACGCAGTCTCGGTCGGAGACTCGGCCGTGAGCCTGGACACTGCCGTTCTTTTGCAAGGCTGGCAGGAAACGACGCCTAGAAATCAAGGTAGAACAAAAAAGGCTCCCCGCCGCTCCCCTCTCCCGCGAAGGAAGCCATCTTCCGCGGAGGGGCTGGCGGCCCCGCGCGCGGCCGGGACGGAGGGAGCCCGTCCCCGGAGGCCCCCGCCCCCCGAGCTGCGCCGATTCAAACGTCGGCCCCGGGCAGCCGAGGGGACCGCCACGGCGCCCCGCGCGCGCACGCGCACACGCCCGGCCACGCCAGGCGAGGGAAGAAATAAAGTAGGTCCGAAACAAAGTCCAGGGTCTGGGGCGCCTCGGCCTCCGCCTCCTCCGCCGCCGCCGCCGCCGGCCTCCCCGGCCCCGCCGCCGGCCTCCCCGGCCCCGCCGCCGCCGCCGCCGGCCTCCCCGGCCCCGCCGCCGGCCTCCCCGGCCCCGCCGCCGGCCTCCCCGGCCCCGCTGGCCCCGCCGCCGGCCTCCCCGGCCCCGCCGCCGGCCTCCCCGGCCCCGCCGCCGGCCTCCCCGGCCCCGCCGCCGGCCTCCCCGGCCTCCCCGGCCCCGCCGCCGGCCTCCCCGGCCTCCCCGGCCCCGCCGCCGGCCTCCCCGGCCCCGCCGGCCCCGTCGCCGAGGAGGGCGGGCCGAGGCGCCCGCCGGCCCGCGAGGCCCTCACCTTGTCCGAGTCCAGGTCGGGGTCGGCCTGGCACAGGCGGTACAGGAAGGACTTGGGGTCCCGGCACAGCGTCTGCCGGGTGGTGAGGAAGTAGGTGCCGCCGACGTTCAGCCGGACCCACTTGGACACGCCGCCCGGGCGCTGCGCCAGGGCGCCGAGCCCCGCGCTGCAGCGGCGGCACAGGCCGCCCCCCGGCCCCGCCCCGAGGCCGCCGGGGGCCGGCGACAGCAGCTCGCAGTGGTTCTCCGCCATGATCCCAGCAAGCCCTGCCACAGTGCTGCCCGGCCGGAAGCGTCCGGTCCTTAAGAGTGTCCTCCGGAGCAAAGCGCCCGCCCCGGCGTCACGCGGAAGTTCCGGCCCGGAACGCCGGCCGGCAGCGCCCCCTTCCGCCCGCCGGCCCCGCCCCCGGCCCCGCCCAAGGAGGAGCCAGGCCGCGAAGCAGTACACACTACATGCTTTTATTACAAGACTACTGAGCATACGAGGGAAATTCATCATTCAGTAACTACATCGAAAGCACAGATACTTGAAAAAAGGGAAAAAAAGATTCATTAAATTATGATATGATTAAACTATGACCAAATAGAAAATTTATATAATAAAGCCAGAAAAAAAGTTGTAAAATATAGTTTACAATAATTATTCACATTCAAGGCTGTACATCAATACATACAACAACGGTGGCCCCGAACATGAATTCAATCCAAATAATTCATATATTAGAATTTAAATAACACAGACTGAACTAGAGGCCAACCTTAGCCAGCAAATAACCTTATATAAGAATAAAAATACAAAAGTGTATATCCTAGTATCATTGCATTATTTGTTTTCATAAGTTTTTTTTTTTTAAATTTTTGCTTTGCCTGTACATCACAGTTACAGCTACAGACCAGGTAGAAAATATTACACACGTTCTAACTGACTGCCACCAACCTGAACGACAGCAACATACTATTGATTCGTCCTATTTCAGTTACGGACAAGCTGCAGCAGCTCAAAAATACTGTTAAGTTTAATTTGTCCACATCCAATCAAACTATTGTCATGACAAGAGTTTGTCACTGACACAATAAACTACTTGTAGTCATTATGCCGGACAGCTAGACTAGGGAGGGGGCTGCACTGGTAAAAAAAAAAGTAAAATTAAAAATAAAGCTTGCCCTTTGTAAAAAGTCTTACTTTTTACAGATGTTTGGTTTCTTCATACTAAAGAAACGAGTTACAGGGAAATTCCAGGTACACCAGCTAATTCATTTGCCCACCATCATCATCTCAGCGACAGATAAAACTGCTTGTTGCTAAACACAGTTTCCTCCCTAGAGCCTGATTTAGAGTCCTGCAGGCTGGGCCAGAAGCTAGTGCCCCTCAGAGGTGTGAAGGGGCTCCAGACATATTCTGCCTAAAAAGAACCACAGCGACCTAGGTCACCACCAGTTAATATTGCACCTGCAGAGAAACAACACACAAACAGTGTATGGCGACCTCTCCCAGAAAGGGGACCTCTGTGTTGCTCTCCTGGCAGCTTCCCATCTCAGCAGGAAGCACCCTAGGTCTTTGGGCTGGTCAAGGAGGAGTCTCCAGGCATCAGAGGACAAGAGGCCATAAGCTCTGGTAGAGTCAAGTGGCACTGAGTCGGGTGCCTGGAAGAATCCTGTTTCCTACCTAAATCAATGGACCACCGCCCAACCTGAAGAAACAAGAATCAAATCTGGGTAGTCTCAAGACCAGTCAATCTACAGCACTATGGGCAGAGGGGAGAAAGAAGGTGGCCTTACCTCCATACCAGCCGGGGCATGCACCACACTGTACAAGAAAAAGGCCAGACCTCCTGAGGGTCACACAAAGGAGCTTTTATAAAACCCAATCATTTACATGGTTTCTTTTTCAAAGCAGAGCTTTTACTCCACTATTGATCCCAAATAGCCCAATGAACTTTGAGTCTATAAACGTAATTACGAATCACCCACTAAGCATGTGGCAAAGGTCAGTACAACACTTTTATCTCTGCTAACTGCAGAAACAGATTCAGTACCATTGTGGTCACAAATGACAAGATTGTGAAAACATCACCAAGCACTTGGAAGCCATAGCAGCAGGAATGGAAGAGACTAACATGCAAGCATGACCAGATTCTTGCAATGAAAATAAGGAAGCTGGTTCTCAGGGGGAGAAAAAAAAAATCCGTTGAAAAGGGATGGGGGAAGGAGAGTCATATTCAAACATCGCTTGGAACACACAGCGTAGCAGGACTGTTACTGGAACACAGAGCATCTGAATATGAGACCAAAGGGAATCTGTGCCATGAAAAAAGTCGTCTGACACAAACATACCACTTGCAGGTATCTGAGGGGGAAAATGTCTAAGGTAAAAAACCAAAAACTGATTAGGATATTCATCACAGCATTAAATAATGAAAACCAAGAACTCATCTACAAAAAGGAAATGGTCAGATAAATTGATAAAATGTACAACCATTGGACTCTACCATCACTAAATACTTGCTTCAACTGTCCATGGCACAGGGAAATGCTTGGATATCAAATGAAAAAGCTGGATGTAAAAGTATGTGCATGTTGTATGTTCCCAGTTTAGTTAGGAAAGCAAAAAAAAAAAAAAAGGGGGGGGGGGGAGGTGTAGCTCAGTGGTAGAGCACTTCCTGCATCTTGAGTCCCTGGGCTCAATTTCCAACACTGCAAAAAGGAGGAAGGGGGGGGTGAGGAAAGGGGGGGGATTAGGGAAGAGAAAAAGGAAAAAGGGAGGGAGGAGGAAGGAAATAATATTGGGGGGCAGGTAGGGGCAGGATCTAGGTCAAAATGCTCATAGTAGCCCCTGGTTGGTGAGTTCGTCGTTGATCTTTTACCAGGTGCTCCTCTGCTGGCATCTAAGACTGTACCACAAGGCCATCCTCAGGCATGGACCACAGACACCAGAGGCCTAGAGGTGAATTTCCGCCAGCGCTGGCCTGACAAGTTTCTCAAAGCAAACTTTCCGCAAGCCTCCAGGAGGTTAGGGCTCAGCACGGCAGCCATGCCACGGCGCCACCGCCTGCAGTGGATGGCAGCCACACCACAGTGCCGCTCCCTGAAGCGGAGGGGCTCAGAGCTCCACACAGGGATGCCACTTCTCTAGCTGAGGGCACAGACAAAGGGGTAGGACCCACCCGTCCAAGTCCGCTTTTCCATGTCCTACGGTAGGGTACAGTGGACAGGAGTTACGACTACAGCCTCAGGTCCTCCCATACTGGTGGGAGGGACCAAGAGGGTGTGCTTCCAACCTTCACACCCACCCTGCTTCGTAGGCCACAGGGCCACCAGGGCTTCGGGACAGCAGGTTCCCCTCGTTCCCCTTGGCAGATCCCAAGTGTGCTGCTGGGCAGGCTAGCACCCACACACCTGTCCTACAGGGCAAGGCGCCGGCCTGCATGCCGTGGGTGGCTCTGATGGAAGGGAGGTATGGCCTTTAACAAAAGGCCAGGAAAGAGGGAGTGGGAGGATGGAGCTGCGGCAGGCAGGGCCGGGTCGCCAGCTCAGCTGCCCCAGAGCGGTGGCTGCCGGCAGGACGGTTGGGTGGAGCGAGGAGGTAGTGGCACTCTCCAGCCGGAGGCAGCGACCAAGCCTAGCTTCAGCCTCACTCTCTCCTCTGCAGCCAAAATGATGCCTTGTTTGTGTATGCAAGAGCCGGGAGCCCCCACCACACAGGTACAGGCTGTTCTCCAGAGGGCTGAAAAGGCTAACCAGTTACAAGGGAAAGGAGCCGATCAGGAACTCGAACAAATTCCAAGCTGGCTCCACACAGGCAAGCCTCTTCAGCAGCTGGGAGAGGGGCCCGCAGGCCGAGAGCTGCAAGCCAGGCAGTGTCACGCTCCCCAGGGACAGGCACGGCCCTGACCCTGGCTGCTGACCCCCTGGAAAGCCCAGGGAACATTTCTGCTCTTCTCCAGCACTCCACACTAGCACAAACAGCAGGACCTGCATCAGCACTTTGCCCCCGGCTTAAAAGGAGCCACTTGGCACACAGGCGGTCAGCGGGGACGGGAGGGGCAGGGGCTTTTCTGCGGAAGCCATTTACTGGGGCCTCTGTGAGTCTACAGGAATGGAAGTGTTCCTGCCCTGGGGACAGGGCGTCCGAGGTGTACCTGCAAGCAGACTGTCTGTTCCTCTCCTTCCCAGAGCGTCCCCACCAGGGACAGCTTGGGCAGCGAGGCACGGAGGAGCCTCTCAGGGGCGCTCTGCCTGAGCAGAGAAGGGAGCCAGGCTGGTGTGTGCCAGGCACCCCCACTGCAGAGCAGACCACCACCGCGGGGCATCCACAGCAGCGCCCTGGAATGGCAGGGGACAGACAGGGAGGCAGGCGTTGGGTTTAAGTGGGCTGTTCTCATGGCCTGGGCATCAGTGAATAACATTTTTTGGTAGAAATCCACTCTTTATGGACCAAATAGGCTTTAAAATTTTCAATGTAGAGACACAAAAGCTGAGCTAGCTGAGAAGTGTTTACCCATAATACAAACGGGGCATGTGCGGATGGGCCAGAAACTGACAGAGCCTGAGACCACTGGCCCCAGGGTTCTCTCAGACCCTCCTTGTGCGGCAGCAGCCGGCACACTGAGACCTTTCCAAGACTCTCAGGAGGTCTGTGGCCCTACTTGCCCCCTGGAGGCTGACAGCCTAAGCTGTTCTGGCTGGTGCCTCCAGGGGGCCTCCTGGCCTGGCCCAGGTGCAGTGATCCAGCTGGGTGCTAACCGTTCCTTGGCTGATGGCATTCCTCCTGGACATACATTTGGCATGGTGTCCACTGCACTGACGGACACTGCTAGGAGGTGGGCTGCAGAAGTGGAGCCTGGCGGGACTCCCTGCAACCGTAGCTGCCTGCGCTGCATGTCGCCTCCAGCGCAGGGAGCGCAAACATCACAGGCAGCGAGGCCCTGCTAGAGGCGCCGAGGGCCAGCCACACGTCCGGGTCGGGCACGACAGACCCAGGGAAGGCAGTGCGCACCCAGAGCCAAGACCCTGGTGCCCACAGCCAGCTGGCGGCAGCTCAGCCCAGCAAAGGGGTGTAGAGGCTCCCTGGTGAAGGGCTCTGTGACAATGAGGGTGGGCACAAAGAGCCAAAATACATCCAGCCCCTCAGCCGCAGCAGAAGCTGGGGCAGGTGGGAGGAGTGGTAGCGGGTACAAAGTTCCCCTGGATGCTAGGAGGGGCTGGTGATGCCGAAGGTGGCCACTGGTCTGGGCAGGAGCTGGGTCTCCACGGGCACAACAGCATGTGGAAGCCTCCACAGAGCACAGAGAGCAAGCAAAGCAACCCTGAATTCCTGTTTGCTATTGGTTTTGTTCTTTGTGTAGTTGGGTGTTTTTTTTTCTTCTTTTCTTTTAAATAAAAAAGCTGCAAGGTTCCCGCCATCTGCGTTCTTTGAGGTGGCCGGCGGCAGGTGGTCTGGAAGCGTCCTGGTGGCGGCCGAGCCGCGCCAAGAGAGGTGTCCTGGCAGCGAAGGGCAGCCCGGCCGCAGGACATGTCACTGCACAGAGGCATCTGGGTGGCTCTGGTATCGCTGCCTCCAAACCTCCTGGATCTTCCTGCACCACTTGTGAGCGTTCCCACTTGGATCCATCAAGTAGTACGTCCTGTTAGGCTGCAAAGACAGAGCACCTGATGTCCTCCAGGGAGTCCCCTAACCCACCCCAGAGAGCACCTAATGTCCTCCTGTAGCACCTTCACCAGGTCTTCCACACGCGCAGAAACTAAACATGCAGGTGAGTGACCCACCCTAAATGGACAGCCAGCTCAGAGTGGCCCACTCAGGCCTGAGGGCTTAATGCAGGGCCCTAATGGCCCAAGGCCAAAGCAAGGGAGGCTCTCCTCAGAGGCACAGAGGTCTTCCCAGAACACTGCCAGCCAGAGTCCTCAGGACAGACTCACCGTGTGGACAAAGAAAGTTTTAAAATTCTTGGCCTCTGGTCGGAGTTCTTGTGACCATGGAATTTCACCTTTCAGGACTTTGTTGACAGGATCAACATAATATAAATGTGGTCCTTCTGTGAGCAACAACTGCCGTCTCCGTGCAAATAAACCCTGAGCAAAAACCAAACACTGTGTTACTAATGCACTGAGAGGAAGGATCTACACTGGAAGAACCCCAGTCACTCATTACTCATCTGAGACAGCTCCTCCCCTAGTCTCATAGGCCCTACTGTTGGACTCACAAAGACTCGCCGCTGCCGGCAGCTACTGTCCTAGGCCCCTTGACTCCTTCAAGGCAGCGTTCTCTTCCTTACAGGACACGCTGCAGCCCACTTTTGTGATGATTCTTGCAGCTCTGAAGGGATGCCAGGAGTCATGTGAGTATGGTCCAGTATGTGCTGCTCATGTCAGCACAGTCCGATATGTGCTGCTCATGTTAGTGTGGTCTGATCCATGCTGCACAATCATAATAAGTAGGACCAGACATGGCCTCAAAGTAACAGAAATTTTGGCCTGGTGAACTCTGCGTCCTGCAGCAATGGGAAACTGAGCTGCAAAGTACGGACATGGCAGTGGCTTTCCAGCTGCCCAGTTCCCACTCCTCCACCTGTAAGACTCTAAAGAGCATGCCAGGACAAGAGACACTGTTTCCTGCAGGTCATGAGCTGACCCAAGCTTAGAAGCCTGAGGTGGCTGAGCACAGCTGCAAGGGCCCGACTCACCTTTCGCTTATCTACCGGACCCATTTTTAGTATTAGATTATTTTCTACAAACTGGTGCCTATAAAAAAAGAAAACAAGAATGAGACACAGCAATTCTCCACATGCCTCCCTTCGAATAAATTCCCCAGGACCTCCACGGGCAGGCCTTGCTTTAGCCATGCCGACCTCTCACAGAGCCAGCCTCTCTTTAGGACCAGGAAGTAACTCCAAAATGCACTGGACAGAGGCCCATCACATCCAGCCCCAAATCTACATCTTTTTTTCTTTTTTTTGGGGGGGGGTAGAGGAAGTGAGGTGGAGGGGGTCGGTCATGGGGCTTGAACTCTGGGCCTGAGCACTGTCCCTTAGCTCTTTCACCCAAAGCTAGCGCTCTACCACTTGAGCCATAGCACCACTTCCAGCTTTTTTCTTTTTGCCTATGTGGTACTGAGGAATCGAACCCAGGGCCTCATGCATGCAAGGCAAGCGCTCTACCACTGAGCTACCTTCCCAGTCCCAGAATCTACATTCTTATAATCACCTCTCTGCACCAACTACCTAGTAACAGAGCTGGTGAGGGGAAACAATGGCACAAAATCAAAAGACAACACACACACATCATAATCACATTACAAAGGCAATTGATCGTATAAAAACAAAACAAAACAGAACAAAAAACCTGGGGAGACAGCCTCTTCCCTAAGGGTAGATCCTTCTGGGAGTCAACTTTAAGATAAGATATTGCCCCTAGGGCTGGGAAGGTGGCTCAGTGGTAGAGCACTTGCCTTGCATGCATGAGGCCCTAGGTTCGATTCCTCAGCACCACATAAACAAAAAAAAGAAAAAAGCCGGAAGTGGTGCTGTGGCACTAGCCTTGAGCTGTGCTGTGCCCAGAGTTCAGGCCCCACGACTGGACCCAAAAAAAAAACAAAAATAAAAACAAAAAAAAACAAGATATTGTCCCTAGCCAGGCACTGGTGGCTCACGCCTATAATCCTAGCTACTCAGAAGGCTGAGATCTGAGGATCGAGGTTCAAAGCCAGCCTGGGCAGGAAAGACTGTGAGACTCCTACCACAGAAAACCGGAAGTGGCGCTGTAGCTCAAGTGGTAGAGCGCTTGCCTTGAGCTAAGGAGCTGAGGGACGGCACCCAAGCCTAGAGTTCAAGCTCCACAACCAACCAAAAAAAAAAAAAAAAAGATATTGTCCCTAAGTATGTCCTAGGCTGGAACTTTTAGGGGCTAGAATTGAGTCAGTACAATCCCAAATCCTTGAAAGATCCAAGTTTAGATCTGATTTAAGACCCTATTTTCTGGCTGGGTTGCAGTTGAGTGTCAGACTGTATACTTAGTAGCATGCACCAGGCCCTAGGTCCCTGGGTTCACTTCCCAAGATGGGGAGGAAGGATATTTTCTGCCACAGTAATAAACACATTTTTGTTTTTTAAAATATAGCAGAAGGGGCTGGGGGTTTAGCTCAGCGGAAGGGCGCCCGCCTGGCGAGCGCAAGGCCCTAGGTTCGGTCCTCAGCCCTGGAAAATAAAAAATAAAAAAATAAAATATGGCAGGAGAGCTGGGAAGGTGGCTCAGTGGTAGAGCGCTTGCCTTGCATGCCTGAGGCCCTGGGTTTGATTCCTCAGCACCACATAAGCAGAAAAGGCCGGAAGTGGCACTGTGGCTCAAGTGGTAGAGCACTAATCTTGAGCTGAAGAGCTGAGGGATAGTGCCCAAGTCCAGAGTTCAGGGCCCACAACCGGACCCCCCACACCCCTCCAAAATAAAAACTTAACACATAGTCGCCAGTTTTTTTATATTTCAACAAACATTTGAAACACATAGTGACCAGTTTTTCTATATTTCAGCAAACATTTGAAACAGAAAACCTGGAAATGTCATCTTCTTTTTCTTTCTTTCTTTTTTTTTTTTTTTTGCCTGGGCACTGTCCCTGAGCTTCTTTTGCTCAAGGCTAGCACTCTACCACTTGAGCCACAGCACCACTTTCATGCTTTTTCTGTGTATGTGGTACTGAGGAATCGAACCCAGGGCTTCATGGATGCTAGGCAAGCACTCTACCACTGAGCCACATTCCCAGCCCCTGGAGATTTCTTCTTCTTCTTCTTTTTTTTTTTTGCCAGTCATGGTGCCTGAACTCTGGGCCTGGGCGCTGTCCCTCAGCTCTTCAGCTCAAGGCTAGCGCTCCACCACTTGAGCCACAGCACCACTTCCAGCTTTTTTCTTTTTGCTTATGTAGTGCTGAGGAATCGAACCCAGGGCATCAGGCATGCAAGGCATGCGCTCTACCACTGAGCCACCTTCCCAGCCCCACCTTGGAGATTTCTTAAAAGGACGTGTAGTTCCCTGATAAGTGTATGCTAAATCCAAAATGTTAGGCGATATGACAAAACTAACAGGACTTAAGAAACAAAGAACTCCCACTCATCTGGTTGAACCACTACTAAATATCCCCATGCTGCTGATCACATATATGGTATATAACATGTGAGCACCGTTATATATTACAGACTGTGATAGACAATTTGCTCCAGGAAAGTTAGAATGAACTTGTGATTTTAAATGAGCATCATTATTCCACAATACTGTGAAATTCCAGAAATTATGTAATCACTTAATCACAATAAAAAAAAAAAAGAACCTCGGGGAAGGGAGGGAGGGGATGGTAGGGGGAAAACAATGGAGGGGGTAACAATGTTCAAGAGGAAGTGTACTCATTACCTCACTCATGTAACTGTAACCCTCTGTATAGTAGCTTTACAATAAAAAAATTAAAAAAAAAAAAAAAAAAAGGACATGTAGTGACAAGGACATTGTGAGTGACATGGAAAGTACAAAGCACAGACACGTGTAACACCATAGAATTCAACAGATGAAAGAAAAATGAGAGTGTGAAGACCTGAGTTCAGGTCCCGGAAGCAGCATAAAACAAGTGGCACTCCTGTGCATGTTATAAATCCAATGTCTGACTTAGGAGAAGGGAACTGGACTCTAGTGTCTGCCAGTGCCTTACTCTGCCATGTCCTGTCATTTAGTAAAATGTCTGCCTTAATACCAATAAAAATCAAAGCAGAGTGGAGGCACACAGACCTGCCTAGCAAGACCCTACGTTCAAACCCTGAACCTAGAATGTCCAGATGCCAAAAGGGAGCCATTTTCAGTCTTTCCCATTGAAGGTGGGGCACCCAAAGGTACAAACCCACTCAACCCCTAGCCTCATCATCTCCTGACACCCCTGGGAGGCACTTCTCTGCAGAGTACTCAAGGTAGTGGGGTGTCACAAGGCTAAGCAGCCCAACTGCAATGCCTGCACTCTACATTCACTTGTTTCTAGAAGAATGTTGCTTATGGCTACAGTTCTTACCAAGGATTTCCACAGGCCTGCTTCTCCAATAGTAACTTCTTCTCATCTTCAGAAAACTGTAAGTCCAGTTCAAAAGAATTAGTGTCCAGACCGTGGATGTACTGCTCTATGTTGCTGCCCGACCTGTGGGGCAGGCTTGTGTCCACTGCAGACAGGGAGTGGGAGGAGGAGGAGGAGGAGGAGGACACTTGCATGCAGCCAAACTGGCTCAGAAGGTTGTCGTACTGCAGGGAAGGAGAAAGGAGAAAGGTACCTCAAGTTGTTGCTAGGGTCAAAACCCCCTACATACTGCCCCAGCCATAGCTCTCTAACACGTGGTGAGTTTACACACACTCTCTGCTCTGATTCTCCACTGGCCATCTTGCTGCTAAGGCCAAGGCAAGGCTGTACCTTTGTGCTCTGAGTCTCTCTTCTGATAGGAACAGGAGTCAGAGAGGATCTATAACTCAGCCACCATTTCCAGGGAGGGAAGACCTGGAACCTTCCCCCGACACAGCACTAACAAAGGGTGGTAAGTGAAATGAGATGCAAACCTGGTACCAATGGCTCACGCCCATAATCCTAGCTACTCAGGAGGCTGAGACTGGAAGATGGCAGTTCAAAGCCAGCCTGGGCAAGAGAGTCTGTAAAACTCTTATCTCCAATTAACCACCAAAAGAGCTGGAAGTGGCTCTGTGGCTCAAGTGGTAGAGTTCTAGCCTTGAGCAGAAAAGCTAAGGGACAGTGCCTAGAGGTCAAGTTTAAACCAGAGGACTAGCACTTGGCTTGCATGTTCAACTGGTTCTCTACTTGAGCCATGCTTCCAACCCAAAAATATTCCTTTCTAATCTCAGTAGAGATTAATCAGATTTGACATAAAGTTGCTTATAGTTTGAGAAAACTACAATTGTATTAACACACACACACACAAAAAAAAAAAAACAGAACTGCCAGGTGCCAGGTGGCTCACGCCTGTAATCCTAGCCACTCAGGAGGCTGAGATCTGAGAATCTCGGTTCAAAGCGAACCCTGGCAGTAAAGTCCATGAGACTCTTATCTCCAATAAACCACTCAAAAACTGGAAGTGGCTCTGTGGCTCAAGCTGTAGAGCGTTCAACCTTGAGCTAAAGAGCTGAAGGACAGCACCCAGGCCCAGAGTTCAAGCCCCACAACCAACCAAAAACAAAAACAAAAAACACAGTACTACTCACAAACATGCCACATGAGCAGAACCCAGGCACTCACACACTTCCAAGGCAGTGACAGGACGAAGCAGCTTCGGCACAGAGCTAGGCAGTATAAATAATGCGGTCTTACAGCTTTCTTTTCTTTTTGCAGGTCCTGGGACTTGAACTCAGGGCCTGGGATCTGTCTATGAGCCTCTCTGTGCTTAAGGCTAATGTTCTACCACTTGAGCCACAGAGCCACTTCGGGCTTTTTCTGAGTAGTTTACTGGAGATGAGAATCTCATGGACTTTGCTGCTCAGGCTGGCTTCAAACCATCATCCTCAGATCTCAGCCTCCTGAGTGGCTAGGATTACAGGCATAAGCCCCTGGTGCCCAGCTTTGGCCTTTCATCTTGAGCCCTGCCAGAGACCAATGACTATTGGTTCTCATCAGACCTTATGGACCCTCACACAGAGCACACAACCTCACAGCAGACTTAGTGGCCCTGTGCTGTGTCCACAATCTTGTCCTCTCCTAGGGCTCTCAATATGAGGATGCCTGGGCATGAGGTTCACAGAGGTGACCACAGGACCCCACCCAGGGGCACAAGAACCTTCTAAGCCATAAAGGTGGTGGCTACTGTGGTATTACTTTGCACAAGGAAACTGACTAACTCCCTTAGCCAAAACTGAACTCGCATATCATAGAGCTGCTCACTGACTGCCAGGACTACACACACTGGACTATTTCCTGCCCTGGGCCCCATGAACTGTTTCAAAGATGTTCCTGAGGTTCTTCTAGCCAATCTCCCTGCCATCCCTCCCACTCCTCCCACCCACCCCTCCAGCAGCCAAGCTCAGGGGTAGGCCAGGCAGAACTAGTGGGGAAGGGCAGCCATGGGGCACCAAGCAGCAGGAAATATCCAATTCTTCTGGCCCAGTGCCGACCTTCTACAAAAAACCCAGCCTTGGGCTGGCCCACTACGATGCCACAGAGGCCAGCATGCAGCAGGGAGTCAGGAACTGGCTCTTGCTTCCTTATGCCCTGACTTCAGAATGGACAACAGCTATCATCATCCGCCCCAGGCAAGGCCCTCTCTACTGGGGGAGGTCACACCCAGAGGTACAGGCACCCCACTCTCAGAGAGGGGGTGACTTGCCTCTGGAGCAGGGTTTCCCAGAGTTTGCTCTCTCAAGGCCAAATCTCTTCGGAGAATCTCTCCTCTCTACCCAGAACTTCCCAAGGCCCTCAACTCTGGAATGAAGAGTTCAGAAGTGGCTACCTAATCAAACCAAGTTGCTAATGCTGCTCACAAGCCAGATATTACAGGTGGCAGCCAAAGCTTGTCATCTAGAAGCCAGTGCCTTCCCTAGCACAAATGAGGCCTGCAGAGATATACACACTCACACATTCATGCACTTGCACACGCAGGGTGAAGAGAGGATTCTGGGTGTAGTCTATGCAGGATCAGCTCGGCTGCCCCTGGGAGTGAGGAGGAGAAGTGATGGGAACGGCAAAAGGCCGCCCCTGGGCAGGACTTCTCCAGGAATGACGGCCATCAGAAGGGCGGCCGTGAAGCCCCACCGCTCCTGCTGTGTGAAGAGGTGTCACCAACTGGCAGCACGTAGGCAGCATGTAGGAGTGGCTGAGGGACTGCCGGCTCTTGGGCAGAGTTCTCAGCAGTGGACACAGCTGTGAGAGCGGAGGCAGATATATACTCTTGAGCTCAGCTCTATTCAAGTCCCGGCACAAAGGGTGTTTTAGGACAAACGGGGAGTATGCTGTATAGTAGTAAGAGATAAAGTGAACCTCTGATCTTTAAGAAGTGAAAGCATTGTTGATAGATCTACAAATCTTGTCTAGCAGCCTTACTAAATGAAAATGTGCATAACTTATAATTAAGGATTTCCACTCCAGAAATGAATAAATGATCCAGAAACAAGTTCAAGAATAGGCATAAAAATTATCTTTTTAAGTTGCCAGAACAATGAGTCTTTACCCTCAGTTCCTGAATGGGGAGCAAGTAATCTTTCTCTTTTTAAATTTCTCTCTACTTTATCATTGATTTTAAATTTAAAAAAAGATAAATTGCCAAAATGAAAAGCAATATGAAATTCCCAACCACAACAGAGTGGATAAATTGTGGCATAATTCATACAAAGGAATACTGTGTGTTAATGTAAACAAATGAAAAGACATAACACTGTAGATGACTTTCACAAAAATATTAGGTGACAGGCCAGGTATAAAAATTACCTATTGAAGCCGAGCACCGTCGGCTCACGCATGTAATCCCAGATACTGAGATCTGAGGATCATGGTTCAAAGCCAGCCCCGGCAGGAAAGTCCATGAGATTCTTATCTCCAAAAAAAAACCACTAGAAAACAGGAAGTGGCACTGTGGCTCAAGCGGTAGAGCACTGGCCTTGAGCTGAAGAGCTGAGGGGCAGCACCCAGACCCAGAGTTCAAGCCCCACAACCGACCAAAAAAAAAAAAATTACCTATTGTAGGCTTCCACTTATGGAAGAAGAAGAGGAAGAAGGAAGAAGGAAGAAGGAAGAAGGAAGAAGGAGGAGAAGGAGAAGGAGAAGGAGGAGGAGGAGAAGAAGAAGAAGAAGAAGAAGAAGAAGAAGAAGAAGAAGAAGAAGAAACACAGGTTGCCAGTGGCTCACGCCTGTAATCCTAGCTACTCAGATGGCTAAAATCTGAGGATCATGGTTCAAAGCCAGTCTGGCCAGGAAATCCATGAGACTCTTATCTCTAATCACCGAAGAAAAGCGGGAAGCAAAGTTGTGGTCAAGTGGTAGATCACTGTTTTTGAGCTGAAAAAAACAAAACAAAACTGAGGGAGAATGCCCAGACCCTGAGTTCAAGTTCAGGACTGGGGAAAAGAAGAGGAGGAGGAAGTTGGGAGAGGGGGGGAAAGGGAGAATAACTGGGAAAGGTAAGATATTCTAGGAAGTGGCGCTGTAGCTCAAGCGGAAGAGCGCTCGCCTTGAGCTGAAGAGCACAGGGACAGTGCCCAGGCCCAGAGTTCAAGCCCCATGAGTGACCAAAAAATTAAAAAAAAAGTACTCTAGCTATGGAAATATTTTTTTATTTAAAAAAAAAAAAAGTGAAAATAGTGATTTCTAATTAGCTTTGGAAAACTAGCCAAAGCTAGAATTCTTCAAATGGACTTCGATGCATGATAATTAGTTATAATAATAGTAACTCACAAAGACAGATCAAATCAGAAAAATGGACTATCAAAGATAATAAAGTTTCAGAATCACATTTAAATATGGGGGCCACAGTGGAAGATGGTAAGAAGAGCTTGGGTGAGGAAGACTGGAGGTAATGGCAGGCTCCATGACTTTTCTGTCCCTTTTGTGCATGTTTCTCAGCTTCTAGGAGAAAGGTTTTAAGAATAAAGTATGCGGGCTGGGAAGGTGGCTCAGTGGTAGAGTGTTTGCCTTGAGTGCACGAGGCCTTGGATTCAACTCCTCAGCACTACATAAGCAGAAAAGGCCGGAAGTGGCACTGTGGCTCAAGTGGTAGAGCGCTAGCCTTGAGCTGAAGAGCTGAGGCACAGTGCCCAGGCCCAGAGTTCAGGCCCCCCGATGGACAAACAAACAAACAAACACAAAGAATAAAGTATGCTTCAGGCCCTGTGACTAGGGTCAACCTTGAAACACAAGGGCCTTCAGGACAGTGATGGCAGGTGCTCACAGACACCGGGGTCTGCACCACTCAGGACTAGGACTAGGCACTGGGCCCTCTCCTGCTGAATATTAAGTTGCTGGGATCAGGGCCTACCGTCTAAAACCACATCTCTTGGAAGGTCAGAGCAGCCGTACTCCTGGTTTTGCTTGGAAAGGAACATTCCAGAATGCCTTAGAAGCAATTATAAAGGCACTGTGCTAAAAGCCACCAATGATGAGTCACCAGGGAGTCCCCGCACCAAGAGCCAAGGGACAAGAGCATGACCCAACGAACGAGGACAAAACACTTCTCCCTTACCCAGACCCCCACCCCACCAGGCCCTTTCTCACTGGAGGGAATAGAAAGGGAGGAATCTTCCCAAGGTTTGTGGGTACTGCTGCAAGGCAGCAAAGTAAATCACCAATGGATCCACAATATTGGCTCACGTATTTCAGTCACTAGTCATATCCATTGGGGCCCTGTGGCACACAGGCATGAAGCTCCTGTACACATAGCGTGGCAAGCAAAGCGCTGCCCAAGCCACCTCCACAGGTACCAGCTTACATTGCCATAGCAGTCCTCGTCGTCCTCTGACATGGCTGGCAAGTAAGCCGTGAGCTTCGGAGGTGTCTGCTGGTGCAGATTCGCCCACAGGATGGACTCAAAGAATGGATGCGCTTTGAGAGGTTCGTACCCTTCCATCTCTTCACAGCCTAACCGCTTTGTGGCATCTAAAACCTTAAATGACAGTCAACACAAACCACTGTCAGGGTTAAAATGAAATTTGGACCAAAAAGATCTTTCTGAACAACTATTTCCAATACTCAGAACCTACTAGGCAGAGCAAGGGTGCTATAGCCTACTCCCTGCCCATCTGCTCCATCAAGGGTAGACTGCTTGAGGTTCCTGACTCACCCCAAGACCCACTCCTCTCCTCCCACAGATAAAAACCAAATCTCAAACTCAAAATACAGACAGCAACCAGATGCCAGTGCCTCACATCTATAATCCTGAGTTGCCAGGATGTGGGAGTCTGAGGACTGTAGTTCAAAGCCAGCCTGTCCTTCAATTAACCAGAAAAAAAAATTGGAAGTGGAGGTGTAGCTCAGATGGCAGAGTACCAACCATGAATGAAAAAGCCAAGCAAGAGCTTGAAGCCAAGTTCAAGTCCCAATACAGGAAGGAAGGAAGGAAGGAAGGAAGGAAGGAAGGAAGGAAGGAAGGAAGGAAGGGAGGAAGGGAGGGAGGGAGGGAGGAAGGGAGGGAAAGGAGAAGAGAAGAGAAGAGAAGAGAAGAGAAGAGAAGAGAAGAGAAGAGAAGAGAAGAGAAGAGAAGAGAAGAGAAGAGAAGAGAGAAGGAAGATTCCTTTTTAAAAAGCATGAAGTCAAAAATACTAAACCAGCTGGGCACTGGTGGCTCCTATCTGTTATCCTAGCTATTCCTAGCTATTCTGAAGACTAAGATCTAAGCACTGCAGTTCACAGCCAGCCAGGGCAGTAAACTCCATGAAATTCTTATTCCCAATAAACTATCAAAAAGTGGAAAATGGAGCTGTGGCTCAGGTAGGAGAGCACTAGCCTTGAGAGGGGGCAAAGGGGGGCAGAGCAGCTTAGGGACAGTAACCAGGCCCTGAGTTCAAGCCCTAGGATGCACACTAAATAAATAAATCCTAAAACAAGGGTGAAATGAACTGATGACGCTAGCCACAAAGAAGGGAGAAACATTCAGTCTGGGAAGACGCTCTCACAGATGCAGTGGAACACCGTCTCACCCAGGGATGAGCTTGAGCCTCCCAGGTTCCCAAGTGGATCATCAAGCCTACTCTCACTGAGGGGTGAAGTGGGGGAAAGAGGCCAGGAGGATGGCTAGGAGTAGCTGATCCTGGTCTTGCCTCTGGAGGTAAAACAGACCTATTCCTAAAGAATTAGAAAGGAGGCCTGTTTCTCTCTGCCTCACTACCTGGGTTGATCTTTATAAAGCTTGCATGCAGCTTACTCTAAAGGTGGTATCAGCAGATGTCAGAGTAGAATTTACAGCCATCTGCCACTGCAATAAATCCCAGTTGCTCTAGCAGCAGTAACTTAAAATGCCATGTGATGATGAGCACATGTAGAATGATACAGTAACTTCCTGTCTTATTAAAGTCAAGAGTCAGGCATTTGGAAAGTGAAAGGGATGATAATGAGAGGAGATGATATGATATAAAGATATGTGTCTGTCTATAATCACTGTCCTCCCTAAATACGTCTTTCCTTCAGCAGGAGGGCCTCTTGGCTGCTTCTCTGAACATGGGGTCAGAGGATTTGCTGAGTGGCTGTGGGACCCCTCATATAGAAAATTCAAAATGCTTACCAAGAGTTTTTCCACAAGGTCTCTTGCCTTAGGGAAGAATTTTTCTGGGAAGTCATATTCCAATTTAATGATCTTCTGAAATATAAGATATTCATTTCTGTGAATTTAAAAAAAAAAGAGGAAGTCACTTGAGCAGGACTTTGAACCTCTAGTGCCAGCCAGTGCCCTCTCTTGGCACATCTCAGTCTGCTCTTTCTCAAGCACTCACAAGCCAACAAGCCCTGCACAGCTGCACCTCCTCAGCTGGGTGTGAGCCCTGGTGTTACCCTCCTACTTGCTGTCGGTTGACAAGTGCAGGCTCCTTCTTACCCGGCTCGGAAAGGTGGAAGTCCTGCCACAAGTTGGTATATTATGCATCCAAGAGCCCAAAGGTCTGAACTTTAAGATAAGAAAAAGACAAAGAAAAATGGTATTGGCAAAAGTAATAAGCAAGGTTCATTTCCCACTCAATCTACACACCCCAGTTTCAGCCTCCAGCGCCCTCCCGTCCCTTAAAACCAGGTATGTGTATGATTTAATCTTACTACATGGTATGAGTACAGTTCAGAAAATGGCATGACTTGTTTCAACTGAGCATTTAAAAAATTCTTATCCAAGCTGGGCACTAAGATCTAAGGATCATGATTCAAAGCCAGCCCAGGCAGGAAAGTCTTATTTCCAATTAACCACCAGAAAACTAGAAGCGGAAATGTGGCTCAAAGTGGTAGAGCACTAGCCTTGAGCAAAGAGCACAGGGACAGCGCCCAGGCCCCCCAGTCCAAGTACTAACTGACCAAAAAAAAAAAAAAAAAAAGTCTTATACACGCCTGTCATCCTAGCTACTCAGGAGGCTGAGATCTGATGATCTCAGTTCAAAGCCAGCCTGGGCAGGAAAGCCCATGGGACTCTTATCTCCAATTAACCCAGAAAACTGCAAGAGGCACTGTGGCTGGAAGTGTTGTAAAGCACTAGCCTTGAGCAAAAGAGCTCAAGGACAGTGCCCAGGCCCTGAATTCAAGTCCCACAACAACTGAGACACACACATACACACACACACACACACACACACACACACACACACACACACACACAATTCTTGGAAGTGGCGCTGTGGCTCAAATGGTAGAACGCCAGCCTTGAGCTGAAGAGCTGAGGGACAGTGCCCTGGCCCAGAGTTCAGGCCCCATGACCGACCAAAAAAACCAAAAAATTCTTGTACAGATGGGTGCCAATGGCTTATACTGTAATCCTAGTTACTCAAGAGGCTGAGATCCAGAGGATCATGATTAAAAGCCAGTCCAGATAGAGACTTTTCCAAAATGGACTGGCAGTGTGGCCCAAAGGTAGCACTGATGCTTGGGCAGCTGGTAATGGAAGGTAGAACACAAGAGTGGTGAAGATTGTGGGGTCATCTCAGTGTATGGAGGGGGACAGGAGAGCTGCACGTGCCAGGAAACATCATGATGGCAGGAAAGGTGACAGCTTCAGTTCTCTCCTATGTGGGGTTCGGGACATGTTGTGTTCATAACTGTACTGCTTTCTTTCTCCTTCCTTTCCTTCCTTCACTTACTTATTTTCTTACTTATTTTTGTGCTGGAGCCGGGGCTTGAACTTAGGTTAGGGCCACAAGTTCTTGCTTTAGCTTTTTTGCTCATGGCTGGTATTCTACCAGCATGAACTGATCAAGAGTGTATTGAAGTGTCCTGGACAGTTCTCCCAGCTCCACTCCTCAGGAAGATGCTTCTCTGTTAGACTTTTCCTAAAGTTGGAATTGGAAGATGCCGCCCTTCCACCTGCCTGGTCTGAAGTAACTCGATGTGGCACACAGCACATCAGCAGTGAATTCTGCTCTTCCTTCATGAAGAACCCTAATAGCTGACATGGAGAGGAGGACAGATGGATAAGTGATTACCTCTTACAGGCCGACTTCTCTGTGAGCAGCTCTGGAGAAACATACTGCGCTGTTCCTACAAATGAGTTGGCCCTAGCTGAGAAGAAGAAAAAGAGAAAGGATCACACTCCAAAGCATACTCCTTGACTTCTACCAAAGTGGCTCCCTGGCCCATTCATCAGGACAGCACGGTAGCCGAGCTCATGATGAGCTTGGCACTGGTCACCAGTGTGAACTGAGAAGTCCTAGGAATCCAACTGTCCAGACCCGACCTGATGATACCTGCTGACCCCCAGAACATGTGTCCCCATCCCTGGAACCCCTCTCCTCTGACACCTGAGTGCAGAAGGCACTTGTCCTGTCCACTCATCACCCCGCCACCACAGAGGGGCAGCACGAAGAAAGAGATCTTGTGTGTTGTGCTGGACAACAGGCAGCTGCTAACAGATAGCTGCTGCCAGGAAGCACCTCTTCTCAGTCACCAACAGCTCAGGAAGAAAGATTCGGGCCTCCATCCCAGGAACCCTCCCCATTCTGGTGCCTCCAGTCCTAGCCTGTGTGACACTTACCTGTAGGCCACAGGGTTGGCACCTAGACACTCTGGAGCCACCCCTCACTGGAGACCCCTTGGTAACCCCAAGACCAAGAGGACCTGCTGCCATGCGGGCAGACAGCCCCGTTTCTGAGCCCCTCCAGCCATAGCTCCACTACATGGACCAGCCTGTTGGTCCCGCAGCCCTGTAAATGGTCCCTTCAGTACATGGTTTTCTATGACAATTTCATGGCTTCCTGTGTGTCCTGCCAGGATCCTGAAAGTTACTGGAAGGAAAACGAAGAAGGCTCAAGAGGAAACTAAACCAAACCAAGAGCCAAAACCAAAAGGAGGGCATTCAACTAAGTAACAAACCAAAGAAGCACAAATGAAAACATGAAAGCCTATCAAATTGGCCATGCTAAAATGACAGCAAGGCCAAGATGGCTGGCTCTAAGGCCTGGCTTCTGAACCCACAGGCCAGCAGGTGGTCTGAGGTTCCAGTCAATGGGCATCCTCAGGTAGCCCTGTGGAGCCACTGCAGCGAAGGAAGCTTCTTGTCCACACTCTAGCCACTTTCTGACATCTGCTGGCCTCTTCCCTTCTTTTTGCTGACCCTCCACGCTTGGAAGAATACCAGAAAGGCCTTCGTAGAACAGAATATAGGTTTCCAGAAACAAACCCCATGTCTAAACCTCCAGGATATCGTGAGCTCCTCAAGGCTTCTGGAAAGAGGGCAAAAGCCAGGGGCAGATGAGGGTCTTACTCCAAGTAATTTAGCTGCTCTCACCAGGACACAGCTACTTGGTGAGGACAACTAAGAAGTCCTCATGGGCCTTCCTGGCCCTCAACAACTGCCCGGCTCATCACACGCCACCTGCCCTTGTGGCTAGAGCCCCCAACCCACCTATGGGCTCCCTCTAAATGCAAGTCTGTGGTGAACAAGCAGACTTAGGGAGACAGAACATGCCCGCTGAACAGATGAGGAGCCTAGGACCTGGCTCCCACCAGCACTTTATTTAGAAGCTTTCAAGATGTTTTAGGGAAACTACCTCCCCGCAAATGAAAAAGAATCCAATCAGAAAGAGAGTCTAAGATTATGAACAACTTCAAACAGAAGGTGAGAATAAGTTACTAAAACAAACCATGCGTTATTCTCTTTTTCTCTAAGGAGCAAGAAAACCACCTCTGCCACCTCCTCCATATGCAAAAGCGATTGTCCCTTGCTGATAACAACCTAAGGGTTTTTTGGCTTCCTGCTTCCAAAAAGATTTATTTCACCAAAGAATTTAAATTTTTATGTATTTTTAAGAAGCCTTGTGGCATGCTGGGAAGGTGGCTCAGTGGTAGAGTGCCTGCATTGCATGTGTGAGGCCCTGGGTTCGATTCTTCAGCACCACAAATGCAGAAAAAGCCAGAAGTGGCACTATGGCTCAAGCGGTAGAGCACTAACTAGCCTTGAGCTGAAGAGCTGAGGGACAGCGCCCACGCCCAGAGTTCAGGTCCCACGACTGACCAAAAAAAAAAAAATTTTAAAGAGTAGCCCTGTGCTAAATTATCAAACTGTGAAGAAAATTTGCATGAAGAAAGAAATGCCTTAAAGCATAGCGCAGCTGGGAGGTTCCCACGATTGAACAGAGTGGGTTTGTCTCAGCTGAGACGAGTTTGCACAAGTATGACAAGGGATTGACAGATCCCCACAAGAAAACCTGACTTAACTGTCATGGACACTTAATTCTATGAGGTTACACCAAGTCCATAAAAATAAGATTACCTGCCAGTAAGATGGGCACTATTTGCTAGGAACCAGTCAAACAGACCCAGTTCTGAGGGCATCTCAAAAGTATCAGAAGGAGAAAAGGGGCACCAGGCTATCCCATCTGAGCAAACAAGAGCATCTTCCTCAATTCCAAGCCTTGTATCACTCCCCAAGGACGGCACTTTAGAACGTGTAGAACTCCCCAACCCAGGAGGAAGCCTCAGGACCTATCCCCTCAGGACCTACACAGAGGTCAAGCACGGAGTCTGAACATAAATTCGCCAAATGAACTCTACCAGGAGTAAATGTAAGGTTTGCTGTGGGGGAAGCCTGTCAGCTCCTTCCAGCAGCACTGTGTGAACACAATACGCATCTCCTCCATCTGGCTGTCATCATCTCAAACTCCCAAGAACCAGTTTGCTGTTGGTGGAGAGGCTGAAGCACCACCACCTTTCACTACTGCATCCCTTCTCAGAAAGCAATCAGGGCACCATGATGCTTCTGTCAGAACCTTCTCCTATACCATATGTACACGTACACATACACGTACAAACGTGTACCCACACTCCAAGCCTGTGGCCAGCATGCATCCCCCAGCATTGCCCTTCAGGGTCTTTCTCTCACAGGGACCCTAAGTGCAGGAAGAGACAGGTCACCCTCCTGACCACAGGTCACATGCTTTAGGGCCAAGACTCCTTCATGAGATTAATTAACCTACAAGTCAACACCCTTCCTCTCAGACCACATCCTCTCTACCAAGGTTGCAGCAGTCCACAGTTCAATTGCATTTCTTTACACCTCTAGAGCATGTGGTTTCTATCCAGTCCGCATAAGAAAGTCAGTCAGCCATTCCCTGGCAGCTAGAGGCTTGTGTAGAACCTCCTCTGGTCCTGGTGGCCAAACGCTAACTCAAAGGGACAGGACTTGAAAGGTCAGCCAGTACACCAGCCGCAAAATCAGCCACCATTCCTGTAATTTTGTAGATTCTACAATCAGAATGCCTGAGCTACCATAGACATCTGCACACAGCAGACGGGGCACACAGAGGGATGGGCAGGCAGAAGGCATCCGAGTCCAGGAGCACGCTCCCTGAGACACTTGCTGCAGCATCCACAGGAGTCAACCTCATGCCTGGTCCACTGGCACTGTGCAGAATCATGTACCACCAGAGCCTCCCTCCACGACTAGACACACAAGCGCTGCCTAAGACCTTATGGCAGGCCTCAGGCACAGGCACCATTAACGATCAAGAGGACATAATGTAACACATTTCTTGGAGTTGCTCTCAGCTTTCAGCTCAGTCAGGTTCTACTGGAAATCAAGCTCACACATACCTTGTTTGCTCTCTGGAGATAATACTTTCGCTGTTCCAAAATCTGTGATCTGGATGTGCATATCTTCATTTAATAAAATGTTTTCTGGTTTAAGGTCCCTGTAAAAGTAGATTTCTACATTTGAAATAGTTAAAAGAGCAGCATTTTCATTGTGCATTGTAATAAAACATAACTGATGAGTAATTATCATATTTACAGATTAAGAACCAAGAATCTAACCCCTGAAGTTCACACCAAACAGAAAATGCATATAATAAGGACAATCAAATTATATCAATTATAACTACATATGTCACTTTTAATAAACTTTTTAAGGAAAAATAACCTATCATTTTTCAATGCATAAAGAGCTTATGAGTACTTTCAATTTGAGTTTATCAGAATAAACTCTTGGGAAATGAGATCAGAAATAAGAAGACACAAAAGCTACAAGTAACAAAATGAAAGTATCAGGTGATACAAGTGGCTGCCTTGCAGGAAGACACACAGCCATGGTGACCGGTGATGGATGGTGTAAGACTGTAAGGGCGGGGACTGCAGATTCTTCCACCACCAGCCTTTTCTCAACTCTCAGTGAGCTGCCACAAAGTAAGTCAGAGCTAACCCCAGAGGGCTGGTCTGGGTGTCAGTCGTAGCTTATAGGCCACATGGCCACTAACCCTAATCACTAAAGTGAGGGTCCTGTGAGCACTGCCCCTGGGGGGGAGGGGGGAGCTCTCTTACCTGTGAATGATGCCCTTGCCGTGCAAGTACTCTAGAGCCGACACAATCTCAGCTGTGTAAAATCGGGTACAGGTCTCATCAAATGAACCAATTTTGCGGATGTATTTAAGCAATTCTCCATTTTTGGCATAACTAAGGCCAAAATCTGAACATCATACAGTTAAGGAAGAATGGGGAAGATTTTTTTTTTTAATAGACTTAACAATCCAGTAAGAGATGTTTATTAAATGCAAGCTGAAGGTACCTGTGCACTCCCAAGACAGCTGTTCTTTTTTGAGTCAGATCCAAGCCCGGCTCCAGGACCAGGCTTCGGTGTAGGGTTCCTTCTAAGATATAATGACACAGTCCCTGGAAAAGTACAGATGCCACCTCAGTGCAGACTGCACTTCTGGTCACATAATCCCCAGAGGCATCCGTGGCCTATGAGCGGGAACCACTAGGTGGCTGGCAGGCCTGCCTGTAACCCCTGGCCAAGGCACAAACAACAAACACATGGTGGCTTCAAATACAGAGGTACAGCTCAGGGAGATGGGATCCAACTGAACCTACAGGGCAGTGCACGGTTCTGAGCCTTGCCTCAACCTCTGTGCACGGTGTGTGGTACCAACAATCCATACATGCAGCCATTCCTCCTATGCATAAAAGTGACATGCTCTCAAAGAGAACCATTTTCTAAAATTCTTGATTCATTTGATCTATTTGTGAGATGTGTGCTGGAGAGAGACTCAAAGGAAACAAAGCTAAAGACAGGACCAAAACTAAGCTGAGGTCAATGGCAATGTTCTTGTTTTCATGCTATGACCCTATATCATGAGAAAAAAATAGGTACAGACCAGCCTGGCAAGAGCTGGAGATAGCAGCATTCAAGCCCCCTTCAGTCTTAATCTGTACCTGAGAAAGGTTCTTTTTTTTTTCTTTGGTCGGTCATGGAGTTTGAACTCTGGGCCGGGGCGCTGTCCCTCAGCTCTTCAGCTCAAGGCAAGTGCTCTACCACTTGAGCCACAGCGCCACTTCCAGTTTTCTGAGTGGTTTATTGGAGATAAGAGTCTCACAGACTTTTCTACCCAGGCTGGCTTTGAACCGTGATCCTCAGATCTCAGCCTCCTGAGTAGCTAGGACGACAGGCATGAGCCACCAGTGCCCGGCATGAGAAAGATTCTTTATTGTTGAGGCTGTGGTCCAGCCAGAGCTGCATGTGGGGGGGAGACCTTGTCTCCGACAGGCTTCTTCTGAACTCATTCTCCTCCTCCCCCTCATTGTATCTGGTGAAGAGCCTCAATGGTTCCTCTGTAGCTCCATCTGCCTACTGTCGGTCTGTGGGAAGGATGTCCTCAGACGCCTTCTCTCTGCAGGTATGTGGGTATATCTTGCAGTCACTTCTCAACACAATGAACATCAAGGATTTGCAGTGGGGGCAGAATTCATTGTTTGATCTCATGTTTATGGAAGGTAAGTATACTAGGACTCTGGAATTTGCCTAAATGATCAAGAACATATATACCACCAAAGACCTTGAGTCATGTCCACCTGTTCTAGCCAGCGCCATCTGGAAATCAGACTACAAGAGCACCCTCATCTGGGCTACAATGGTGGGAGAATACCAAGTCAAGTGTGATGCCAGAGCTGCCAGAGTTTGGGTATCTCCCAAGAGTACATGTGATTAGAAGTTTGGTCCACAGGGTGGCAGTACTGAAAGGTGGTAGAACCTGTAAGAGGCAGGACCTGTGGATAGTCTTTGAGTCATTAAATAGGAGACAGACTCTCACTCCTTGTTAACTGGTAATTCTCCCCACTCTACCACTCTTTCAGCTTCCCGGCCTAAGATGTGATCACTCCTTCAGACATATGCACTATCCACCATCCACCACAGGGCCACGGCCTGCACAGTATTGTTTGGCCATTCAGCCTCCAAACTGTGAGCTACACAAGCTCCTTCCCTGATAAAGAGGGCTGTCTCAGGTAATTCTGGAAGTGACACAGCTGGCTGACTAATAACAGTGCTTCGTAACCAATAGTGTTGCTCCAGGAAAGCCCAGGCCTGGACTGCTGGGCGTCTAACAGCCAGAACCCACCAGCTCAGAGAGAGAAGGGGTCCAGGGGACCCAAGGGATCAAAGGGAGGGATCAAGGCAGCCACACGAGAGACAGAGTCTAAAAAGTTGAAAAGGCTGCTGTATGAGCAGTGGCCGCAGAGATGGAGGGAGAAGAAGAGAGATGTTGGAGGGCAGAGGGAACCACCAAGACAGCAACATCCTACCAACCCCTGAGGGTCCGGGAGGAGGAGGGTCCACCCTTCCCCTTCCAGGGAAGGGGACACTCAGGAGGAAAAACTATGACGTGGCAGGTGATGGGACTTCAGGTAGCACTGATCACACAAAGGATACACAACTTTTCATCGTCCTGAAATGTGAAGTAAAGCTTAACAAAGAAGGGGTGATCCAGGCGTGACATCACATCTCGCTCTCTGGTTACATATGGGACCTTGTTCTCTTTTATAATATGACGTTTCTCTAGAATTTTAACTTAAGGTAGAGAGAAGTAGTTATTACAGTTGGAAAAGGTAAAAAAAAAAAAATACTGAAGATACAATTTAATTGTAGTTTTTCTAAAATCACTCACTTATACCAGCTTCATGGTCTCTAAGACTAGTCAGGCCTTGGACTCCAAATGAAGAATACACGCCCTCTCCCCACCCCTCCCCGCACTGCCACCCAGCCTGCCTCGAATCCCACGTACACAGCTCACGGTAGTACTCACTGGCATATTCCCTGGAGGTAGCCAGTTCTCGAGCCAGGACAACCTGGTTTGGGAAGAAAAATAAAAAGAAACACACTGTAAAACACACTGTAAAGGTAAAGGAAAACATACCAGGAAACAGAGTCTGACAAATACTTCCCCATTCCTATACAATGCTTGAAATATTTAAATACTTTGAGCTCTGTACCAACAAACCGCAGACCATGTTAATGTGCTTTCAGAAGGGTCAACTTTTGGTAGTCTTCATAGTGTAGTGAAAGTATAAATTCAAGAACCTTCTAGACTAACATTTCTAAATACTATCAACAACTGGGTACCGGAGACTTCGTCAGGTGCTGGTGGCTCATCCTCAAAAAATTCTAGCTACTAGGGAGGCAGAGGTGAAGAGGCCAACCTAAGCAAAGATCAAGGCCCTGTCTCAAAAACATCACCAGATGCCGGGCGCCGGTGGCTCACACCTGTAATCCTAGCTACTCAGGAGGCTGAGATCTGAGAATCGCAGTTCAAAGCCAGCCCGGGCAGGAAAGACCGTGAGACTCCTATCTCCAATAAACCACTAGAAAACTGGAAGTGGCGCTGTAGCTAAAGTAGTAGAGCACTTGCCTTGAGCTGAAGAGCTGAGGGACAGTGCCCAGGCCCAGAGTTCAAGCCCCACGACCGACAAAAAAAAAAAAAAACAAAAAAACATAACCAGAGGCTCAGTGTCGGTGACTATGCATGTAATCCTAGCTACTCTGAGGATTTTGGTTCAAAGCCAGCCCAGGCAGGAAAGCCTGTAAGATTATCTCCAATTAACTATTGAAAAGCCAGATATGGCATTGTGGCTCAAAGTGGTAGAATGCTCACCTTGAACACAAAAGTTCAGGGAGTTCAAGCCCCAGAACCAGTACAAAAACAAAACAAAAAAGAATAGGCTGGAGGCTTATCACTACCAAAAATAAAAAACAACAAAACAAACAAACCTTGAAAGATATGTCCTTTCAGGATATATTCACTGCAAGCTCACATTTCATTTGATAACTCAGTGTGATCATGGGCATAAAAGGCAAAGGGGAGGAAACAGCACAGGATACCCCCATGCAAGGACAGGGCATCCAACGCAGCTGCCCTGACATGGAAAAGACCAATCCGCACTAGCAAACTCTAGGCACACCTGAGGCAAAATGGAAGCAACTGATGGGTACAACATTTGGCTACAGCGTGCCAGCGACAGCTCTGCTATGGGAGCATTGGCCTTTCCATGGTCAGAATGAGCACGTGTGTCTTATAAAATGCCTGTAGAAGGACAGTCTGGGCCTGGTACAAAGACCTTGAGGCAGACACAGGGTTGTGGGAACACTGTGACTCAGAGTCCCAGTCTGTGACAAGCTCCTCAGACATGGTCCTAGAAGAGCACTGAGATGCCTGCTGTTATCGAGAACATCAGGCTAAATGTACTTACGTGGAAAAACCTGAAACGGTCTTTCTTGAAGAATATGTCACAAGCACAAGTGCTAGCTTCGTACTCGGGAAAAGGGAAGAAGAAGCTGTCATAGAACACTATCACTCAGTAGAATCCTTTCTAAGGAGATACTTATGTAATCTTTCTATTGTCTAGAATTTCATAAGCAGGTTTCCCACAGGAACAGAAGGATCTTCTAGAAAAATCACGTGTGATTTGCGATTTCCTCCATGGCAGCAGAAGTGTCCCCAGGGGCCTGCCCACTGTCTAGCACTAGGCTCTGCCATGTCAAGATTCTGCTCTGCTGGTAACTACACTGCTTCACATGCATACTCACCCTTCCCTGGAAGTCTAATTCTAAGCGCTGTTTCAGAAATGGTGAGGCAGATTGGCAGGAAACCCTAATCTGAGGTGGAGGCTGCAGGTTCCAAGTAGGCCTGCAGTTGTCCCCAAGCAGCTCAGCACTGGCCAAGACAGCTGCAGCACCCAGAAAGGATGGTGCATCTCTTGCACACCCAGAACAACCCAGGGTCAACGGTGATACCACAAGTAAGTCCTCACTCTTAGTCAAGATAAAAGAGAGGGCTGGGAAGGTGGCTCAGTGGTAGAGCGCTTGCCTTGCATGCATGAGACTCTGGGTTCGATTCCTCAGCACCACATAAGCAAAAAGAAAAAAGCCAGAAGTGGCACTGTGGCTCAAGTGGTAGAGCGCTAGCCTTGAGCTGAAGAGCTGAGGGACAGCGCCCAGGCCCAGAGTTCAGGCCCTACGACCGGCCCCCCCGCCCAAAAAGAAAAAAAAAGATAAAGGAGGAAAGCTGCGGGCGAGAGGAAACTTCACTGACCTGTCATAGTGGTGAAAGGGGTCTCTTCCTGCAAGGAGCAGTAAGAGCCAGAACCCTTGGAGCTATTTTCATGGTTGGGAGTTGAGGGTTTTTTTTCCCACAAGGGCAACACAATCCTTCTAAAAACAGTTATTTCACAAAGATTGCTAATGAAAATAATCCAAATTAAAAGTGTAAGGGCAAAGAAACCAGTAAGGGAAGGGGTGATGTCCAAAAAAGAAATGTCCTCGTTATCTGGCTTATGAAATGGCAACGCCTCTGCACAATACCTTATAATAACAGTAAAATTACATTTTTATAAAAATACAGAGCCAGCTAGCTGGGCGCTGGTGGCTCACACCTGTCATCCTAGCTACTCATAAGGCTGAGATCTGAGGATCACAGTTCAAAGCCAGCCCTGGCAAGAAAGTCTCTGACATTCTTTTTTTTTTTTTTTTGGGGGGGGGGGGGTCCAGTCGTGGGGCCTGAACTCTGAGCCTGGGTGCTGTCCCTCAGCTCTTCAGCTCAAGGCTAGCGCTCTACCACTTGAGCCACACAGCCACTTTCGGCTTTTTTTCTTTTTGCTTATGTGGTGCTGGGGAATCGAACCCAGGGCTTCATGCATGCAAGGCAAGCACTCTACCACTGAGCCACCTTCCCAGCCCGTCTCTGACATTCTTATCTCCAATTAACCACCAGAAAACCAGAAGTGGCACTGTGGCTCAAGTGGCAGAGCACAATCCTTGAGCTGAAGAGCTGAAGGACAGCATCCAGACCCAGAGTTCAAGCCCCACCACCTACAAAAACTATGTGTGTGTGTGTGTGTGTGTGAGAGAGAGAGAGAACGCATACCAGCCAAGCAAAGGTGGTTCACACCCATAATCCTAACTACTCAGGAGGCTGAGATCTGAGGATTGCAGTTCAAAGCCAGCCCCGGCAAGAAAGCCCATGAGACTCTTATCTCTGATAAACCACCAGAAAACCAGAAGTGGCATTATTATGGAGCAAAAGAGCTCAGGGACAGTGCCTAGGCCCTGAGTTCAAGCTCCACAACTAATAATAATAGTAACAACAACAACAATAATAATCACTGATGATGGTGGTGGTGGTGATAAGAGAGAGAGCCAGGCGCCAGTGGCTCGCACCTGTAGCCCCAGCTACTCAGGACTGAGATCTGAGGATCCTGTTTTGAAGCCAGCCCTGGCAAGAAAGTCCCTGAGGCTCCAATCGCCAATTAATCACAAAAAAGCTGGAGGTGGTGCTGTGGCTCAAGTGGTAGAGCACTAGCTTTGAACAAAAACAGCTCATGGACGATGCTCAGATCCAGAGTTCAAGCCCCAGGGCCAGCACACAATAAATAAATAAACACACACACATATATATGGAAGGAGAGAGATGGGGAGGGGGAAGAAGTGTACAGGCTACAGAAGTTTAGCATTAATTTAAACCAGATGTTCTTGTTCTTTGTATTTTAGAATCTTTATAAATGTAAAAAAAGAGACAGGAAAATAAAAAGAAAATAAATTTCATATATGGATTCTTTCATAAGGGCCATGCCAGAAAGACAGATTCAGGAACTCTCAAAAGTGAGGCGCCTCCAGTGCCCATGTGAGAATGGAGACCACAAAATGAGGCTGCCCAGTGCCGGAATCTCTTTTTGTGGGGGCTTTGAATTGACAGTATACACCCCGATACTTGCTTAGTACACACAGCACCCTGGGTTTGATCTCTAGCACTGAAAGACCAAAAAAAAAAAAGTTTTTTGGCGGTATTTTAGAATGAACCCAGGATCTACCTCGTTAAGTCCTCAGTTCTTTTTGCTTCATTTTGTTTGTGGGACAGAGTCTCACTGCCTTTGTGACTGGGCTGTTCTTTTTTTTCTTTGTCAGTCATGGAGCTTGAACTCTGGGCTTGGGCGCTATCCCTCAATTCTTCAGCTCAAGGTAAGCCCTCTACCGCTTGAGCCACAGCACTACTTCCGGTTTTCTAGTGGTTTATTGGAGATAAGAGTCTCATGGACTTTCCTGCCTGAGCTGGCTTTGAACTGTGATCCTCAGATCTCAGCCTTGTGAGTTGCTAGGATTATAGGTGAGCCACTGGCACCTGGAAAACTTTTTTTTTTTTTTGTCAGTCGTGGAGCCTGAACTCTGGGTCTGGGCAACATCCCTGAGCTCTTCAGCTCAAGGTTAGCGCTCTACCACTTGAGACACAGTGACACTTCCGGCTTTTTCTGCTTATGTGGTGCTGAGGAATCGAACCCAGGGCCTCATGCATGCAAGGCAAGCATTCTTACCACTGAGCCACCTTCCCAGCCCTGGAAAACTTTTTTTGAGGTTGCCAGTTTCAGAGGAAAAACCACTAGAAAATGTAAATCTCATGAATGTGATGATTGAGGGTACCAACCAAGGTAATATCTATGTTTATGAAACTGAAAACAAATGTCCAAGGCATACTACTTTACATATTAAAGCAAGCAAAACACAAACCAACCACCAACACACAAAAAAGATACAAAAAAGGTAGTTAAGGGGCTGGGAAGGTGGCTCAGTGGTAGAGCGCTTGCCTTATATGCATGAGGCCCTGGGTTCGATTCCTCAGCACCACATAAGCAAAAAGAAAAAAGCTAGAAGTGGTGCTGTGGCTCAAGTGGTAAAGCACTAGCCTTGAGCTGAAGAGCTGAGGGACAGCGCCCAGACCCAGAGTTCAGGCCCCATGACCACCCCCCCCCAAAAAAAAGAAATGTACTAAAAAAAAAAAAAAAAAAAGGTAGTTAAATGTAACCAAAAATCTCTGATGAGATAATAACATTAATACTAACTTTCAACCTAAGGAACTGAAAAGCTTGTAGGGAGGGCAGCCTGACAACAGGTGGGGAGATATAGAACAAGATAAACGGCTAGCACTGTAGTAGAATGAAATTTTAACTGTGTTTTAACACACACACACACACACACAAATTGAGCTAGAGGCATGGCTCAAGCAGCACAGTACCTGCCTAGCAAATGGAAATTGCTGAGTGTTCAAACCCCAACATTGCCAAAAACCACAAATTTTACTTAAAACAAAAATCAATTAATCAATCAATCAATCAAGGGATGCTTTTTTAAATTTTTTCTGAAACGCGGTCTCACAATGCTGCCAAGCCAGCCTTAAACACCTGGATTTAAGCAGTCACCCTGCCTCAGCTTCCCAAGTACTAGTACTGCATGTACATGTCACCCGTATAAAACAATGCTTTGTACAGCTTCCAAATGGAAGTCAGGTTTAGATGGTTTAGCCACACTCCTCGGGGGTCTACTAGGGGAAATCCACCCTCTCCCCAGACTCCAGTGGCCTGGCCGGTGGCGTGGAGTCAGGTATGCTAGCTCCAAGGCCCACTACGACCCGCCAAGGAGAGGGATACAAGCTTGTTTAACAAGCAGTACAACACATACTCACGGTTGAAAAAGAGCCCTCGCCAAGAATTTTCCCAAACTTGAAGTCTTCAGGCCGCTTCTTACGAGGCTGTGGAGGCGGCTGGGCAGCGTGCTGCAGGGGGTTGGTATTTGGCCGGGACTCAGCTGTGGTACCGTCCATGGTAGATCCCTGCCTGCTGACACTGCTGGAAATGCCAGAGGCTGCGCCAGACTCGGTCTGGGCCCTCACCATTGATGGGGACGGACAGGCACATAACACCACGCTGGACTGAATGGGAACAGCATCATACTGTGGGCACAGAGGAGAGAGGTAAGACTTACGCAGCTCACTTGCCCTAAACAGACAGACTGCCCACAGTGTAACTCCACACCTTGTCTCAACACTGCTGAGGGCAGGAAAGCCCATTTGCCTTGCGACTAGGGCCGAAGCCCTCCCCTCTCTCTTCCCCGCTCACATCCTGATGTGTGTGGCAGGCCAGCCTCACCTCTCCTTCAGCACTGCAGTCTTTAACCAACCCCTCAAGGCCAAGCTAAGGCAACCACAGATAGCGCTGTGCACTTTTAATGAGGAGAGAAGAGTAGATAAGAGCAATGATTGAATAGGTTTACAATATACAGAGACACTCAATAATGACTTTGATAAAGCAAGCATATTCATACAACTGTGGCTGGCACCCAAAACCGGTATTGCTGTTCAAAGGTTTTTGGAAAGCAATTTGCCAATTGTTAACAAAATGACTACTCATAGAAATAGGAAAGATACATATAATTAAAAAACAGAAATGGAAGCCCGTGGTTGTGCACACTGGTTATTCTAGTATACAGGAGGCTGAGACAGGAAGATTCTGAGTTCCAGGCCAGGCTAAGCTACAAAGGAGGCTACATATAAATAAACAAATAACAAAACAGAAGTGGGAAAGAGAAAGGATCAGATAATGCTTAAAGCCAAACTGACACTACACAAAATTGTACCCGAATCATCAAAGATGTTTTTTCCAGCTCTGCCCATGGTGTGTCCTCACAGAAGTGACACTGGCTCAACTATAAAAGGACTGGGAAGGTGGCTTAGTGGTATAGTGCTTGCCTAGCATGCATGAAGCCCTGGGTTCGATTCCTCAGTACCACTACAAAGAAAAAGCCAGAAATAGCGCTGTGGCTCCAGTGGTAGAGTGCTAGCCTTGAGCAAAAGAAGCTCAGGGACAGTGCCCAGGCCCTGAGTGCAAGCCCCAGGACTGGCAAAAAATAAAAAAATAAAAATAAAACATGCAATCAGGACATCCAGGTATTAGTCTCTAACAGACCTTCTCACTACAGAACCCAGGAGAGCACTGGATTTATCTCAGTGTGGTCCTGGAACCCACATTGTATCTGAAAAACAGGGGCCTTCCCACTGGTTCCCACAGGAGGGAAGGACAGGGCAGTATCCTGCCAAAACTTTTACTGGCCAAGATGAGACCCATTCAAATAAAAAACCATACTGAGAAAAGCCATAGGACTACAAGGATATTAAAAATGTGGTTTAAAAAAAAAAAAAAGGAGGAGGTAACAATGCTCAACAGGAAAGGTACTCATTAACTTACTCGTGTAAATGTAACCCCTCTGTACTGTATCTTTACAATAAAAAATATACACTAAAAAAATGCAATTAAAAAAACTGAAAAAAAATGTGGGAAAAGTCTATCAATATGATAATATAAAAGGCTAAGGAAGTACAGACATGGCCCAAAAGTACAGCACCAGCCTTGAGTAAAAAAGATAAGGGAAGCTGGGTGCTGGTGGCTCATGTCTGTAACCCTAGCTACTCAGGAGACTGAGACCTGAGGATTGGGGTTCAAAGACAGCCTGGGCAGGAAAGTCCGTGAAACTCTTATTTCTAATTAACTACTAGAAAACTGGAAATGCCTGGCATGATGGCTCATGTCTGTTAATCCTAGCTACTCAGGAGGCTGAGATCTGAGAATCACAGTTCAAAGCCAGCCTGGGCAGAAAAGGCCATGAGACTCTTATCTCCAATAAACCACTCAGACAAACAGAAGTGGCACTGTGGCTCAAGTGGTAGAGCGCTAGCCTTGATCTGAAGAGCTGAGGGACAATGCCCAGGCCAGGACCAGAGCTCAAGCCCCATGACCACCACCACCACCACCACCACTACCACCACCACCACCAACAACAACAACAACAACAACAAAAACAAGCTAGAAGTGCACCATGGCTCAAAGTGGTAGAGCACTAGCCTTGCCCAGGCTCCAAGTTCAAGTGCCCACAACACACAGACACAGACACACAGACACACAAGACACAGACAGACACAGAGACACAAATACACACACACACACACACACACACACACACACACACACACACACACACACACACACACAGATAAGAGAAACCTAGAGACCCAGAATTCAAGCCCCAGTACCAGCACAAAATAAATGAATAGCTGAAAAGACTGGTTAATATGAATTCATGAGAACAAAGGAGTATGGACACATAGTTTTTCCCTTGAATTGTCTGAATGTTTCTTTATACTCCTCCAGGTAAATAGGAAAGGTACACAGTGAGAATCATGAAGAAGCAAAAGCTCTGAAAACCAGTAACTGTATCAAGTATGGGAAAGGTAAGTGAGCCCACAATAGGCAAGAGTGAGCCTAGATGGCAACTAAGCCACCATGGAGAAGAGCTACCGGAGATGCTCATCTGAAAATCATAGAGAAGAGCTACTGGAGATGCTCATCTGAAAAACACAAAATGCCTAACGAGGACAAAAACAAATCTAGAAGGAACATCCTGTGACCCAAACATGATGAGCGTGGAGGTGGAGAAGGGAAGCAGCAGATGGTGATGACAGGCAGGCACCTGGGCTGTCCTGGGGTATGGTGGGAGCGCCTTGGCTCCCCACAGGAGGCCAGAAGCATACCGCCATGGACTCTTGCCAAATGGTAGCATCAGGAAATCTGCACTTGCTCCATAGCTCAGGAGAGACAGAGTTCTCCTTCTATGGTCTGCTATGGCCACCATTCACTGCAAGGTGAAGACACAGATTCACTCCAAGATGTGCCACTGTTTAAAAATGAGGGGCCTACCAAACACTTTATCAATGATAGAGGAACAGCTGACTTTGTCGTAAGTATTTAAAAATCTGATCAATGGGTTTCATTTTCCAGTGTAGCAAAGGGTATTTATAAAGTCCCACTGAAATCCTCAGCAGATGTAGAGTGTTAGTAAATTGAAGAAAAGCCCAAATACTAGAAGGTATTTTCTTTTTTTTGGGGGGGGGGGGGGTCCGGTCATGGGGCCTGAACTCTGGGCGCCTGGGCGCTGTCCCTCAGCTCTTCAGCTCAAAGCGAGCAGTCTACCACTTGAGCCACAGCACCACTTCCGGCTTTTTCTGCTTATGTGGTGCTGAAGAATCAAACCCAGGGCCTCATGCATGTGAGGCGAGCACTTGGCCACTGAGCTACCTTCCCAGCCCCCTCTGGCAACTTTTTGTAAGTTTGGAATTCATTCTAAGTAAAAGTGAAATATATGTGTAAGAGAATGCAAAATTAGATGACTACGAACATTGCAAAATGTTAATATTCTCTATAGAAGACATTGACAGAATGGAAAATAGTTGTTAAAATAGTGAGGTTATATATTTTTATTTATTTTATTTTTTTGTAATAAAGCCAGGTCAAATATAACTGAAACCAAGGGGTTTGTGCTAAGGAAAAGGAAGGCTGGCAGTCCAGAATCTCTGACATGTCTAGAAACAGTCCTCGACACTGCTGGAATCACTGAACACACTCTTAACTTTCTCCGCCAGAGTCAGTGACTTCATGATTAGGTTCTATCAATACCATAATGATTTTTCCCTATCACTGAACTTACAGCACAAATCTAAACAGATTCTCACAACTCTCCCTTTGGAGATGACAAAAATTATCTACTTTCAGGAGCAATGATAAATAGGAAAAAGTGGTCACCAGGCTCAAGACCGGCAAGGACTGTGATCTACCAGGACTGGGTTCACAGAGGAATTGTGCAGAATGCCACTCTAAGTGCACTTTGCAAGGTTCCTGGACCCAGCAAAGGGTCTCCCCAGCCGCCCTGTAAGCAAACCCTTAGATTAGACTTTGGAACAGTGGGAGAAGGCTAACCTGCCAGGACATATGATGGGAGAGGAAGAAGGAGCTAGTACTTTACAGCTCACAGTGTTGGGCACACTCCATCACTGGAAACTGACCTGGCCAAGCCTTGGTTATCATCACTGTCCTACTCAATGTTCAGTTCAGATTGGAGTCTCAGACTTTCCTGCCCGGGGCTGGCTTGAACTACAATCTTCAGATCTCAACCTTCTGAGTAGCTAAGAGTATAGGAATGAGCTACCAGCAGCTGGCACATTCAACAGTATTTTACAGACTGCATGCATGTGCATGTGCATGCATGCACATGTACGTGCGCGTGCACACACACACACAGAGGATGTTGGGTTAAAGAAAGAGCAAGATTGGGCTGGGAAGGTGGCTCAGTGGTAGAGCACTTACCTTGCATGCATGAGGCCCTGAGTTCGATTCCTCAGCACCACATAAGCAAAAAGAAAAAAGCCGGAAGTGGTGCTGTGGCTCAAGTGGTAGAGCGCTCGCCTTGAGCTGAAGAGCTGAAGGACAGCGCCCAGGCCCAGGGTTCAGGCCCACGACCGGACAAAAAAAAAAAAAAAAAGAGCAAGATGCTGTCCAGTCTGCAAGGCACATTAAAAATCCTAATGTGATGTTTAGGAAATGATAAAAAAAATTTTTTTTTTTGGGTCAGGGCTTGAGCTGTCTGTCCCTCAGCTCTTCAGATCAAGGCTAGCACTCTAACACTTGAGAGCTACAGCGCCACTTCCAGTTTTCTGAGTGGTTTATTGGAGATAAGAGTTTCACAGACTTTCCTGCCAGGGCTGGCTTTGAACTGCGATCCTCAGATTCAGCCTCCTAAGTAGCTAGGATTACAGGCGTGAGCCACCGGTGCCGGCTTAAAAGCTTAGTTTTGTGATATAAACTGTATAAAATCAGAATCACAGGTGTGACTTTAAATCCAGGAACACTGAATTGGAGCAGAGTGGGGAAGGAAGGAGCGCACAGAGCTGCGGCTCAAGCGGTAGAGCACCAGCCTTGAACAGCGCCCAAGCCCTGAATCCAAGCATTTACAAGCCTGAACCTAAGTTCTGTGTGTTCAAGTCTCCTGCCAAGCAAGGCCCAAGGAGGCGATGGTAACACTATCCTTCAGCAAGATGGGTCCAGCTGCTTTTCGACCAGGTGAGGGGGTTTCCAGCCAGCAACAAGCAAACCTAACAGGATCTTCAGAGCTAGCCGTCAACCCGTGGCTAGTGAGTGACACAGCAAGTCAAAAATGCCTTAATTCAGAGATTTGGGAGAATGTGTTGTTTCCTAAAAACAGACAATTGCAAATGGAGTGAAATCTTGGACATAAATTCAGATTGTGACTGTCACAGTTAGGATAGAAGACCTAACTCTGCATTCACAAGCCTTTTGATCCAACAAGCAGTCTGGAAAAAATTGCTAAGATTGATACTGGGGACCAAACTCTGGGTCTCACACATTAGTCAAGCACTCCACCAACCAAGCTATTTCCTCTGACAAGAAAGTTCTTATTCTGGTGCTGGTGGCTCATGCTTTAATTGTAGCAACTCAAGAGCTAAGCTCTGAGGATTATAGCTCAAAGCTAGTCTGAGCAGAAAAGTCTGTAAGACTTATTTCTAACTAACCAGCAAAAAGCTAGAAGCGGATCAGGACACCAGTGGCTCATGCCTGTAATCCTGGTTACTTAAGATGCTGAGATTTGAGAATTCCATTTTGAAGCCAGTCTGGACAGACAAAAATGAAAGTGTCTTATCTCTAATCAACTAGCAAAAAAGCCAAAAGTGAAGGTGTAGTTCAAGTGATAGAGAGGTCCGTCCTTGAGCAAAAAAGCCAAGTGACAGCATGAAGCCCTGAGTTCAAGCCCAGTGCAGCAGAGGAGAAAAGAAAGGAGGGAGGGAGGGAGAGTTAGTTCTTGGTCAAGGTGGAGAGCAGTACTGCTTCCTTATGGTAGTCAGGACCTCAGCCCCACCTTATGCTATAAGTGACATCCAAGAAGTAAGGTTCCAGCCTGCCACAATGGCTGAGAAGATGGTACTGAAGGCAGCATGTGGAGCACATGGACAAAAGGCCAGGTGTTACTGAAGAACTGGTCCTGACGTCATTCCATCAAACTGGCTATTCTTGGACAGACGACCCTGGTATCAAACACCCTTTTGAGGGACAAAAAACAACAAAGAATGCTTTTGCTGACCTTAGGATCACTTACCAAGAAAAACTATCTTCAGCTCAAAACTTCCTGACTGCAAATTTTAACAAGAGTTCTGACTCTTGGGTAGTCTCCTGAAACATATAGACCCCTGGAAGCAGATCCCTGGGCCTCTGGTTTATGGGCAAATGTATAGGGAACCTTTTCTTTCTTTCTTTGTCTTCCCTCCCTCACTCCTTCCTTCCTTTCCTCCCTTTTCTCTCCCTTCCTCCCTCCCTCCCTCTTTCTTTTCAGTTATAGGGCTTAAACTCAGGGCCTGGGTGCTGTCCCCAAGCTACTTTTGCTCAAGGCTAGTGCTCTACCACTTTGAGCCACAGTGCCACTTCTGGTTTTCTGGTGAATAATTGGAGTTAAGAGTCTCACAACTGGGCTGGGAAGGTGGCTCAGTGGTAGAGCGCTTGCCTTGCATGCATGAGGTCCTGGGTTCGATTCCTCAGCAGCACATAAGCAAAAAGAAAAAAGCCGAAGTGGCGCTGTGACTCAAGTGTTAGAGTTCTATCCTTGAGCTGAAGAGCTGAGGGACAGCGCCCAGGGCCAGAGTTCAGGCCCCATGACCGGACCCAAAAAAAAAAAGAGTCTCACAACTTTCCTGCCCAGGCTGATTCTGAACCCTGATCCCCTGATTGCAGCTTCCTCAGTAGCTAGGATTTACAGGTGTGAACTATTGGTGCCTGGCTCTTCTTTTCTAGCTGTAGTTTCCATGGTTACAATGAAGACCTCCAGAACAGATCCTTACAGGACAGCAATGCCCTCATTAGGGTATGTCTGCACTTGTCCTGGACTCTGCTGATCCCTCAATCTAGGTGCCAACCAGGCCACGTGGCCAAGGCTCTTATAGTCCATCGCACTTGCCAGCCAGATCATGGGGGCTTGCTAGAAACGCTAATGTTGTGGACAGCTCAACCTACTCCAGCAGAGCCTAGGACACCAGGCAGCACTGACTCAAGAAAAAGCAAAGCATCACTGGGCACAAAGCCTGCCTGCTTCCTCTCCAACACTAGTCTACAAATGAGACAGTAAGTGCCCCGGGAAACCTCAAGCCACTTGAGCGGGTGTGGAGAAGACAGAGGGTGCCGTGGGAAGCTGAGATATAAAGGACAGGAAGGATGTGTTCTGTTGTCACTAGTGCTGTTTATCATGGAGCAGCAAAGATCCACTTCAGCCAGCCCCAGACATGTCATTTCCCCACCCCCAACCCACCCCCGGTCGTGGGGCCTGAACTCTGTCCCTCAGCTCTTCAGCTCAAGGCGAGCACTCTACCACTTGAGCCACAGTGCCACTTCCAGCTTTTTTCTGCTTATGTGGTGCTGAGGAATCAAACCCAGGCAGGGCCTCATGCATGCGAGGCAAGCGCTCTACCACTGAGCCACCTTCCCAGCCCGACATTCCTGAGCAGCCACTCTCACTGCACAGAACTCAGGCATCAGAAGAGAAGTCACTTGGTCCTGGCCAGTTTCAGTGCAGGAGACTGAGTTCTGCCACTAAAACTACCTGGTCATCCAAACAGACCATTAAATAAGCCCTTTCCCCCAGGGACTGTAGATGTCCAGGCTATAAGCAGTGGTCACAGATGCAGTCCCACAGCAACCTCTTAGGGGCGTGGCCATGCCTAATGCCTCCAGCTCAGATGCCCTGACCTATTCTATCTCAGGGGTAGGCTATCAGTCAGGGTGCTTTTGTCCCCTAGATGAAACTTATCAATGAGTGGAGACGTTTTGGAGAAAGCATTATTGGTAGCTGGAGACACCCCACAACAAAGAATGACTGGGCCCATGGGTCAACAGTTCCTACTAAGAACTTGTTCTGGCCTCACAGATTCTGCTCTCTCAGCAGGTCTTCAGTGGCTTCTCCAGAGCTCAGGACTGTGCAGCCATCTCTCAGAGCAGACAGCACACGCACAGGCTGCTGGGGCTAGAGAAAGGGCAGGGTGCTGACCAGTCTGTGGGGCACACTAAAAATCCTAATGTGACGTTTAGAAAATGATAAAAACTTAGTTTTGTGGTATAAACTGTATAAAATCAGGGGTGTGACTAAGTCCAGGAACACTGAGTTGGAGCAGAGTGGGGAAGAAGCAGCACACAGAGCATACTTCTGGCACCAAGAGCCTACTAGGAGTCCAAGGAAGGGAGAATGGGAGCAGTTTAAGGCGCTGCACAAGTGGTGGGAAGAAAACTGCAAGGATAAGGCCATATGGAGGCTGGGAAGAGGGAAGCAGGCATACCCCCTTCAGGCGAAGGTGACACAGCCACTTCCTCAGCAGCAGCAAAGGGGTATGTCATGCCAACCCAGGGAAGATGGCACAACTCCAAACGCTTGGGTGAAGATACCCTCCTATTGGCAGCCAGCCTGCCATCCCCCTCCCCCTCCTCACCTAACAGTGATTTTCCAACAGCAAATGGCGGGGGGGGGGGGGGGGGGGAGACGGGACACCCAGGGCCAGTGTCCAAGCACCATCCCTTGCCTTCTAATCCAAGTTCTCTTGGACTTCTGGCTCAGCTGGTCACAGCTCAGGCTCTGGCTGGAACTCTGCTTAACAATGCTGCTTCCAAATGCCAGCCTTTGACATTTCACTTGCTATAAGGTCACACCCAGTAACTTCTCTGATTTAATTTTTTTTTTAACGTACAAAGTAAACCAGGCACTGGCAGCCCATGCCTGTGATCCTAAGAGGCTTAGCTCTGAGGACTGCAGTTTGAATCCAACCCAGGCAGAAAAGTGTGTGAGACTTATCTCCAATTAACCAACAAAAAGCCGTAAGTGGAGATGTGGCTCAATTGGTAGAGAATCACTAGGCAAAAAAGCCAAGGGAGAGTGCAAGAGGCCTTGGGTTCAAACCCCAGTACCAGTACAAAAAATAAAAATAAGCCAACTTACAAAGTAAATTCTCAGCACAAGACAGGGATAAAAGACATACCTAAGGCCCAAGTCTGTTGCTATGAAGAACACCCTGTTTCTTCCATGGCTCAGCAAACCACTGCAGAACACAAACACAATCAAAAGCCTGAATGGAAGAAGTCCTGGTTGAGCCTGCCCAACCCACAGACGCTCTTTTCTGAGGGTGCTTTCACAGTGTTCCGTGACTCCCATTCTACTCAGCAATAGATAAAGAACTAAGCTCCCTTTTCTCCCGTTCTGAGTCCAATCTTAGCACTGTTCCCTACGGGTGACCAATGAGCTGGGACTGAGACAGCTAAAGAAACCACATTCCGTATCCCTCTCAGAGCTGTCATCAGAGGAGGCTTCAGCTCAGGTCTTTCCCCTCTGTGAACACTAAGGCATCTAATACTAACTTTTTCTTTTAAGATGTCAGGCAAAAGACTCAGCACAAAGAGAAATTCCAATAAAAGGTTTGAAGGCAGCAATAAGCCTCTCTTTGACAGTACCATAGCATAAATTAGTGTAAATTGTCTTTCTTTGCTGTTGGTACCGCACATCATGGCAAGCCTTACTGGGCTTGACCCCCTGAGCCGGAGGTAAGCCAAACTTGCTTTGGTTTGCTCAGCCCAAAGTAAGAGGCACAAGCAGTTTCGGGGATGCAGCCTAGGAGCAGGGACCTGCCAGCAGCAGGGACCACCTCTCCCCAACTAAATGGCCAGAGCACGGGTGCGCTCATCTCAGGAGCCCCGCGCGCCTGCCCTCCAGCCTGCTAAGCAGGCACACTTCACTGCACAGCTCACACATCTCCACAGTCCTGAAAGACCGAAACAGGGGGATCTGCCCTCCAGCCTGCTAAGCAGGCACACTTCACTGAACAGCTCACACATCTCCACAGTCCTGAAAGACCGAAACAGGGGGATCTGGGGCCTTCAAACAAACCTACTCTGCTGGCTGCAAACAGTCCAGGACATGGAGTGACTTCTTCAAGTACACCACACTCGCCAAAGGCATTTCTGTTATTTCCTCAATTTATGTTCACTCAGTTTGTTCATCAGTTTCTCAATAAGGTAAATTAACTGCATTATTCACCCTATTACTCAGCAAATATAGCTGCTGTGTTAGCAAAGCTCTGGGGACATGCTCCCCATCCTCCTGGTTCCAAAACCATGCAACTCAAAGGTGGGGTGGTTCTACCGATGTGGAAAGTTCTAGATGGGAGCAGGGGAAGACTTTGGCTCTGACACCTGGACCCTGGGGCCAGAGCATGGACTGGTCCAGGGTTTGGACTGCAGCAGCAGAGAGCATATGGACATATTCAGAACATAACATGCAAAACAAGGTAAGGCACTGTTGGCTCACGCCTGTCATCCTAGCCACTCAGGAGGCTGAGAACTGAGGACTGCAGTACAAAGCCAGCCTGGGCAGAAAAGTCTGTGACACTCTTATCTCCAATTAACTAGAAAGTTACTTCCAATTAACTAAAAAGCTGGAAGCTGAGCTATGGCTCAAGCCATAGCCTTGAGCCCAGACCCTGAGTTCAAGCCCCAGGACTGTCACACACATTAAAAAAAAAAAAAAAAGTAGGGCTGGGAAGGTGGCTCAGTGGTAGAGCACTTGCCTTGCATGCCTGAGGCCCTGGGTTCGATTCCTCAGCACCACATAAGCAAAAAGAAAAAAGCCAGAAAGTGGTGCTGTGGCTCAAGTGGTAGAGCGCTAGCCTTGAGCTGAAGAGCTGAGGGACAGCACCCAGGCCAGAGTTCAGGCCCCACGACCGGAACCAAAAACAAACAAACAAAAAAGTAAAAGCAGGTAAACATGTATCACACTTTGTTGTTGTTGTTGTTGTTGCTGTTGGTCATGGGGCCTGAACTCTGGGTCTGGGCGCTGTTCCTCAACTCCTCAGCTCAAAGCTAGCGCTCTACCACTTGAGCCACAGTGCCACTTCAGGCTTTTTCTGCTTATGTGGTGCCAAGGAATCGAACCCAGGGCCTTATGCATGCAAGGCAAGCACTCTACCACTGAGCCACCTTCCCAGCCCTGTATCACACATTTTTAAAGTTTTAACTTTCCCTAAGATTTCAAATTCAAAATAGGGCAGTCTGCATCAATCAGAAAGAAAACCATTCATTTTAAAATTAAGGTCTAGCTGGGCGCCGATGGCTCACACCTGTCATCCTAGCTACTCAGGAGGCTGAGATCTAAGGATTGTGGTTCAAAGCCAGCCTGGGCAGGAAAGTCCATGAGACTCTTATCTCCAATAAACCACTCGAAAACCAGAAGTGGCGCTGTGGCTCAAGCAGTAGAGCACTCGCCTTGAGCTGAAGAATGCAGGGACAGCTGCTCAGGCCCTGAGTTCAAGCCCCACAACCAACCAAAAATAAATAAATAAATAAATAAATAAAATTAAGGTCTAAGTGATAAGTAGAAAACAGTCTATGATAAAAGGGGTGAGTCTGATCAGGATACAATGTGTGCATGTATGGAATTGTCACAACTAATACAGGCTAACAAAAATCACAAAGAAAAGACTCTAGACTTTTTAGGTAACAATAATATCTGGTATAGACTTTCACTCCTGTTGGATCAACCCACGCTCTGTGTGAAAGAGCACAGCCCACAGAGTACCTAACAAAGGCTTCAAGCAGGCCCACAATGTCCACTTGGCACTCGCCACATGCACTGCATTGCCAAGGCATTGATCCTCAAGAAGCTACACTGAAGATGGACTTCTCTTCAGTCAGAGAAACCCATCCTGTGAGGGTGACCTGTGAGCAAACGCTCAGGAGGCAGGGAAAGCCTCAAACACAACGGTAGAACTTCCAGACCACTGCCCTTCTTATGGACTAGTCTTCTGCAAGTTTCTGACCTTCTTGGAATTCTGCAATTTCCTTTCTGCCTCAGGCACAACACACCAGCCAAACACTTCTCAGAGCTGCTCCTTGATGGGACAATGTTTACAAAGTCAACATGGTGATGTTCCTGTCTTCCCTCAAGGCCCTACTAACTTGCTGCCAATGGCTATCTCTCTCTCTCTATATATATATCTATATACACACACATATATACATGTATATACATATATATATATATCTATATACACACACATATATACATATATATATATAAAATTTGATTTTATTTTTGTTGGTCATGGGGCTTGAACTCTGGGCCTGGGCGCTGTCCTTCAGCTCTTCAGCTCAAGACAAGCGCTCTACCACTTGAGCCACAGCGCCACTTCCAGTTTTCTGTGGTTTACTGGAGTTAGGAGTCTCACGGACTTTCCTCCCTGGACCGGTTTTGAACCGCAATCCTCAGATCTCAGCCTCCTGAGTAGCTAGGATTACAGGCGTGAGGAACTGGCACCTGGCCAATAGCTATATTCTTAAAAATTGTTTTACTTCTTCAGTAAAATGAAATAATAGCTCACTGTTACCTTTAAAAGCATCTCTGAGCATCAACTTTGGGATGAAAAGTCTTTTTGAGTGTTAAGTCTAAATGTTTATTTGGACCAGGCAAGAGCAAACTCTGTAGCATTTTAAGGTGGGGATTAAGCAGCACACAGGGCCCTCTGAGAGCATCTTGACGTTTTCCAGAACAGGCTACCCAAAGGCCTGTGTGCGAGGAGGGGCATCCTTTCTTAGCCCTTGGCCTGCGGAGACCTCACAGCTGGGAATTCCAGCCAACTCAGGCATAGAGATGAGTCAAGTCCTCCTGGCACAGCCCTATCAGTTTGCCACCCATCTGGTGACCCAAATGATGACACTTTAATCCTAGTTAATAACTTCCAAAATTTAAATCTCCGGTGTGGCTCGGTGCTGGTGGCTCTCATCTGTAATCCTAGCTACTCAGGAGGAGGCTGAGATCTGAGGATCCCAGTTTGAAGCCAGCCCTCTCAGGCAGGAAAGTCCATGAGATGCTTATCTTCAATTAGCCATCAGAAAAACAGAAATGCTGCTATGGCTCAAAGTGGTAGAGGCTGGCTTCGAACCACAATCCTCAGATCTGAGCCTCCTAAGTAGCTAGGATTACAGGCCTGAGTCACCAGTCCCTGATAAAATACTTTGTCTATGATGGCTCTCGGTACTGTGTAAGGGTAGGAGAATCACCAGTGGTTTTCCCACCACTATTTTGAAACATAATTGAAAACACTCTCTTTTTTTCTTTTTTGGGTCCGGTCATGGGGCCTGAACTCTGGGCCTGGGCGCTGTCCCTCAGCCTTTCAGCTCAAGGCTAGCTAGCGCTCTACCACTTGAGCCACAGTGCCACTTCTGGCTTTTTTTTCTTTTTGCTTATGTGGTGCTGAGGAATCGAACTCAGAGCCTCAGGCATGCAAGGCAAGCGCTCTACCACTGAGCCACCTTCTCAGCCCTGAAAACACTTCGTAGTGAAAATGATTAACCCATGAATCCCCCTAACAGTCACCAATATCCCCCCTCCCCTATAGACCCAGCACAATCTGAGCCTAGGTCTAAAAAGAGAAGACTTGGGGGTCCATTATCATGCAGATGAGGGGTTGAAATGAGGAAGAGGATTGAATGACTGATGTTCCTCAGATCCCTCTGTACCTTCCTTTCTTTAAGAAGGACAAAATGAAGCTGGGTGCCTAGTGGCTCACCCCTGTAACCCTAGCAACTCAGGAGGTTGAGATCTGAGGCTCCCAGTTCAAAGCCAGCCCAGGCAGGAAATCTCCAATTAACCACCAGAAAACTGGAAGTGGTGTTGTGGTTCAAAGTGGTAGAGTGCTTGCCTTAAGCAAAAAGACCTCATGGACTGCATCTAGACCTGGAGTTCGAGCCCTGTGAACAAACAAAACAAAACAAAAAAAAAAGCAGGGGCTGGGAAGGTGACTCAGTGGTAGAGTGCATGCTTCTCATGCATGAGGTTCTGGGTTCCATTCCTCAGCACCACCTAAGCAGAAAAAGCCGGAAGTGGTGCTGTGTCTCAAGTAGTAGAACACTAACCTTGGGCTGAAGAGCTCAGGGATGGCACCCAGACCCAGAGTTCAGGCCCCACAACCGACAAAAAAAAAAAAAGCACAAAATGCAGCCAGGGACTGGGAAGGTGGCTGGCTCAGTGGTAGAGTGCTTGCCTTGCATG